CTACCTGCAGACTGCTATGCTTACTGCGAGGGCTTTGTGTGGGTCCCGGAGCACGAGAGAGTGGGCCATATACAGCTACTAAGAATGGCGTTAGTATGCGAGTGAAACCATAGGGTAGAAGTACAATACAAATAGGTTTAGCTTGCTGAGTGAGCGAGGATGTCTTACAAAGGCCTATGCATGTCAGTTATAAGCAATCGAGCGCATATATGCATGTCACGTACCATATGCGAAGGTCTGCGAGTGACGAAAAGAGCCTGAGTCCGAGGCATGCTTTAGGTAGGACAGTATCAACGGACCTTGTGTATTCGCGCTGTTCTCCCGTATTACAGGACTCTTGCATAGCCGTGCAGACAGGTGGAAGTTGGTGCTGCGGCTGCCGTGCATATGAGTAGTCAACTGCAGTGCTAACGCGAGAGAAATTACCGCTCACGCACCTTGGGACGTACTGCGCTGAGTGAGCATGGAGTGGAGTCACTGTTGAGCGAGGGGAAAGTAGAAGTGGGGATAAGGATCTCAGAGGATCATGGCGTCTGGGGGTGGCTGTCTATTGAGCGGGGGCATGGTGGTGGGCAGAAGGAAGGAGCATGGAAAGCGGATGGCCTTCGACGGCCTTATATGGACGAAGACATAAAAGGAAACTCACCAGAGCAACTTTAGGGGAGGTCGAAGGAGACTTTGTTGTTCGTTTGGCCAGTCAACATAGATGTGATGGTCAGCAGCACCTCTCGAAAGGCGGCACGCATGACGTCACGTCACAGCGGAGATCTGGGTGGGCTGGCCGCGTCATGTCTAGTTAAAACAGGATGGGAAATGACTTACAATGACATATCGGTCCGTGTTGAAACTGCAGTGCAATATCAGCCTGGTATCCCCTGTTCTTGCATTGCCAGCGCCCACCATGCTGTTAGGCGCTTGCCTGGTAACTCATCTCTGACCTGCCACCGATTATTTTGCTGATGAAGACTGCCTTTGCATGATGAATTGGCCGCACTGTCTCTTCCTGCAAAATAGGTGTCCTATGTGACCACCAATCTCTCTGCTTCAGCACAGCGCCTCACAGTGCCTTGCAGCGCTCAGTCCAGGACGCCGGCAAAACAGATACCTGAGAACACCGGGAATCACTGAGGCAAGTTAACACTTGAGCTTGAAAGCTTGAAGCTTTGAAGCTCGGCTCTGCATGCTTTGGCCCATTTTAGATCACATCTGAGACTCTGACACGCCACTTACAGCTGGTGTACATGGGTTCTGGTGAAACACGGAAAATGCTGGACGAGCCCACATCGGCTGCATGTCCAGTCAATCAGATACTCTGGATATCTAGCACACCTAGTTTATCCCAGGGACAGCCGGATTGCATGTAAACTCCACGTTTGACACCACAGACTCGCGGCGACAAGTCCCTTTCATGTGAGATGGCAGCAATTAATATAAGCTGACCTTGGCCTGGTTCAGTAATTAGGTGCCCCAGTGTGTGTGTCATGTTGATTAGTGTTGCGGAAGAAAGTCAGGTGTAACTTACTGTCCGTAAGAAAGTCAGTAACTTACTTTTCTGACAGGCATACCAAAAATAGCAGTGTAAGTTAGTGTAAAAAGTCTCAATCAATGAGTCTTGGGATCCAATGGCATGATAGAGCATGTGCCAGCCCAAGCATGATGGTTACGAGCTAGGCAAATATTTTTGTGATTTTTGGTGGAATTAATCTGTCATCTGTGCTGGTGCAAGTGAAATTACTGCCAGAAATATGTCCTCACTTGCACTACAGACAACAGGAAAGCTGATGTAGATTTTGTATTCACAATTCTGCGCAAGTCTATTGATTGTCTACTCTCATGAAGCGGCTCTTTCAGTGGCAGTTGACAAAGACCATGTCAAAACTGTTGAGTCAGCAAAGATATTAGGAGATGAATGGTTCACATTCAATGCCAACAGCTGAAATAGCTGCGCTCTGCCAGAATATGAAGACTATCGAGGGGCCGCTGAATGTGGCTCCACTCTGAATGTATGGGCAGCCAACCAGTTGACTTCACTGTATCAGATGCCATTCCCTATGGCAAGTGTGGTTTGTGACACTGCACAGCATTGGTCAAGACTTGCGTCACTCACATACAGCATGACATGGCAGTATCTTCCACTTCAGCAACAATCATTGCATCGTAGCAGTTGCAAATGTCCCCCGATGGACCGTGGAGTATGGTGACCCATTGAACGATTATGCTGTACCAATGTTCAACACAAGCTCTGCAGGCGGCCGGCAACCCAAGGGCTCTCGTCTGGTTCTTGGCACTTCCTGCGAGAGAACAAGCAGGCCAATATTGGCATCTCATCTGGCCGGATCATGAAGCCTACCTTGTGCTGCAGAGAAGATGAGCTCGACACTCTCTGTCGAGAGCATCAACTTGAACATGTGAGCCTTTGCTCACCGCCATGAACAATGACAAACCTAGGTGTGTTCATATGAGTGGTGCGGCACAGGCATGTACTAACATGCACATATGTGCACAATTGCCTAACTAAAACTCGCTGCCGACATTGTGAAACTCGCTCGGCATTTGTGATGGTGCACGAGCCTGTGCAAAAGTGCACCAAAGTGCACACACTTGCACCCAGTTGCACGCACCTGCACCAAGGTGACAACCTCAAGCCCAAACTTGTGTGGTCTACACTGAAACTCACATACCCTAGACATAAACTCACTTGAGCTACAATAAAACTCGCATGGAGTGAGCTTAGAGCCGCATAGAGTAGATGCAAACTCATGAGGGCTACAATGAAATTTGCATGGGTAGGACTTAGACTTGCGTACCCTACACATAAACTCACATGAGCAATAATAAAACTCACACAGAGTGGACTTAGACTCACTGACCTGGTCACCCTAGACATAATTACATGTGAGCTACAGTAGAACTCACATATAGTGAGCTCAAACTTGTGAGTGCTACATGAAACTCGCATAGCAGGACTCAGATTTGCGTACCTTAGAGGTAAAAGCTTGACTAGGTATGCAGTATAAGTGACTATAAGGGAAATTAGTGCCGGGTCACCACATATACACTTGTCCTCAGTGCGATTCCACGAAGATTCGCGTTTCCCACGCTAGGTTAGGGTTTATTAGGCGCGCGTCTACGGTCGTCGGGCTTAGCAGAGAATGCCAGAGATAAGGAAAGGCGCGCAGCGCACGCGCCCTGCGGGCAAAACAGACCGCTTGTACTCTCACACTCACCGTAGTCGCCGGCTCGGTCCGCAAGCAATCAAACATCGTGTGACAAAGTCGCGCACATGTCGGGTTGCTCGGTTTTGATGGCAAGTCCTAGTTATAAGAGGCACAGGTCCACATGCAGCATTAAACTCAGTCCTTCCTCGTCGTCCGCGAAATGGAGAACGATAGAGGCGCACAAACTGTTCTGCTGAAATTTCTTCACAACAAGTCAAATAAGTACTGTATCCCGCACGATTTAGTTGTGCTGTTCATCTCGGTTAACCCACACATCCCTCAGCTCTTCACTCCGACCGGTAATCATCGCCAATGCTGCAATCGCATTGGCACTTTTGCTTCTTGCATTGCGCCTATATTCCTCGCGAAAGGTGCTGAAATCCGCTGCGGTTACTAGTGATGAATCGGACACCAAGCGGTTCGCGGGCAGAATAGGCCGGCGTATAGCTCATGTTGGTGGGCCTGTCATATTCGCCTACAAGCTAGCGCGCTTCACAGCGTTGGCGGTCCTGCTCGTCCTGGTCATTATTCCGTCTATTCAACATGGATGGACAAACCTCAGCGTGGTCCTCACCGAAGCTCTGGTGAGTATTTGCGGAAAGATTTTCTGGCCATGGACTGCGGAAACTAAAACATTCTAACAGACATTCGCGTCTATCCTGGCCGCCGCAAATGCGCTGGTATCGGCACGCGCGTCACAGCTACTGTCGCCGCATTTGACGTTCATTTCGTTCGCAATCTTTGCAGCCTATGCCTACCGAAACCTCTGGCCTTTCATGACCTTCGCGCTTTACCCACTCGACGCTGCCGAAGGCAAAATTCTCTGGGCCAAGGTCGCTTTGGCGACGTGGGTTGGGTTTCTCGCACCTCTGCTCGAGCCGTATCCATACATTCCTCTGCATCCCGAGGTGTGTTGTTCTAAAAAATCGGGCAACCTTCTGTTCTATGGCTTACAGGCTACAGGGCCCGATCAACACTGCCAACCCCGAGCAGACGGCCTCTATCGCTTCCTGGGTTTTTTACACCTTCCTCGATCCTATTATTTGGGAAGCATATCGTGTTCCACATCTCTCGCATGACCAATTACCGCCACTGGCCGACTACGATGAGGCGAGGTATTTGATTGAGCAGAACTTTCATGTATGTTTTCCCCGCCTCAGTTGAACTCTGAATATTCATTGACAAGTTCCGTAGCATCTAGATCCGTTCTCAGGTGCCAAGAAAGGAAGCTTGCTTTGGCCCATTTTGAAGGTCCTCCGTACCCCATTGCTCTACCAGGCCATTTGCATCGTTTTCACAGTACGTAACATGCGCCATAAAGGATAATCATGATCGCCGACATTTTACTGTATTGCAAATAGTCATTAGCCCGCTTGGCAGGCCCTATTGGTGTCAACAGGCTTTTGAGGTGGCTTTCGCTTTTCTGCGCCCAAGCTCTCAACACTCATCACTATCGCTTTTAGCTATCTCGAAAACGGCGGACACAATGCATTTGTGCGACCCTGGGTCTGGATCCTATGGATAGCCCTTAGCCCAATCGTGCAGACTCTCCTCATGGAGTTGTATCTGTTCTTCTCCGTAAGTTCATCCGTCTCGACGCGCCAGGGATTTCCACGTTCTTTGTCTGAATGACACTATCGAAGACTCGCTCCTTAATTCGCATGGAAGGTATCCTTACTGCGCTTATCTTCGACCACGCCCTACGCCTTCGTGTCAAAACCAATGCCGGACCCAAGCTCGAACAAGGGCAACCACCCACGACCTCCGAAAGCGACAGCCAGGGGCAAGCCGACAAAGCAAAGGAGGGCGAAAAAAGTGATAATATCGTTGGCAAAATTATGACCATGGCAACGAGCGACTTGAATAATATCACGGGCGGTCGGAATTTCCTATTGCTAGGTACGTTGACGTACTGCGTAGTCGTCGATTGTGGATGCTTATCTGTGTAGTTCTCGGGGTGCCTGTTGATCTCATTGTCTCCATCTGTTTCTTGTATGACCTGCTGGGCTGGAGGTGCGCAACGGTTCCACTATGTTTCAGAACGCTTCGTAAGCTGACCTTCCGCTGATTCAGTGCATTCGTTGGCTTTGTTGTCATGGTCGCATTACTCCCCGTGCCAAGATATGTCGCAGCTTTGATGAGCAGTGCACAGAAGGAGAAAATGAAAGCGGTCAGTTCGCATGTTTGAAAAACATATCAGCAGCAGTACAGCTCATTTTCCCTCCGCAGACAGACGCTCGCGTTCAGCTTGTGACAGAAAGTGGGCCATGCTCTTGCAAGCTGTCTGAGGTGCACTCATCAATACCCCTCGTGATTATAGTGTTGGGCACCCTCCGAATGGTCAAGCTCTTCGGCTGGGAAAGGCGAGTCGAGGAAGAGGTCGCAGTCAAGAGAGAAGAAGAATTGAAATGGGTGTGGAGGAGTACTTTGTATTCGTTCGTGATCACCAACATGAAGTGAGTAAACCTATGCGGGCATGGACGACTTCTGCGCACCAACCAACACCACTTTTAGCCATATGATTCCTCTATTGCACATGATTGCTACCTATGGGACCTACGTGAGTGATCATTTGCTCGACTGTGAATCCTAGTTCAATGCTCCACAAAGACTATAGTCATGAAACGGAGTCTGAGCGGTGAGCCATTAGTCACTGATCCCTGGCTAGCTATAACGGCCTCTGTAGCATCTACTGTGTTTGCGTCAATCGCAGGTTAGTAAGCTACCTCTCAGCGCTGGACAAAAGTCCAATGACCTCTCCTAGTCTTTCACAACATACAGACCAAGTTATATTGGATCTCCCAGTGGCTACCGCCCATAATAGCATGTATGTCGCTCACTTCCCGTGTCCGTAGGGTTTGGAGTACTAGCATGGGCATGCAGCGTACGTTTCTATAGGCCGTCTCCGCGATTTCTTGTGGGATGTATGTATCCCGACTGTGCTTACATTAAGCGGAGCTGACCAAGTAACTGACCAGACCGAGCTATTGGATACTTTCAACGAGAAGCCTACCGATGATGCTGGCGTTGCTTCCGCTATCCATGAGCAAGATATTGGCTTCGGAAGCTCCGAGTTCTCTTGGTCAATCGATGCCGCCTCAGCCGGGCTGTCGCAGCCATCTTTTCGCCTGCACGTCGAAGACGACGTCGTTTTCAAACGTGGCAGCTTCAACCTCATCGTCGGTCCCACAGGGTCAGGAAAGACCTCAGTGCTAATGGCCTTGCTTGGAGAGATGCACCGGATTCCGCTCAGCCCAGAGTCATGGGTCAACCTACCGCGGGAGGACGGCATCGCTTATGCGGCTCAGGAATCCTGGGTATTAAGCGATACGATCAAGGTATGTGTTATCTGGCTATTTCTCAACGTGTCTAACTGACTATCGCGCAGGAGAATATCTTGTTCGGCTCCCCGTACATCGAAGAGAGGTATAGGAAAGGTTCGTCCCCAGGACTGACAAAAACTACCCAGTCGTTCACCGTCTTGTCCACAGTAATATACCAATGTGCTCTGACGAAGGACCTAGCAATGTTCAACTCGGGGGACGAGACACAAGTCGGGGAGAGAGGAATTACCCTCAGGTGCGTAACCATTACCGTCGATTTAACGCTTTTTTTACGACGATGCCTTATAGCGGGGGCCAGAAGGTGATTATACTGTGACTTACAAGGCGTTTTGCTCAACGCTTCTGCTAGGCACGCGTTACTCTAGCTCGCGCTGTGTACTCTTCTGCAGAAGTTCTTTTGCTCGATGACGTAGGTTCTCGCGCTTCATTCGCGCATCTGCTTACGTGTTAGCAGGTTCTAGCCGCTCTAGTTCGTATCGCGAATCAATGCAAGGTCACCACTGACATCGTCCTAGGATGTGCATACGTCTCGCTGGGTAGTCAACAAGTGTTTCAAAGGCGATATCATGAAGGGTAGAACTACTATCATCGTGGTACGTATCATTACTCTACCACCTTTCATCCTTTCGGTTCACAGTTGGTAGACGCACAATATCGCCCTCACAGCTCCTCTGGCCAAATTTATCCTGTCCATGGGCCCAAACGGTTCAATAAAAAGCAGCGGCGTTCCGGCTGACGTCCTTGGTACAGACCCAGAGCTGACAAAAGAAGTCGCACATGAAGCTGAGGCTCTTGAACTGGACGAGGACGAGGACAGTGTTGGAGAAACATCGACCGCCAATCCAGAGAAGGGCAAGCTCATTATCGCTGAAGAGATTGCCCTCGGGCGTGTCGGACGCAGTGCCTGTACGTCTTGGAGACTGTGTTTTATGCGGGAAGCTGACTGCGCAAAAGACGAGCTGTACCTTGGCGCGATGGGTGGCGTGTTCTACTGGCTGCAGTATCTGAGCACAGATATCATCGGAGAAATTCTACTCATTTCATCAACTTGGTGGCTTGGCTGGTGGGCTGCTCAATACGCCTCCGAAGGTTCTAAAGACGTCTCCGCGCCATAGTGAGTGACTCATGCAACGCAATCTACATTCGCTTACGTCGCATTCGCAGCTACCTGGGCATCTACTCACTCATAAAGATGTCGGATATGGCGTTCTTTCTGGCACACTCTCTTATAGATGCCATAGGAAGGATCAAAGCATCACGGAGTGTTCACGAGAAACTCATCATATCGATCTTTGGCAGTACATTCCGGTGAATATAACTCGCTGATCTTTCGTAATAAGCTGACGAACATTATCATTGAACAGCTGGTTAGATGTAACCCCGACGTCTCGAATTATTACGCGATGCACTCAGGATATCCAGGCTGGTAAGCAGTCGCACATGAATCTGAGATTTGTCTCAATAATATGCACATCATGTCAGTCGATGGAACAGTTCCCCAAGCTTTTAACGTCGTCAGTAAGTGGCAGCTCCACGTAATAGAGAGGCTTCGCCTAACAAGAGGATCTATAGTCGGCGTATCTGTCGCCATAATCACACAGCTGATCGCCATGATAATCTACACGCCCATCTTCCTCCTGCCTAGTGTCTTCGTCGTCGGACTGGGTATATGGCTTGGCAATGTCTACATCAAAGCCCAACTCTCTGTCAAACGCGAGATGTCGAATTGCAAAGCACCGGTGCTAGCCATGTTCGGCAGTGCTGTTCATGGGCTGAGTGCGTATCTCCGATTCGTTTGACGCGAATGCTTTATGCTCACTAGAATACCAGTCTCTATCAGAGCTTACGCAGCTCAGGGCCCGTTCAGGCAACAGCTACTGAACCGTGTGAACGAGTATACTCGGGCAGGACGGACATTCTGGTTGTTGAATCGGTACGCATTTACCTGATTTTATGTAGCTTGGCAAGTTAATGCCGCTTTCAGATGGATTGCCGTCCGGCTTGATGCGTTGTGTGCAATTTTCGCCGCTTCCATCGCTTCCTACCTTGTGTATGCTTCATCCATCAGTCCGTCGGGTGTTGGTTTTGTGCTCGCGATGGCCGGTAAAATTATGTGTATCGTATCATTATACGGCAGGGGGCTGACTGTTACCTATAGTATCGTTCACGAAATTCATCCTAGGTCTCGTTCATTGGCTCAACCAATTTGAAGGTGAGAAGTCAAGCAGCTGTTCGATAAATCATCACTAACTGTATTGTTTACAACTTCAGTCAATGCCAACAGGTTCTGGCCACAGTATTCTGCTTTCGCGTTATGAAAGCTGACCCCACGATAGTTTAGAGCGCCTGCACCAGTACATTCATGTTGAGCAAGAATCCAAGAATGGCGTTCAGCCTCCAGCGTTCTGGCCGACAAGCGGCAGCTTGTATGTAGAGCGCTTGTCTGCGTCTTACACGCCCGATGGGCCAAAGGTCTTGCAGGACCTTACCTTTGAGCTGAAAAGCGGGGAACGCGTCGGTGTCGGTGAGCATCTTCTTCAGACGATTGGTTGCTGCATATATTTTCTGATATTTGTCTAGTGGGACGCACTGGGGCAGGGAAGTCGACGTTGACGTTGGCCCTGCTCCGTTGCATCCATACCGAGGGTCTTGTCGTGTTTGACGGCGTTCCCACAAATTCCATCACTCTGGATACACTCCGGTCGAGCATCACTATCATCCCGCAGTCGGTGAGTGCCGTAATCGACAGCCATCAAGTTGCAGCTAACGGACTGTTGACCCGCAGCCCGAGCTCATGAGTGGGACCCTACGCTACAACCTTGACCCATTCTGCCAGAATGACGACGCGACTCTCAATGACGCTCTGCGGTCTGCGGGGCTATTCTCTTTGCAAGAGACCTCAGACGAGAATCGCATTACCTTGGACACTAAGATTGCTGGTGGCGGTGCGAACCTCTCGGTCGGCCAGAGGCAGATCATCGCTCTAGCGAGGGCCATTGTGCGGCAGAGCAAACTGCTGGTTTTGGACGAGGCAACTTCGGCGATCGGTGTGTCTGCGAGCTTGCTATCCTGGAGAATATTGCTCACAAGACTCGTCAGACTACGAGACCGACGCCGTCATCCAGCAATCCTTGCGGAAGGAACTGAGGAGTGATGTAACTGTTATTACAGTGGCGCACAGACTGCAGACAATCATGGATTATGACAAAATCGTCAGTACGCTCTTGAGAGTTACGTGCACTGTTGGCTCACACCACACAGATGGTCATAGACGCCGGTCGCCTGGTAGAGTTCGACACACCTCGGGTGCTGCTGGAGAAGGAAGATGGCCTGTTGCACGCCCTTGTCGAGCAGAGTGCCGACAAGGATCTGCTGTATATGGCTGCACATAGTAAGTAGTGTACGGTGTACTCAGCCTCGTTCCCAGTGGCAAGTCTATCCCTTCGCCTATTTGTGCTGATGGCTCCGATGGACCTGTACTCTGTACTCTCTGTGTGCTGTTGTAGTCATATCTGTCTATTTTTCTCATGAATTTGATCTTTGTCTTGGTTGCCTCTCTGACAATTGTACTGGATCGCTGCAGACGCCGGTCACTTGCGAACTCACTTAAGCGGAGCTACCCAGGGCTCACCAATGTCTGACACATCATTCTGCACTCACGAACAGCCGACGCTCAAGCAGTCTAAAACCTGGAGAGGTCAAGTAGCATTATACAACTTGTATAGCGGCTGAGATTGTTGAGAGCTGCCAGTGCCAGTGGTTTCGAAGAGCGGCTGTTTTCTCGTTGTCTGTAACATTAGCCTTAGTATCTTATGTGAATCTTAGCCAGATACCGACACGATCTTGTGGTGTTTTTCTCAGGGTGTGCAGGCACTTGAGATCGGTACTTGCTCGAACGGGTCAGCGTACGTGCCGGCTCGATATCCTGCTAACAAACGTCTGCATTCCCACAATTTGGCGCTCAACAGCCTGCCTCGAGCCTGTTCTTGGCCTCTTCGTCGGTTTTTCGTTATCTCCACTTGCTGCTGCCCAAGCTTAGCCGACGTGTACGGTAAGATCACACAAGTGACCGTCGACGAGAGAAGTACGATGCCAAACGACCGAACAAAGCGGACGACCGCTGCCTATCCATTCGACATAGAGGACGGGGACGTCGTCTTCGTTACGTCGGATGCTGTTGAATTTCGAATCTACAAACCGATACTCTCAGTGGCGTCACAGTTCTTTCGTGACATGTTCTCACTCAAGCAACCTGTCTCCTCGGGATCGTCAGAGCCTATCGCTGTCTCGGAGAATAGCAAGACCTTCGACGCCCTCCTGCGCCTCTGCTATCCCATCGACAATCCCGTTTTCGTTGATCTATCCCAGGTCGAGTTGGTTCTCGAGGCAGCGATGAAATATCAGCTAGCGTATGCAATCAAGCTCGGCAGTGACCTGCTGCGCGGGTTCATAGCTGCCGAGCCGTTGCGGGTGTTCGTCATCGCTTGCCGCCTCCGACTGGATAGCGAGGCAAATCAAGCTGCATCGACGTGGAAGGGAAGTCGGCGCTTTGACGATTCTAGCCCCACTTTCAATAACACTACTGCTGGTGTATGTTATTTGACAGACATGTCCAACATCTCCGCTGCTTGCTTCTATCGGCTCCTCTATTTCTGCCGCACGAACTCTTATAGCATCCCATCGTTTACCAGCGGTGACCCATCCAAAGACCCATCGCGTATACTCCCTGAGCAATCGTCCCGCAAATCACAGAATGCGTTCTCCGAGAACACCAATCTCGACGGGCTCTTCGATGGGGATATGGCAGATGTTGTGCTTCAATCTACGGACGGAGTCCGCTTCCGAGCACATACGCTTCTGTTCCGCCTTAGTGAGGCAACCAAGGTTCTTGACGAGGGCGCTAAGATTGTGTCGGATGTCAAACCACCCCTCATACAAATCCAACTTGACAGTGGGACCCTAGCAGATTTAATCCGCATGGTTGTCCCGTCATCATGCTCCGACGGCATCACAGACCCACAGCGACTTTGGCGCCTCGCGCATACTGCTATTCGCTACGGAATTCATCGTGTCACCACGTCTCTGAAGTAGCAAGCTCGACGGCTTATCCAAGAACATAGCCTTGCGATATACCTCCTCGCTGCCGCGTGTGGCTGGGTGGAAGAGGCCAATCTTGCTGCTCGTGCACTGGCGGATCAATATTTGAAGGATGCTTACGATCCTCTCATGGAGGATGTGTCCGCCGCCGTATACTACTCGCTGCTCAGATTCCACCACGAGTGTGCTCGTGTGGTTACGAAAGTTGTGAGGCGAGAGGTCAGCCACCGCGAGCATTAGGTCAGAGTAGGACGTGCGCGTTCGATCCTTGATACACGATTGTCCCAGGTAAGTGCATTATGTCGGTGTCTCCGTGAGGAACTGCTAATTTACCTTCGTAGATGGAGATCGAGTTGCCGGTGACGTATACACCAGTCACACAAGCTCCTCTACCTTGCACTTGATTTCGCAGACTTCAGCGCCACCGAAAACTTGACGCTTGGGAAAGGACATACGATAATGGTAATGTGCTAACAAAATATAGTACTTGGATTCGACGCCAGTAACAGCTGTACAATTTTCATTTTCATTTCATGTCAACATAACCCAATCTTGGTTGAACCTGACGAAGGGAACACGAGCCATGGCCAGATACGGCTGAGAATGAATTACGGTCATTTAACTCGAGCAACTCTTCCTTGATCTCCATCTCCATCGCGTACCCCGCATCGACATGGTCCATCCGCAAGTCCGGCCCTACCTAGGAGTCTGCGCCTTACGTATGTCGCCGTCCCAGCTCCTGCTAACTCGAAACCCAATGACATGTCCATCCGTACGCGGCCGCCCCCGCGTGGAAGGCATCTTCTGCGCTCACATCTTGACGATGGGTAGGCGCCGCCATACGCTTCGACATGGCGCGCCAGCACTGGACACGGTCCAGGTGACGGCTCGCGACGCGGTAGATGGTCGTGCGGCACTCGTGGTAGTAGCGCAGCAGGCGGAAATTCGTCCCGCCAGCATCTACACGTCCTCGAGGTGCGCTGTCGCGAGCGCGTGAGCGGGCGGGAGGAGCTGATCTAGGTCCTTCAGGACGTTAATGATGCGAAGTTTGCCGAGTCTGTCCACTACCCAGCTTGAACGCCAACGTCAACTCACCGTTCAAGCTCAGGCCTTACGCACACGGCGTAAAGCAACCATCACATTCAGACCTCGGAAGCTGCAGTCTCTCTATCCATATGTGACCTCTGGGTTTCCTTCGGTGCTGCACATGTTAGCAGGTCTGGACTGGAGGTGTCGCAGAGGTCCCGGAGATGCATCGGGACGGTCTGGTACCCCGACACGGATTAAAGGTTGCTTAAAATTGCAATATTCTCCCAACCCCTCACCAAAGGCTGCTTTGCATTGCTTGAAATCACGCCTAGAATAGGGTTAGGGGCTTAGTGACATCATTCAAAGGGTTAGTACCGAATCGGCGTTCAAGAATCAAGACGGCTCCTACGACAGGCTGTTAATTCCAACTCTCTAGCAACCACCAGCCATGTCGCAGACTGACCCACGACCTCTCATTACAATACCAGGCTGCATTGCAGCTCACGTACTCGGTGCTTCGAACAACGAGATCGGCAGCGGCGACCTTAGTCTCGTCCCGCCTCCATCGGGAAGCGGACAAGCCAGCACAAAGCGGCACGTCCTGACGCTAACCATAGGCAAGGCTGCCTTTCCGCTGTACAACTCGACTAAGTTTGGCACGGTCGCTGGCGATGATCGATTGTATGTCTTCCAGCCAGAGTTAGGCGAAGACATCAAAGGGTATGTAGTAGTGTGGCACGCGTCTTGTGATGCCTACTCACGCGGTATGCGTTCTTAGATACGTCAGGCTGACTATGCCCGACGGGGTCAGGAAAGCTCACTCCGAGTTTCAAATGCTACAAGCGCAGTTCGAGTTGATCTTGATCAACCATAACCTACTCAAGCCTGGCGAACGGCCGAATGAACGGACGGTCACAATACCCAACGTCACTATTACCCACGTCGTCGGAGATACAAACTCCGGACTTGCGTATGGTGACTTGACCCTCATGACCGCCAGTGTACTCGACACGAAGCCGGAGAACGATTCGCTTGCGGTTCTAACACTGTCCATCGGAAACATGACCTTCTCGCTGCATCGGAAGACGGTCTTTGGTACTGTGACTGAGAATGATCGAACCTACGTCTTCAATCCAGAGATTGGCGAGGGACAGGGCGAAAGTGTCGTGGATGGGTTCGTGTCTGTTTACTCAGTTTCTGAAGCATGCGCTTATGCTACTTTCAGATACGTCAAGGTTGTTCTCCCGGAGGAAGTCACTTCGAATCAGCAGCTGCGAGAATTGCAGGAGCAGTTTGAGCAGATCCTGATCGACTACGGTCTGTTGAAAGAGGGCGTCGAAGCCATCGGTGACGAACTCGGGCGAAGTGCACACGAAGATGCCACCAACGCTGCGGACTTGATCCGCGCAACCACGAAAGAGTGTGTGCATCTGTACTGCCTGCAACCTGTTTGCACTGACATGCGAACAGTTTCCTCGCAGAGACTTCAGCCACGGGGGATCCGGCCGCGTTCTCTTCGACGACACATAGCACCGCGGATGGTGCCGCATCCGCCACCCGCACGCTCTATTCCGCAGCTCAGACTGTCTCGTCCAGTGTCTCTTCTGCTGCAACCTCCGCCAGCGCGTGGCTCTCGTCGCAACTCGGGCCCGCGTCGCCAAGTACGGCGGAGTCGGTGAACGCCATCGGGAACGCGTACGATGCTGCCGCGAGCGGAATCAGCGCTGGCACCTCAGAGGTGAAGAGTGCGGCCACCGAGGCTGGGGGAGACGTTGTCGAGCACGAGTTTGGGAAGGAGGCGAGGCAGCTTGGCGGTCAAGTGACTGAGAGCGCAGGTAATGCCACTGCGACTTTCGGGAAGGTGGCAAAGGTCGGCACCGGTGCAACCGTCGTCGTCGCCGGTATCAAAGGTGCTGTCGCAGAGGAGAACAAGAAACAGCAGGAAATGGACGTTTTCAAGATCCACGAGGGGAAAGAGAGTGGAGAATGGAACGACGTACCTGTGTGATCACCCCGCGACGCTTCTTTGCTGCATCTCTCACATGGTACCTCGACTCGTGTCGCTCAGGAGCGGGATTAGAACGGACAACTCGGACTGAATGTACAGTATTGTCGAAATGTCTACATAATTGTCTGGATTCTGGAAGGGGGTCCTACCAAGCTTATTTAACTCGCCGCAACAGCCTGAGAGAGGCGGGTCGATTCGTGCCGGCGTCTTCCGCGGGTATGAGTAGACGAAGCTGCCGAGACCTGATGCATCCCTCCGCGCCACACTGCCAAGTACTTCGCGCGCGATAGCCAAACGCGAAGGCCTTGTGGCCAATTCCAAATGGTCCTGCAATGGATAGATGGCAGTTGACCCGTGAAGCGCTTGTTATCAACCCCTTTCGTAAGAGTAAGTGATCCTTGCGCGGATACCGCCGTACTCAATAGGCAGAAATCCTAACAGCAAAGCATAGTTCCAGCTTCGGCTTCTTCATGCACTGTTATACGCCGCCGACGCCGTTAAACATGGTCTGGAGACATGTTATCTCCGGTTTTCCTCGCAGCTACTGACTGCACGTGACCTCGCACGTCAGCGGAGAACAAGACTCGCGCAATCGAGCTCGCCTTTTTTTGCAAAATCATGGCGAACAACTTGCAAAGGGTTTGGCAATCTTGGTGCCGCCAAGACGGAGATGCGCGGCGAGTGTCTGTCGCCTGGGGCACGCTGCTCATATACGAACCACCACGATAGTCCAGCGAGCCGCAACACATGACTTGCGCGGGCATGGATACTCTTCCTCTCGAGCTGCACGCCCAGATATTCGAGTGTGCGTGCACTGACGATGGCACGACGGCACACTCGCTATCTCTCGTCTCGCACTATGTCCGCGAAGTCTCTGAGCCATACCGATACCAGTCGCTCGCTGTCGCAGGCCTCGACTCATTAGTCAAGCTCGTCCATAAACTTGAAGAGCTGCCCACACACAGGCGACGCGTTCACCGTCTCTTCCTATCCGGTTGGACGCACAAGCAGACACACGAGAAGGCTGTGGCATTCGACGCCGTTGCAGCAGACAAATACGACCTCGAGCGATCCACGATCGTTCGCATTTTCGAGCTCGTCGCGCCGACACTCGAATCCCTATCATTCGTCGCCGCGTGCCCATACACAAGCACCGCGCTGCTGGGACATCTGTTCAGTTTGCGCTTCCCGCGCTTACACGACCTCGCCGTGCACGGCTTCTACCCCTTCCCACACGTCCCAAACGCCATGCCGCGCCTCGAGCGGCTGCACCTCTCGGGGAACCGCAATCCATACGGCCTGCTGCAGCTTGGCGGCCTCGCAGCGGCATGCCCGACGCTGCGCACGTTGCACGTGTCCGGGCTCGTCGCCGCGTCGTCCTTCGCGGAAGAGCTCCAAAGCATGCTGATACCGGGAGAACACACGGATCCACACGCACTGTCAGGCACAGTGCTCCCGCCGAGCTTGCGCGAGCTGACCCTGAGCGTGGGGCCGTCGCCCTCGAGCGCAAGACGCTACGCCTCCGCGGTCGCTCGGCATGAGAAGATGCTCGAACGGCTTCGATCTATCGCTGGCTGTGGAGAGAGTTTGGGTCCTTTACAGGTAGAATTGCGGGGGAATGATGGAGAAGCAGATGCATACGAGCTGTTGAGGAACCACGGTCGAGACTGGTGAGACGCATGGAATCACGCGTATGATTGTTGATTGATCCTTGTCGCACTCGTGTCTGTAGACTGAAAAATCCCACACATCCGTTATACTCTGTGACATGACAGACAGTTATTGATTGTTGTACATATACAATTTCATAATCATTACAAATATGGGGTGCGAGAGACACTGAACAGCTGAAAGCCGTGTCCCCAGTAGACCCGTTTCTAACCTCCCCAGTATCTGTATTCCTGCGTGAAGCACGGTGTATGTACCACGGTGTATGTACCAAGGCGGCTGGTTCGAGGCTAAGTCCTCAAGCAGACGCCACAATGCCGGCGTCTGCCCGGGGCCATGAATGACGTCAGGACTTACGGTAGCTGAGCGAGGCGAGATGCAGTTCACAGCGCTACCACTGGTACATCTGCCTGCCATCTCCCCCGGATGTCCATTCTCTCAGCCCGAACAAGTCTTTCGTTCCGTTCTTCCGCATGACTCATCCCTGTTGCTTAACTTCTTACTCCAACTTTGTGCCTCCCCGCCCGGTCCGTCTCCGCTTGACATATAGCAAATGGATCTTGAGCAGCAGTCTAGATACAAGCTTGGTAGTGCATATAAGTGGGCAGACTTGCGCGCCGAACACTATTCTGAGTATCGCAGAGGTTGCTGCACTGGAAGGTAGCTCACTACATGATATGGTCGTTCAATTGACGAATGTGACTGGCCAGATGTTGAACACTTTACACATGTAAATCTTAGACGTTACTTACTACTGAATAATTTTCCGCAAGGATTTTGATGCAATCTAAAGACTCGGAAAGAAAATGAAAAAAGCTCGGCATATGCGGCACGAGACGGGGAGTCGCGCGGAACGTAAACTTTGGAGTTCGCTCCTGCTCCGACGAAGTATCTATATCGGCGGTGGCGTCACGTCTCATGCCGGACTTGTCGAGATGTGTTCAGTGTCTTTCTGAGTCTTGAAGCTGCATAAAAATCTTCGCAGCAAGTGGATAAGTTCCTGTAGGAGCTGTGAGGCAAACCAAAGGCTCGAAAAGGACTTGAAGGCCGCTCGGCGTGTCCGGCATGGGACGCGGAGCCTGGGATTTGAGCCCCGCACCTGCCTTGGAAGGGCAGAGCACCGGCGTCCAGACCCTTGCTGCGCGCGCCGAGTTGCTTTCAAAGCCGTTTCTTGAGTCTGTAGTTTGCAGCAAAACCCTCGCAGGAAGCCGTTCAGCCATCGTCCACTAAATATTTAACGTGGTCCCAAAATGAAAGCTCCCGCAAGCCGCCATCCGCGCACTATCGAGCTGTCCAAAGCCCTGTGAAAATGCATCCATGTCATATCAAACAGCTCGAAAATAGCAATCACACCTTCGATTAGGCCAACCGACAAGATGCTCGACGCCGCCACTCGGAGTGGTGGTGCGATTGGAGGCCCCGCAAGCAAAAAAGAACCACTGGTACTGCCGCTGCTCGTAAGCGCAGGCCCGAATATGAACGAGGGGCTACTCTCACCTAAGGTGGTAGTAAACACTTTGCCGGTATCCCCGTCTGTGCTGACCGAAGCCGGGCTCGCGGCACAGCTGCCACCGACTCACCGAGACGACAGGATGTCCAGACTCCGTACGCAGGATCTCAAATTCTGTAGCGCGGTGAGTGTAGAGTTAAAGTGACATTATGCAGAAGATACCGACTGTGGATTGCCATCTCGGCCTCCATCAGGACATCCGGGCCCAAGCCTATTTGCTCAACCAACGGCACCAGGCAGTTGTGGCAAGCAGCTATTAAAGTGCACGGCTTGGCAGAGGACCCTTCGCAGGCTGGCATGGTCTGCAGGTCAGTGGACATCCCACGAGCCGAGGGGATCCGCTCACCGTGGACGACAAGAAGCAAGACGGCCAGAGCAGTCGTCCAACACATGGTGTTGGAAGACTGAGGCCAAAGGAAGCGAGAGGGGAGCAGCTTGCCCTATCCTCATACCCACTCATGAAATATAAGCAATCAGACCAAGTACCCCGAAGGTTCGCTTCTCAGGGATGTGCTGACAAATATCACAAGCCGAAGGGGCTCAAGCGGCATAGAACATGTTGTTGACTGGACGCGGTTAGATCGTGGCTTGGCCGTACGCCTTCCCAGCGCAAGGGGGCGCGCGGCGACTGAATTTTGCCATTCCAGAGGCGAGAACAACGCTTCCAAGTCCGCGCTACCCGCATCTGTTGATCCTGATTGAGGCGCATGACATGCAGCACGCCAATTATACGCCCAACACGCCGACAACACGCGGCCGAGGCACCCGCTCGCTGTCAACGAGTGAGCGCACACAAAAATCTTTGTACTAGGGACATACCACTCTCGTTCTATCCATTTCGCCGCAAGCTGGTGTCATTGGAAAAGCCAGAACAGTCTGTAAACCTGCCGGCAATCGTTCATACAGGTAAAGGTGCCAAAACACACCGTATTCTGGCAGAGGCGATGCACGGGGCACTGACCGGCTGAGACCGCCAGGGAGAGTTCAATCGCTGTACATTTCAAACAATCGATGCTGCTGAAACCCTGATGGACCCCCGAACAATACTCGTTCTCAGCCGAAGGCTCGCACGTACTCCGCGCGCCGAGGCGGCGCACCAAACCCGTAACAGCCCACCCGGCGAAGCTCATCGCCACCAAGTATCATCCGGCTCTAGAACCCAAAGATCGCAACCATCCCGCCGAGCAGGCCAGCTAACAGGATGCACGAGGCCGGACCGACGTGCGTAGCACTACCGCTCAGGCCAGACATGCCCTTGGGCTTGGTGGTGGAACCACTGGTCAGGGGTGCAGGCGCAGACACAGACGAGACACCGCCCCCGCCTGTAGTTGTGGGCGAAGTGGGTGCTGCGCCTCCGCCGCCGGCGAGCGTGACTGAAGCAGCGGGATATCCGTCCTCCGCACACGCACTCACGAACTCTGGGGTGTGAGTGGTGTGGGTGAGCGTACCGCCGAAGGACCCGTTGGACGGGAAAGACATCCACCGTTGATGGCCGTCTGTTCGTTCGACGTGAAGCTCGGGTCGTTGACGAGCGGCACCAGGCAGCTGTAGCAGGCGTTCATCTTCATCATGTAGTCTGCGGTGCAGTAACACTGCATGATGGCCGTGTCAAAGGGTGCGGTGCTGCAAGACTGACGGACAGCGTGTCAGCGAGTCTCCGCTATGTTGATGACGACGGCTAGATGCCCATGGTAATGTCGTTCTCCCAGGATTCGCATGCAGCATCACACTATGATCATACATGGCAAAATTAGGGAATATAGAAACAGATGGAAAGTGGTAATCACTTACGCTACCAAATCCACCTCCGGGAACTTGAAGTGTAGGGACGCTGAATTGACGGGCCTGTAGAAGACTATAGTACCCATGCAAGTTCCGTTGTAGCCCTCGTGAGTTCGTGTCCACCCTATGCAGCCTCAAGCCCACCCCATGCGAGTTCCATTGTAGCCCAAGTGAGTTTATGTCCAGGGTACGCGAGTTTCAGTGTAGACCATGCGAGTTTGGGCTTGAGGTTGTCGTCTTGGTGAAGGTGCGTGCAATTTGGTGCAGGTGTGTGCACTTCGGTGCAGGTCTGTGCACTTCGGTGCACTTTTGCACAGGGGCGCCTCGTGCACCATCACAAACGCCGAGCGAGTTTCACAACGTCGGCGGCGAGTTTTAGTTAGGCGATTGTGCACGTACGTGCATGTTAGTACATGCCTGTGCCGCACCGCTCACATGAACACACCTAGGTTCGTCATTGTTCATGGCGATGAGCAGAGGCTCATGTTGATGCTCACATCTTCACGAGAAGTCAATAACATGCAGCAAGTTTTAGATTTCTGCAGCAAGTTTTAGATTCTGCAGCAAGTTTTAGATTTCTGCAGCAAGTTTTGGATTTCTGCAGTGAGTTTCTATTTTTGTCTATGGTAAACTGCGATATGCTGATCGCCTGTGCTCGCAGCCTTGTTATCAGTTCCTGATGGCGTGACTACGTAGAGATCTGCAGGCCTGGGAAGTGCGGCCCCCGATATAAATAATGCCTGGCATGGACAGGTCCATCTCCACATACCCTTCTGCCCACATTTACAATCGTGACTCGTCTTTGGCCACTATGACTGACCAGAAGACAGCCACTGCCGACTATGCGTACAGTGCACCCCTGCCTAGAGATAGCAGGTCACCGTGTCCAGCGCTGAATTCGCTGGCTAATCACGGATATCTGTCTGTACCCCTACCGTCTCTAGGAATTGTCAATCCTTTACTCACGTCTCTCAACCCAGACCCCGAGACGGGCATAACATCGGCTGGTGGACACTCGTGTGCTCACTTGTTAAGGTGTACAACCTCTCGTATCCGTTTGCGCTGCTCCTGTCGACGCTGGGAGTCATCATCTGCGGTCATCGAACGAAGCTGTCGTGGACGCTCAGCCTGCACGACCTCTGTTTGCACAACCGGATCGAACACGACGTCTCAACGGTGCACGCCGACGCCAAGCCTGGCGAGAAGTTCGCACCCTCGCGGCCGGACGACGTGCTCCTCCAAAATCTGCTCGGCTACACGCAGGCGGAGGGCAGCCTGACGCTGAACGATTTTGTGCGCGCGCGCATCTGCCGGGCGCTGGAGGAGCGGAAACCATTGAACTGGGTGCACAGGGGGCTCGCCCACGGCGAGTCGGCTGTGGCACTGCTGGTCTTCGGGCAGGGCAAGCCGCGGGTGAAGGACTCGGCGCTCGCCATCCCGAGAAATTTTGTGGAGCAGTGGTACGGAGATGAAAAGTTGCCGGAAGGATGGAATGCTCCTGTCAAGCAAGTGGGTATACTGCGCGTGGTATCGTTGCTCAATACCGTCGCGACCAGGACTCGCCAGCAGGACTATATAGCAAAAAGCGCATGAATGAGCTCATGGCTCGGAAGCTACGACTGAATTATCTAGTATTTATCACGGTGCTGCCAGCGACGATCGCGGACTGACATTAGTACTAACGATTATCTGTATTACTTTGCATTAATCTTCGAAGCACTTTGCATCTATGCTCTCCGAGGACTCCATCAACATGACACACACACTGGGACGCCTAATTACTGAACCAGGCACGAGCCAAGGTCGGCTTATATTAACCGCTGCCGTCTCACATGAAAGGAACTTGCGCTGCGAGTCTGCGGTGTCAAACACGGAGTTTACACGCAATCCGGCTGTCCCCGGGATAAACTAGGCGTGCTAGATATCCAGAGCATCCAATCGACTGGACATGCGGGCTCGTTCAGCGTTTTCCGTGTTTCGCCAGAACCCATGTACACCAGCTGTAAGTGGCGTGATCACTTTAGCGGTTGATGAAACGTGTTGGTGAGTGAGCAACGTGCGCGCATGTGAACCACCATGAATGACAGAGAACATGACAGAGAGAGCGATAGCCCAGCGCATAGCTTCGGAAAACTGCTATCAGGGAAGAGGGAAAAGAACAGGCTGCCTCATCCATGTCAGCCAATATATCATATTTCGTCCAACCTAACACTCTGTAAGGTCCGCTTTGCGAATATGAAGCGACAAGCGTCGGGACCTGAAGGAGGGTGGGGACTCAATTGTCGCTAATGCGGAGGCGGGAGCGACGCCGTGAGGTACGCTCGCGCTGCCCGCATCTGTCGATCCATATTAAGGAACACAGTGGCCAATTAGTATGACAACTGCGCCCCTGGCGTGCGACTAGAGCGTACATGAAGTACCTCGTGTCGTGATGGACATAGTGACGCAGTTACCCCTGCCTGGTGAAGGGTTAAACAAGCCCAAGCGCGCTGTCTCAGAGCAATGCGCCAGGCGCTTTCTAACCAAGTCGCCAGCGAGGGTTCGAACTTTGTGGCTGACAGGCGAGAGGGCCATCTCAAAGCCATCTCTCTCGACGGGTCTCGCTCATGCTCGCTAATCAGCGACTAATACTATGTGGTGTGCAGTTGACCAATAGGACGTAGGATTGGCTCTACAAGTTGGGGCGACGGAGCGCCGTTTTCACTTGAGAAAAAATCAGAGACAAATTCTAATTAATCTAATTAGCTTAACTAGCTTAACTTTCCATCAGTTTCGCCGTATTTTAGACGCGACAAAAAACCGCACTACCAAGATTCATCACCAAATTGAACTTTCAAGTTCGAGGTCAGGGTGGACTGGGAAAAACGCAAGAAGCTATTGGCAGGATATTCAACATTTTTGCGTCTCCATTCAATAAAGTCAGATCCCAGCAGTGAAGAAACGAAGCGTCGGTGTGGGCGGGATAATGCCGAGTATGGGACGTACCTGCGCGCTCGCGTGACTAGCTACGCGGCCCAAAGTCGTGCAGCTAACTGGGCTGGACGACGCGTCCTCCAATCAGACATGACTAGATGTTAGGGCCATATAGCGAGAGCCTCCTCTGACATTTTCTACGGGACGGCTTATACGAGGAGCCCGTTGCTGTTCGTGGGATCAGCCCAATTTGCGGCGCGTATGCGTGCGGGAGAGAGTACGTAGCTGTCGTACCCATCCGGGGAGCCTCGTCAAGGCTTCGTGGCGCCGCATGTACTGCTACACCTCCTGGCCTGTATGACACGGGGAATGATGACGACCGTTCGCGTATTTGCTCTCGTGTATTGCAACCTGGTCCTCGGAGGCGAACATGAGCGTTTGGTGTCCTCCGACATTGCTCCGTGAGGGCTAGAAGTGTAAAATTCGAGCGTGCTAGGTACTGCTCATATAGGACACTAAGTTCAATTCATGCACGGCGAATTTTAGGACCCCAAGCACGAGGCAGCAGCACTGCGGATGGCGTGGCGGATGAGGGGCTTCTGAGACCCTGGAATTTTGACATGCGGCCCTATTGACCTTGCGGCGTATATAGAGTCCCATTCCCAGAGCGCGTTCAGAACACGGTGCTGCCACGCAAGGCGGTGTAAGCACCACACGTGTCTCTCCTGTCGCATGGACGAGACCCGCCTTGGAGAACAACGTGTGCCAACGAACGCTGTGGTGCGCACACGACCTGTTCTCGCGCTGTTGACGCTGCTGACATTGCCCGGTGCAGCCTGCGGCTGTAGCCCGAAGAGCAGAGCGGAAGTGACGACAGGCTTTCGTCTTCTGAGGCCCTCGCCAGCAGGGTCTTCTGTCTGATCGGCGTCCGGATGTGCGCAGCGATGATCCTGGCGTCTGAGACACTTGGGATCGTCTGGACGGGATCGACGCAGCGTCGAGGGGCAGGAGATGACGCGATGACGAGGCGAGGGGTGGCAACGGGGTGCGCGATGGCTGGCAGCTGGACCCACTATCAGTTATGTTACGGAAGGAATCGACATGGCAACGGGACGCGGCGTTGGATGGGCCGTGCACTCTCCGCCGCGTTCTCTGCTCGTTGCATCCACCTTCGTTTCGATTCCGAGTGTGCCAGCAGCCAGGTGCTGCTCAAGCCAACTTGTCCGCTCGTTCCCAGTCCGCGCCGTTCGCCTGCCGGGGCCCACGTGGGGCGGCCATCAAGGGCAGGGCGCTGGCCGTTGTTGAACGGTTTTCTGTGTGAGAGTTGAGCGAGCACACGAGGCGGCGACTGCGTTTGTCGTACACGAGGCTCTCGCGTTCACGGTCCCAGCATTCCTCAGGCTTGAGCCTGAGCTTGCTCCTCAGTGCCTGGTGCGCACCCTCTCCGCCGCGCGAAACCGCCCCCGCCTCCATCTAATCTCCAAGGACTCTCCATCTCGTCTTCTCTCCGTCTTGCTCTCTCTCTCTCTCTCCCTCTCTCCCCTATACTCTCTTACCCTAATCACGGGTTGCATGCCATACTGACGGTACCTCACCGACATGTCGCGTACCCAGTACGACCCCCCGACCTCGGCGCAACCCTCTCCAAAATCCTCCTCTTCTTCCTCCTCGCGACAGAGCCTCCCAACCGAGCCTGGCGCGCCTCCGGTCCAGCAGCAGGCCAGCACCGAGCCCTCGACGTCCACGCCCCAGTCTCCCCGCTTCGACTCCTCCATAGAGGGCTACCCGTCATGGCTCCCCAAAAGGCCCCCGCCCCCGGCCCCGCCCACCGCCTACTCCACCCGCACCTCTGGCCTCGGCATGTACAGCGACGCCGGCCCCAGCAGCGAGCCCTTCTACGGCGTCGGCCGCAAGCCCACGCCCCGCTCCGTCCGCATCGTCAGCCTCCAGAACTCGTCCCTCAGCGACAAGGACAGGCACCCCCGCCGCCGCGAGTCCACCGACCCCATCCGCGCCTTCTCCGCCGCCCACAACCGCGTCTGGTCCCGCGCCACCAGCGCTGGCCTCAGTCCCACCCTCTTCTCGTCCCCGCCCTCCCTGCCCCGCCCCCGCTTCCGCGCGTCGTCCCTCCACCTCGAGCTCCTCCGCAGCCCGTCTTGGAACATGCGCCTCTGGTACTACCTCTACCCGCTCTTTGTCTTTGCCCACATCCCGCTCCAGACCTTTTTCGACTTTAACGCCGTGTTCATTTTGTTGCTGTGAGTCCCCACGACTAGGCCACAATTGATGCTGATGGCTGGCTGATGATGATGATGATGATGATGACGGATGCAGGGCCGCAAAGTACCCCAACCCGTCCGCCCCGGGGGTCGCTGGTTCCGGGCGGGGTTGGGCCCTCGGCGCCGCGGCGTACATCGCCTGCTGGGCGGTCCAGGTGTTCGTCGTCTTCGTCATGTACGAGATCGTCTACTCCTTCGTCCGGCGATGGAGGGTCAGTGAGTGCCGTGCCCGTTTCTCCCTCGCACGCGCGCGCGCGCGTGTGTTGTGTGCCTTCTTTCTGACCGCTCGCGCGCCCCTTCCCCCAACAGAACGTCCGTTCGTGCTTCCCATCTACCTCTCGACACCCGCGCGCCGGCTCGCAGCGCTCACCTCCTACACACACTTCTGCTTCCTGCAACACATCCGCCTCTCCGCCTGGTCCTCCCCCACCTCTGCCTCAGCCTCAGCCTCCGCCTCTAGCGGCGGCGTGCGCGACGGGCTCGCAGAGGCGTGCTACGCGCACGCGCAGAACCTGCCGACGGTCGCGCTGCTCCTGCCGCGCGCGGGCCTCGCGCTCGCGGCGCTGCTCGCGTTCTCGGACGCGCAGCCGGGCGAGCTGGGCCTCGCCGACGCCGGCGTGCGCCCGCGCGACGGCACCTTCTTCCGCGCCGCCGACCAGACTCTGACGGCGTACGCGCGCGGCGTGCTCGTCGCGAACGCCGCGTGGACCGCCTGGCGCGCCGTCGTCCTCCTCGTGAGCTGGTCAGTCCCGTCGACGCGTGTCTCTCTGTGTTTTCCTGTGCTTTTGCTGACGGTGTTTTTTTTTTTTTTTTTCGCGAATGCAGGACCGGCCTCTGGGTGCTCAGCGGGCAGGGCTGCGCAGGCCTGTGCGGACCGCGGTTCCGCTGGGAGGAAGAGGAGGACGCGGAGAAGGCGGCCGCCGCCGTCGCCGCCGCGGGCGAGACCTTTGCGCCCGACGCGCCGCTGCCCTGGGCCTGGCGCGAGCGCACGCTCCTCCGCGTCGTCGACGCGTACGAGTTCTGCCTCACGGACCGTCTCCCGCGCGTGCCTGGCGCGATCGCAGGGGGAGGAGAGAAGACGAAGGAGGGAGGAGGAGAGGCGCACGGGGGCGGCGGCGCGGCACAGCAACAGCAGCAGCAGCACCAGGGCGGCTTCGAGGGCATCGACCGCGTGTTTGCCGCGGTGGGGCTTGGCGGGCAGGGTGCACCTCCTGCTGCGGCGCGCCGGGGCGTGCTCACCGAAGAGCTCTTCGCGACGCCTGAGCCGTCGCCTGGGTCGGATAGTCGCCACCATCGGGGACGACAGCCTGGAAGCAGTGGCAACAGCAATAGCAACAGTAATAGCGAGAGCGAGAGGAACAGCAGCAGTGCCAACGGCAGGAGCGATAACGGCAGGAGCAGAAGCAGTGGCAACGGAAACGGCAGAGGCAGAGGCAAGAGCGGCAGTTCGGGCAGCGATGCACCACCGCCGCCGCCGCCGCCGCCGCCGCCGCCGCTCTCGGCGTACCCGTTCACGGGCGCTGCGGCGCAGATCTCGAGCGAAGACGTCGTGCCGTTCCCGCCGTCGCCCGAGCCGGAGGAGGGCGACGAGAGCGAGCGCGAGACAGGCGGGCCGCAGGAAAGGGACGAGGGGCACGGGGAAAGAGCGGCAGAAGGAGAAGAGGAGCAAGGCGAAGAGGAAGGCGAGGAGGAAGGAGAGCTCGAGGGGCTCGAAGGGCTCAGCGCCGAGGGGCTCAGTGCCGAGGGCGGCTACAGCGCCGAGGCGGGCGAGAGCGAGTTCACGTCCGACGACCGGCGCACGTCAGGGTCCCTGTCGAGCCTCGGCCGGCCCGTCCCGTCGCGCTACCCGTTCTCCTTCCGCAGACCCCGCACCCGCGGCGGCGGCCGCGCCGGCAGCACCATCTCGACCCTGTCGTACCGCAGCCAGCTCAGCCAGGCGCTCTCGTCCCCGACGTCGCCGCACCGCGCCAGCATCGTCACCGGCGCCAGCGTCGCCACCGCTGGCGCCGCACGGTCCACGCAGTCCCGCTCGACCAACTCCCGCTCGACGAATTCGCGCTCGACGCAGTCGACGGGCAACCGCGAGTCGTCGGACTCGCCCATGTCGCGCGGCAGCTCGAACGCGTCCGGCCCGCCGCCGGGCGCGCGGGGCGGCAACGGCGGCAGTGGCGGCGCCAGCGGCAGCAGCGCGATTCCGATGCCGCCGCGCCACCCGCAGAAGCGGAGCCGCGCGCGCACGGTGCCCGCGGGCTCGCCGGGCAGCTCGATGTCGTCTGCGTCGCCCGTCGTGTTCCCCGGCGTGCTGCCGTCGCGCGTGGGCAGCGCGCACACGCGCACCGCGAGCGACCTGTCCATGACCTTTGGCCCGCACGCGCCCGTGCCGTTCGTGCTCAACTCGGATGACGAAAGGGAAGGCGAAGAAGAAGAAGAAGAAGAAGGCCGCGAGGGTTCGCTCATGGACGTGCCCGAGGCAGAGGGCTCGGGCGAGGAGGCCGAGCAGCACGACAGCGTCGGCCTGCTGTACGGCCGCGCGAGCGCGCCCGCGTCGCGCACGTCGCTCCGCCAGTTCGCGAGCGGGCTCCACCGCCGCGCGAACGGCTCGCGCTCGCGCTCGGCGTCCTCCCGTTCGCGCACGACCTCGTCGCACTCGAACTCGCGCGGCTCCGAGTCCGCGCGCTCCCGCGCGCAGTCGCTCATCCACTCCCTCGGCGCCGCCGCGTCCCGCTCGTCCCTCGACCTCGTCACGCGCGCGCGCGCCCACTCGATGCAGCAACAGCAGCGCCTCGCGGACTATGACGACGACTACTCCTCGGCCTCGCCGGACCCGATGCCGAGCAGCCCCGAGAACAACACGTTCGGCTTCGCGCGCAGGCCGCCGCGCCGCGACGACGACGCGCCCAGCAGCGCCGGCTCTGGCGGCGGCGTCTCCGTCGTGGGCGACGAGCCTGCCACCGTGGCCGTGGCCGTGCCCGCGCCCGCGCGCCGCCGGCGCCGGCACACGTCTGAGGCCTCGCGCGGCGCGCCGAGCGAGCTGAGCGTGCGCACGGCGCGTGCGGGCCCGACGGCGCATGCTGCGGGCGGCAGCAGCGCGCCGGTGCCGATCCCGATCCCGCACGGCAGCTTGCCGGATCTCAGCACGGCGCACGCGTCGCTGGTGACCGCGCCTGAGACCGTCCAGGGGACGGGTGGCGCGGGCGGGACGCCGTCGAGCTGGGGCACCAGGCTGGACCAGCGTTTGGGCCAAGGCCGGGCGTGGGAGCCTGCGTAAAGCCCCGCGCGTTGACCTCGTCTCTGTTTTCTGGACCCGTTGGACTGCTGATCTTATTGCTTTAATATTTTTGCAGACTGTACATATTTGTTGCTCTTTTTCTTGCTTTCGGCTCTTGCACATACACATCAACACCGTTCCCCCCCGTCATCTCGTACACTACCGTGCATTCTCGAGGTTACTACACTTCACGTTCCCGCCCCGCCTTCTGCCACTTGTTTTTTTGGCGCTGCCTTTCCGTAGAACCACCGAGCTTGCCCTTCACACACACCCTCTCGTAATCGGCACTATTGCGCCTGTCCATTTGTAACCACACCTGTAACCCGCTGCGCGACACCCTCCGCCTCCTCCCTACTAGTACCATATTGCGTCCCCTCCCCTCCGCGGGCCGCCTGTAGCTGCGTCATACTGTGCCATATAGCTTTCTTGTCCCTCCATACGTTGTCACAGTATTTGCCCTCGTTTGTACATACTGAGGCCTCTGGTCCATTGACCAGCATTGCTTGACGGACTGCACTTTGCGATATATTCTACATCCCGTTCTGGTGTTGCGTGAGTGCTGGGCCACTTAAGCTTTTCGGTGAGTGACTCATGCCTTGCCTCGTAACGGGCCGGTGTGAGTGCCTTGCAGGCGTTCAACTTGGAGCGCGTTTTTTGCTGTTGTTGGGTAAACGTATCAGGTTGGATTCCGTATTTCCAACCTTGCCCTTGAATGCACGACCTAGGCCGGTTTTCTGTGTAAATTGGACCCTCCTTCACCTGGATGGCGGATGCGCTTCTACCGTACCCTTATGCTACACATTACGGAGAGATTTTTTCTATTTGCATGTGGGATAGGTTTGGACGGGTCTGTCTGGCCTGTTGGCCTGTATGGAAAATGTACAGGAATTGACGGCGTCGCGGAGACCCTCGCAAAAACCTTTGCAGAGGCTTTGGTGAACGCATTTGCGCACACAAACGTCTTCGATATCAACAAGCAGCTTAACACGTTCTTATCAATAGGGAGGCTCCCTGCAAAGTAGTTCACCGAGGTCTAAAGCATGTGAACTCGTCGAGCTGCGAAGCCCCGTACCGCCCTCTGAATGCAGTTAGGAGTTTTCTTGGGATACTGAGCGCACAGTTTTGCATACAAGACAGCGACCCATTTGGTTCAAACCATGCTACAAATGAGCTGCACCGGGTCATCGTGAGCCGTTTATTCGACACAGAAGCCGTGAGGCAAGTAGCTTAGAAGTCGTATAGCTGATCACACCGGCTTTGCTTTACAACGCCAAAGCTTAGTGGCCTCCTGGCTGCTGATGTGGACCTGTGCGTGACGGCCGTGTTTGCTACCAAGACGGTAAACCTGAGAGCTGTTGAGCTCGTTCTGTATTGTCGGCCATTGTCGGGAGGTAATGACCTTGTGGCGTTTGATCCGCAGAGGCCCTGATTCGGCTAATCGTCGATTAGATCATAATTATTAGAGTCTCTGCATCCGGTCACTCATTTACAGCGGATAGTGGTATTGGCAAAAGGAAGTGGCAAATGGCTCACCATGATGGCACAATCTTAGCGATAGCCGCGCAGGGAGGCCGCGCCTGCTGCCATGGCATTTAGAGCCAAACCCGCTGGGTACTGACCAACTAACAGGCAGTATGGAGGTTAACAGCCTATAATCTCAGCGGAGAGGAAGAAATCCGAGAGTAACGAGACGAATCATAGCTTGCAAGGTAATATTATAGAGAGCTCCACGGGAAAGCATGTTGCAAGATACTGAATTTCATGGGTGGCAGTCTGTCGTCTAGTAGCGGTATCGGGTAGAGTAGTCTGCAGCACGATATAATAAGGATGATGAGTCGCTGAGATGGGAGAGGAGCTGCCTTACCCTTCGGAGAGACGACAAGACCGCGGCCTTTCGAAGCACCGCGGTAGACAGTCTCGATGATGTCGATAAGCTATGGAAGGGGTCAGAAACACGCCACATCAATACCTCAACCAAACTTACCTCCTGTTTGTTATCCATCGCCCAGTTACTACGAAGGAACACGTCATGAATACCCGACATCATCGAAGCAAAGCGAAGACTGACGTACATCTTGTTGTTATTACCAGTGCCAAGATCTATCATAATGTGCTTGTTTCTGTGGGTGTAAGGACAGTCGACATTGCACACACAAACACGATACAAGAAAACATACCTGTAGAAGAACATCACCGTGCAGGGGTCATACAACTCGTACATCTGCCACCCGGCGCCATCGCTCGTCAGCATCGGGTCCTGCGTGCTGCCATGCACCACGCACCTTGTTGAAATCAGGTACCTCCGTGATGTCGACGAGGTAGATGACAGCAAAGTTCTGGACCTTGTCCGCGACGGCGTAGAGGGTCTCGTCCATGACCATGCATTGTGGGTCCCAGTCGTGACCGAAGCGGATGACGACAACTCGGTCTTCCTCAGACTTGATCGCTTCGTCAACGTGCCAGCCAGAAGGAAGATGTGGGAGGAAATACGACATGATGTGAGCCCGGAAATCAGAGGTCGGCTAGGGAGCAAGAGGAGGAAGAGAGCAAGGAGAGATGACGCTTAGCGCCCGAACGAGCCGAGGTAATGAGGTCGATTAGAACGTTCCACATCTTTCCCCTGGACCGGCACCATCGACCTGGCTCAAGCTCAAAACTTGGATCTGCGTTCTGGATGACCCTGTGGAAGTCAGGCCACATTTCTGCGTGGTATAACCCCGATGCGCAGCACTAAGCATCTGGGAGCTCCCATGATAATATCTCTATACCTAGCACCCTACCATGCTACTCTGGTCTGAGCCCTGCATTCAAGCTTACACTATGCGTACTGTTACCCTGGCCATGTCTTCCTAGCCATATTTCTGGCCGAGGAGGACTCCTTCGCCGGCGTGGACTGCGAAAGCTATCGGGCCTGTCATGACGAAATGGTGAGACGAAGTCAAGTTCGGGAAATCTCGCGTTACCACCAGCCATGGAGGTCTTTCGGACTTATGAGCGCAAAGATGAGTTTATTCTCAAGAGCCGTCCTGACCTTGCTGCTTTGTTCAGAATAGATACGTCCTTTTTCTTCGTCGCGAGAGTCGTTCCAACCGTTTGCAGGAAGCCTCGCCGCGCTGAACAAGACGGCGGAGGACGTTCCTGAAGCCATGAGGGCTATTGAAATGGCCATGCCGCGCCAGACGGCGGTTATGCAAGGGCGTCGTGGCGCAGGAAGAGGAGTGCCAGGATATCGCAGAGCGGCATGCTCCTAGTGCTTTATACAGTAGAAGGACATATTTCGTCTGTCTCAACCCTCGAGGATAATGTGGCAGTCGAGAGCTATGCGTAATTGAATGCATGCCCTGTCGAAGTATAAATCCTGCGCGGTCTACGGACACAAGCGTGCCTCGCTCCTAGCTGTCACTATTACAAGGAATGTTAAAATTTTAGGTAAAATGCATCGAAGAGGTGACGTATTCCGCCGGCTCGCATGGCCGGAGCTGAAGAAATGATACTACCCTCTCTTGGGCACAACGTGTTGGGACATGTCAGCCCAGAAGTTATTCTTCTCAGCCAAGAACAACTACAATTGACGGTGAATATAGTAACGATGCAGCGATACGAAAGGATTACACGTGAACAACAGGAAGACAGCGCGAGCAGAAGCAAGAGACGAGAGATCGACAGGAAATATTGTACAAGTCTCGTTCTTAGATCATGCTGAACCTCCGACCTCTGCAGTAAAAGAAAAAGACTCTAGTCAGAAGAGCTCGTTTGCAGAAGAGAGGGGCCGACATACGTTCTACCATGACATCAATCGTGTCTGCGAGAGACGGGTAAGCATCGAGCAGACGACCACCTCAGGGGATCTACGCACCGTTATCTTCCATATCCAGCGAGGCGGGGGTGTCTTCATCATGTATACGGTTACCATCGTACAGGAACCTGATTCACAGTGGTCAGCATACACCTTCAGACCTCCTGAGTCGCAGGCGGCGCATCATGGATGGAAAGCGCGTCAGCAGGCGAAGATCTCGCGACACCGACTTCGGATGCGCTCCGTTGAGTTGGAGGCCGCCCTATCTATGAGAGAAAGCGGCCGCAAAAGAGCCTGCACTCACCGAATGCTGTTGACATCCTTGCCGACCTTGTTTGCATAGGCGCCTTGAAGCTTGCTGAGCTTCGTGTTCCTCTTAATCTTGAAGAAAACCTCGTCCCCTGTCTGTGTCGTAACCTACACACCCGCCGTGCAGACAAACGGCCACCGTTAGATCTCGTCTTTCCGCGCGACGCAGGCCTGAGATGCGTCCAGGCGGCCTTGCTCACCTTGATGTTAATAGGCGCGTTGGCATCCTCGACCTTGGGCTCGGTGTCCTGGGTCGCCTGCTGCTCTACGTCCGACATGTCTGTGGGCTGCTCGGTTTGTTTGTTTGGAGGAGTCCGCTCACGAGAGCTTGGAGGGAGAGGGAGGAGAGTAAGGATGGCCAAATCGGAAATGCGTCTATAACTTATACCTGCTTATGTAAGCGAGACTCAACTGTCGAATGAAGTGACTTGGACCCAAGCATCGTCCGATCCCAGAGAACACATCCTGTCGTTCCTGCAGGAAAAATTGTAACAATTTCTGGGAATCCTGAGCAATGGGAGGTGCACTGCACAGGACGGGGTGTTGTCGGATCTGGTAGCGAAGCCGAAGCAGGGATGGCAGCCTCTCCTCTGGATTTCCGTACCGGAAAGTCGGAGACGAGGGGTACAGATTATATTCGCTCGTGAAGTCGTGTCAAGATCATTCAACATGTACAGAACGTGATACGCTTCAAGACTACGACGTATGCTATCACTATACAGACACACATAACAGTGCGGAACCCGATATACAGCCGGGATTACATGGAGCCTACGGTAGCGTCCGACTCCAAAGAAAAAACGTGCAAGAAGAGAGTAAGAACGAGGGTATGCAGGTAGTGATTCCGAGATAACTGCTCCAGTCTAGACCAGAAATTACAATAAAATATATAGAAACGACCAAAGGACTGTGCGAGATATATTGTTCCTTACCGATGTTTCTTGGGAGGCGAAGAGAGACGAGAGAGCATACGCTTTGCTTTGCGGTATTCTTCGTCCTCGTCTTCACTTGAGTCCTGCCAAACGTCGCGCTCGCGGATGCGCGAGTTCCAGCCACCCTGGTGGTGGTGGGCGCCGCCATTTGGAGTTGAAGACCAGGGCTCATGACGTCTGTGGCCTCCGTGCTCGTCAACGATAGTGTCGTCTGTATCCTCGAGAGCGGGTGGAGTCGTCGAAAAGGTCGGCGGTAGCGACATGCGGACGCTCTTCCGCCTCCGCGGGCTGGTGCCGTTGCTAGAGTCGGTTGATTTCGAGACGTCGCTTCCACCGGGGTTGTGTGAGGCCGACACTTCAGGCGATTTCGGTGGCACAGGAGGATAGATAGGTGTAGGTTCAGGAGCCGAGGGTGAGACCGGGGCGACGAGCTCGGGGGAGGAGACCAGACCCGGAGGAGAGGACGGTGGAATCATCATCGGCGTGGCGAAAGTCTGCACCGGCGTATCCATATCAAACTCGTCGTTGTCGAGGAGCTCATGCGTTGTCTCATAGGACGAAATGGAAGACGCGTCGTCATCCTTCGTGTGCTTAAGCTCCTGGGTGGGAGGCAGAGGAGTGGGTGGAGGTCGTTGCGGCGACCGGGTGGGGATAGCCGGAGGCGGCATACTAATCTGGGGAGACGGCGACCGGCTGCGCAGCGCGGAACGTAAAGGCTTGATCTCCGGTGAGGACGGTTGGTGGACGGTAGGCGCGGTAGCAGGGGGGATAGAGGGCGTGACAGGGACAGAAGGGACAGAACGCTCGCTTGCCGACCTCTCAAGGCGTGGCACGCTCTTCTCCACAGGCTTCGGCGGTCCAGAAGTGCTCGCAAGGTCCAGCGTCTGGCTGATTGGCGGTGGCGCCTTAGGCAGGAAGAGCATGCTGTTAGGGTCCCGGTGCTCCCTATTCTGTTTGGCCACGCCCTCGACGATGCTCATAAGACTGGGACCCTCGCCTCCGGCACGTGTCGCAGACATTGCGCGCTTGTTGCCTTTCGGTGCGCCTTCCGAGCCCGAATGAGGACTGCGTTCATCCAAAGACGTCGTGCGCCGATGGGATCCTGTAGCGAGATGTCGATGAGACGAAGAGATGGTAGGATGGATCGTGGTGGCCGACCCAGAGGTGTTGGCTGGTGCGGATGCGGCACTGGTCACCGACTGTTTGGATAGAGACGAGTTCCGAGATAGTGCGACCTCTGTTGGCAGTCTGGCGGGTAGCGCAGTGCCACTGGGCTTCTTGCCCTTCAAGCTCTGCGAAGTCGGAGTGACTGGGCTCGGAGGGGTGTTCTTCTCGTCAGATATTTTGAGAATCTCGACCTCCCTGCCCCTTTTGCTCTTCGGTGCAGGGCCGTTCAGGGCAGAGCCGTTCACTACAGAGCCATTCAATGCAGGACCGTTTGGCATTGATGGAGGAGACTTCGGCGACTCATGCTTAGCCTCAAGTTTCTTCTTCTTGGCGGAGCCGTTCGACTTGGGGGGTTGCCCTGCGTCGCTCGCCCAGCCCTTATCTCCGGATGTGGTGGGAGACTTGGGCGGTGCTTGGATTGTATTGCGCTTAGCAGCCCGCTTCTTCAACCGTGGAGAGCTGGCCCCTGTCCCCGAAAGTGGCGTTGTCGGATCTGGAGGTAAGGTGCGAGGGTACGTGACACGCAGGTCATCATCAGAGCTGTTCCGGCGGCTTCGGGAGAGGTGCTTGTCTGTGCGAGTCTTCCAGCGTCCAGACTTCGAGGAGTATGAGTCAGGGACGTAGGAGTTAGACTCATCGTCTGAACCTGCATTCGATGCCTTGCTTCCGTGGAAGAAAGCACCAATCCTACCGAACACCCCTGAGGTGCGTCTCTGCCTAGAAGTCTTCGAGCGGGTGACTACGGGCGCTGAAGCGGATGTGGGGAAGCTGACTTTACTGCCAGACGAAGGCAATGAGCGGTCTACTGTCTTTCCTTTGGTCTGCGTCTTGCTCCGGGTCGCTGCATATCGTTCGTTCTCGCGGACTTCATATTGTTCATTCTCCTCAGAGCCACTGCTGTCCCCGCGCTCATCAACCTGAGATAACGGCGCTGCGGTGCCGTTCGGAAACATGTGGTCTGATATCGAGTGCGCAGGCGGTATGCTCAAGGTATAAGGAGCGTCCAAGGGGAGATGTGTGTTCTGGGAAGCAGACTGAGACGGCCCTATAGAAGACAGGTCCGAAGTACCACTGTCCGGCAGGGGCTTGTTGTATGGGAGCTCACTTGGTGAGTGCGCTATGGCAAAACTTAGATTTCATAGAACCAAAATAGCTAGTAGAGACGCACCGTTGCCATTCATGCCCTCAGGTATTTCGAGCGACTCAAGTGCTCGGAGACCCTCCTTTCCCATCTCCCCCCACTGCCAACCGCACTCTACGAGCGCCTTGCACCGTGCTTGCAGGCCGGCCCTCACGGCGACAGTGCGCATCGTGTCGAGCTCGCGTTCCTTAGACGCGAGGTGAGCTTCGCATGCCTGCAGTTCGCCCTGGGCTGTGGCGAGCTTAGAGCCCATTTGAACCTCGGATTTCGCAAAGCTCAGAGAGGAGGTCGAGCCCGAGGTCGCCAGAAGCGCGTCACGCGTCGGTTTCTGATTCTTCGACGCTTTGATCAGTCGGGTTACGCTACAGCTGTGTTAGCGGTACCAATGTAGAAGCTAATATGTGGCTCACAGAATCTCGCGGTCGCGCATGACATTCCCGACCTCGTCTTCAAGCTCCTTAAGGGACTTGAGCTGTCCCTGCCATACCTCGAGGGACGCAGCATATTTCCTGAATCCTTCGTCTGCCCCTGCCAGGGCGCCAGCTACCTGGATAATAACCTGGGATGTGGGAGGACTCGAGGCTGACGCATAGGCCGAGAACGAAGCCAGAGAGGACTGGGAGCGCTCCAGGAGCGAGTGAAGCTGCTTTGTGTAGTCCTTCTCTTGAGAAATCAAGTTCACAAGAAGCCGGGAATCCGCAGGTCGGTGAACCATTCGAGCGTGCAGGAATGCTAACTGTCAGAAAGGCATGAAGAGGGAGTGGTGGTTCAGAAATAAGATGACCCGGTGCCGTGGAGCGAGATAGGGCGGGCAGAGCGGCTACCCAGTAAGCAGCCATTTGTAGTCTTCATTTCAATCACATTTGATCCGGGGCAACGGTTTAAGCTTGCTCCAAAACCTTGTAATGACGCGGTAACACCGTTTCTTACTTTCCGGTGCTCGGGACTGCTCCGCATCCTTCCTCCTGTTCCTGCCCGGAATCCGTCGTATTACAAGCAGACGAGTCGCTCTGCTAAATTAAATGTTAAGAGGCATTAAAGCCTCTTCGAGTGGCCTGCGACACAATTTTCGCCGATGCGCTTCGTCGGCGTCGAACTCAAACGCATACGATGGTGAGACATTCTGCTACTCGCCGGGCAATCTTCCTGTTAAATCCTCGTAGTCGTCGTGATTGGTGGAGGCCATGCAGGCTGTGAGGCAGCGGCCGGTGCCGCACGAACAGGTGCACGGACGGTGCTCTTGACGCAGAAGCTCGACACTATCGGAGAGCTGTCATGCAACCCATCCATTGGAGGTGTAGGAAAGGGTACTCTTGTGAGGGAAGTGGATGCATTGGACGGTGTAATGGGCAAAGTTACAGGTATGTAGTGAACTATTCAGTTTACTCGGTGTCAACATTCATATGCGCAGACAAGGCAGGGATCCAGTTCCATATGCTGAACACCTCCAAGGGGCCCGCCGTCTGGGTCAGTGAACACAAAACCAATTCAGCATGGCTCTCATTCCAGCACGTTGCAGGGGCCTCGCGCGCAAATCGACAGGAGGTTGTACAAGCATCACATGCAAGAGACTCTCCATAGCTACCCTAGCCTCGACATCCGCGCCGCGAGCGTGCACGACCTCATCTTCGATCACGCTTCCGCGGACGGGACTTGGGGGTCGGTCACTGGTGTGCGCCTCGACTCAGGCGAGGTCTTCCAGTGCTCGCAGGCTGTCATCTGCACAGGCACATTCCTCTCGGGCGAAATCCACATCGGGATGAAGACCTTCCCTGCGGGGCGCATGGGTGAGGACCCATCAGTCGGTCTCTCGGGTTCGCTGCGCTCCGCGGGCTTCAAGCTCGGCCGCCTGCAGACGGGCACCCCCGCGCGCCTGCGGCTCCAGACGATCAACTTTGACGACCAGCGGCTGGAGGTACAGGAAGGCGACATGGACCCGCAGCCGTTTAGCTACATGAACCCCACAGTCGACAACGCGGCCAACCAAGTGCGCTGTTACAAGACGCACACAAACTCGGCGACACACCAGATCATCCGGGAGAATATACACCGTGCTGTGCACATACAAGAGACGAAGAAAGGCCCGCGGTATTGTCCGTCGCTGGAGGCGAAGGTCAGGCGATTCCCGCAGAAAGAAGCACATATTGTGTGGCTCGAACCTGAAGGATATGACTCAGGTGCGGAGTATCTTCTACGTTTGTCTGCTCCTTTTGAGACGGCTTTGGTCACAGATCTCGTATACCCGAATGGTCTCTCAAATAGCATGCCTGAAGACGTGCAGGAAGTGTTGTATCGTACCGTGGCGTCTCTAGAGAATGTCGAGATCGTACGTCCAGCATATGGTGTCGAGTACGATCATGTTGACGCAAGGGAACTCAAAGGTGTGTATGTATTTGGTTGCACACTAAACCATCGCTAAGGGCCGTCGTTTAGCGACCCTTGAAACAAAACGAATCAATGTTAGTATCGTGATTTCGCTACATTCAGACGCTACCTTAACAATTCTGTGCCAGGGTCTTTTCCTTGCTGGCCAAATTAATGGCACTACAGGTTACGAGGAGGCCGCAGCACAAGGCATCGTTGCCGGTATCAACGCGGGCCTGGCCGCCCAGTCACGACCTCAACTTGTGCTGACGCGTGCAGACGGCTACGTCGGTGTTATGATCGACGACTTGATTGTGAAGGGTGCCGAGGAGCCATGTAAGTCTCGTTTACATTGGTCGGCGGATTATGTGCTGACTGTGCCACAGACCGGATGTTCACATCACGCTCAGAGTATCGGATGACCATTAGGAGTGACAATGCCGACCTGCGCTTGACTGAGAAAGGTGTGTACATGCGCTTTCTATCCTCAAGTATCGTGTCCTACGCCGATTACAGGTCGTGCAGCGGGTGCCGTGGCAGAATCTAGATGGTCTCACTTCGTCAGCACGCGCAACGAACTCTCTCGCGTGACAGAACTGCTGCAATCCATCGTCCACAGTCCTCAGGTGGGTGTCGAGCTTCTATCATCTCTTAGCCTAACTTCAACGCCGAATAGGGCTGGGCCAAACACGGTGTGACGATGGTATTTGATGGCATCCCACGCAGCGCGTTCGATGTCCTGCGCTTCCCGCACGTCACCCCCTCCGATCTGCAGAAGGTCCTACCGACGCTGGCGGACATCGACCCGCAGCTGCTTGCGCGCGTACACATCGACGCCAAGTACCACGGACATGTCTACCGACAGGAGGCAGACGTGCGTGCGTTCCTGCGGGACGAGCACCTCCTGCTCGATCCTGCGATCGACTACTGGGCGGTCGACGGCCTCAGCAACGAGGTCAAGGAGCGCCTGAGCCGCGTGCGCCCTTCGAGCATCGGTGCGGCGAAGCGCATGGAGGGCATGACGCCCACGTCGGTGCTGTACCTGCTCAAGTATGCGAAGCGGGCGCATGCACAGTTCAGCGCTGCGTCCGGAGCAATCGAGGGGGATGCTGTCCAAGCAATGGCTGCATAAGGTGGCATTTACTGGTTATCTAGAGTTCAGATGTAGATTACATCGCTCCATTCCCTCGATAAGTGTACAACTGTGACAAATCTAGCTTTACTTTCCCTTCAAAATGCTGTCTATCCTCGCCGTCTGTACGCGCTTACGGTAATCCATCCACACGGGGAAGCCGAAGACGAAGACCGTCAGAAGGTAAAGCAACTGCGCACGCAGTTCGTTCAGTCAGCAACACGCAGAAGGACAATATGATACGCACTGTAGACACAAACGGCGTCTTATGCTTCTGGCAAAGCCGGTACAAGTAGGCTGCTTCCAGGATATGCGAAATGAGCACGAAATACCAGCACGCCGGGAGCCACCAGCCCGGCAATGAATTTCTGACGAATTCAGCAGGCGCCCAGATAGGCCCATACGCCGACGACGGCGCAAGGGTGATGTAGACGAGTGGGCTAAGCATTGACGTTGACTTCCAGACGTCCGGGGTGAGGCGATAGTCCAGGATTTCTGGAGCTTTGCTCTGCAGGACTATGTCACGGGCGAACTAAGCGAATGTGGATATGCGAGCGTACCATACCCAGGGCGTCCTCTGCGTCAACCTTCATTTGCAGCATGCGCGACTTGACCTCGTCGTATCCCGCGAGCGGAGGGTCGAACGGGACGCGTACTTCCTTCGATGTGCCAACCTTCGTCTTATATGAGAAATTCATGCCCTGCGAAGGATAAGCGGGACTACATCGAGCTCTATCCGTATGGCACGTACCTTGCTGTCGATGAGAGTCATCTTTGCGCTCTCGACTTTCTCCTTCACCTGGCCGTAGTGCCGGATATAGGAGACGAGTGTGTCCGGGTGGTTCGACATGTACATGCACAGGAACGTCGACTTTTCGCGCACTGGGTCAGACATGGCTGCTTATCGTCCTGGGGGAGTGCGAGGGGAAGAGTAAGCTGGGAGGAAGAGTAAGCTGGGAGGAAGAGTAAGCTGGGAGGTGGTGGTTGGGAGCCAAGCGTGCGAGAGTGTCCCGACCCGGTGTCGGTGATGGTTTTAAACCGGTGTGCGCGGCATCAGCCACGTAGCCCGCGCCTCAGCCATGTCCCACGTATCTAAGGGTTCCGCTTTCACACAGTTCATGCCGTCTAGGATGTCTCTCTTGCAAGCGATCCATCACTTGAAGTAGGAGGATGCCGGAGATGCCGAGCAATGTTAGAATCGGAGGCCTTCGCCAAACAATCGTGTGATCCGTCATGATTGATCCGTGGAATCTTATCTTATCTTAGCTAGCCCAAAATCTCATCTCACGGCATTCGCAACAACTTTCACCTCAACCATTACTAGCTCCCAAGCACCAGCTCAAGCATGCGATGCGATAGACGCCTCACACCGATTGCTGCATAATTTCTCTTAGAATTTTTTTCCGAAATGCTGCTAGTAAGTAAATATCATCGATGACAACGCGGACGCAAAAGCCAACCCAGGCAAGTGTGCCAAAAGCCCGGTAGCAATCCGCGGGTGCGATCGCTATCAGGCATCTACTTACATGCTCTCTGAGCATTACTTCTGTACAGCTAACGTCAAGTGACATCCCGCCGCGGCTGTTCTTCTGGTGACCTAGCGGCCCGTCGATCGGCCACATGAGCATGCGTCACCAGAATTCCGCACTTCTTTGACATCTACCGCATGCTTCTGGGAACTTTGTTCCATCTCTACACTTGTAGATAACGAGCTGTCCTGTTGCTATTGCGCCTCCTACCGTCATTGCTGGCACCGGGCTGACATGAGCGCTGGTGAGTTGCTTCTTCACCAAGTCTGGACAGCTCGATAGTTGATCGATTCCTTTGTGCCTTTCAGCGAAGTCTTCTCAAAATTTATCGACTGCATCCGTCTGCGTCTTCATGTGGGCACCAATGGTTCGAAAATGCGGCCACAGTGACACAATACGGGCTTGCTGTGGTGTTTTATCTTCGCAGATGTGCCCGTCAAGTTGACATATAACGACAGGCCCACCGACATACCATAGCTTGGGCCGGTTGACCACCTCTGAGCGATGCTCGCCATCCATCTTCAATTTCTGGCTGCGGCCGTGGGCCTTTGTATATCTGGTCTTGCTGCGCCTCATGCACCCCGTGTGCTCCATGAATCTCGTCGTGAGCTCCCGACAGGCTGGAAACCCGTTCGCCGCGCAGACCCGGATCTTGTCCTCCCCTTCCGCGTCGGCCTCGTTCAGGTGAATCTCCACCTGATCGAAGACTATCTCCTCGACGTCTCCCACCCCGAGTCACCAAACTACGGAAAACACTGGTCTCCGGCAAAGGTCGCAAGTACGTTCCGGCCTTCTAAGGAGTCTTTCGAGGCCGTGCATGCGTGGCTGGTCGGCAGCGGCATTGATGCCCAGCGCATTAAGCCCAGTGCGACCGGTGGATGGGTGCATGCCAATGTCTCCGTTCTGGAAGCCGAAGACCTGCTGGGCACGGAGTACTTCGTGTACACGCACGAGGACGCGGATAGGGAACACATTGCTTGTCATGGGGCGTACCACGTCCCCGAGCACGTCGCGAAGCACGTAGATCTCATCACACCAACACTACACTTCGATGTCAAGCTGAAACGCGACGGTACCATCTCCAAGCTGCGAGGATCGTCTTCTCCAACTGTAATGGGTCCTGCTAAGGAGCTCGCGAACGATTTGAGCACGTGCGACCAGCAGATTACCCCAGACTGCATCCGGGCGCTGTACAACTTCCATGGCTTTGTCCCGCTCGCGGGTAACAAGAACTCGTTTGCGATCGGTTAGTCCTCCCTCAGCGATATTCGTGCTTCACTCATAGGGCTTGCTAGTCGAATACGGTCCAGAGACTTACACCGCAGACGACATGGATATGTTCTTCCGAAATTTCTCGGCGTCGCAGGTTGGCGAGCGCCCCAAGCTTATCAGCATCGACGGAGGCAAATTTCTATTACTCAGTGGTGATTCAGTCTTCTTACGTTCTATTATTATTGTTGTAGGCTCTATCAACATCACGGGCGCCGATCATACAGAGTCAAATCTAGACTTGCAATATGGTATGACGCTCGTTGGCAAGGGCCAAGAAATAACGCTCTTCCAGACTGGGGATGCTATCGAAAGTGCGCAGAGGTCGTTTATCTTGCCCACACCGTGCTGAATGTGTATATAGGTGCCTCATTTGACAACCTGCTCGACGCTCTCGACGGGACATTCTGCACTTTCGAGGGCGGGGACAACTCGACCTTGGACGGCGTCTACCCGGATCCTGATCCTGCGGGCTTCCAAGGTGCATTCTCTACGTTCCCCTGGGTTGTCCGTCGCGCTAATCCGGAAAACGCAGGGCCTGAACAGTGCGGTGGCGTCAAGCCCGCATTCGTTCAATCTACCTCATACTCTCATGATGAACGTCTGCAGACATCTTTCTATTCGCAACGCCAGTGCACCGAGTATGCCAAGGTGTGTCTAACGTGTTACCTTCCTCGATTCTTATGGACCTCATCGTCCTATTACAGCTCGGTTTACTGGGCGTAACAGTCCTGCACTCCTCTGGCGACAAAGGTGTTGCGGGGCGGAACAACCTTTGCCTCAATCCAGACGGCACTGTCTCGACGTCTGCCAAGATCTTCTCGCCCTCGTTCCCTGGGACATGTCCCTTCATAACCAGTGTCGGCGCGACACAGATCAATCCCGGCGCAAAGGTACGCACATTCACATCACGCAAATGACATGCGTGCTGACCGCTGTCTCAGGTAACGGACCCCGAAAGTGCATGCGAGCAGGTCATCTTCTCGGGTGGCGGCTTCTCGAACCAGTTCGCGGTGCCGTCGTACCAGAAGGCGGCGACCGAGGCCTACCTCAAGAATTTCCCGCCGCCATACCCGGCCGGTACGTTCAACACGTCAGGCTCTCGTGGGTACCCGGATATTTCTGCCAACGGGTACGATTCTTCCATTTGTATGCTTTTGAGTGTGGGTAGCTGGCTGATGCGCGAGCGCAGGGCAAATTACGTCGTCGCAGTCGATGGCGAGTTCGAGCTCGTCTTTGGCACGTCCGCGTCAACGCCTGTGACCTCGTCACTCCTCACTGCAATTAACGACGCCCGGCTCGCGGCTGGCAAAGGGCCCATCGGGTTCATTAATCCCGCTGTATGTGTTTTCGACGCATGCCCTGACCAAGTCTCCTGGTTAACATATTATATAGCTGTATTCTGACCAGTTCAAAGGCGCGTTCAACGATATTACGAACGGCACTAACCCCGGCTGTGGGACAGTTGGTTTTGCCGCGCAGCCAGGCTGGGATCCTGTGACGGGTCTCGGTACTCCGAACTTTGTAGAGCTTCGCAATCGTTTCCTGTCGCTCCCTTGAAAGAAAAAGGGGGGTAACTCGATGTCAACTGTGCTTGACTGCGCTTAAAAAGTTTTCCGTTCCGAGGATCCCTGCATGTGGTCCTTTGAAAGTGTTCGCGCAGACAGCATTGAACAGCACGACTCCCGTACTACAGGCAGTTTGTCGAGGTTAGCCGAAATTTGAGAGCGTATCACGAAACTCACAGAACTCTTCCGATAAGAATCACGGTCGGCGTATGCGTGTGTGAACAAAGCTTTCGAGGTACGCGAAGAAACAGTGTATAGACCGATGCCAAAGAGTAACGACAGGACGAGGCAAGCCACTATACAGGCAACCCAAGAGCGGAGTTTACTCGTGCAACGACAAGTCTACAGCATATGTGCGTGGGAGAAGGTAGTGACCGAGAACACAGCTAGCATCATTAGGATGGGTATCATGTGAGATGCAGTGGCCGCGCTTGTTTTAGCCTCTTGAGGGTTCAAGGATGCGCCGTTGGATGCGCCAGAACTGCTTGCAGAGCTAGCCGCGTGAGGTGTTTGGGTATTTGAGGCCGAAGCAGAGGGCGATGGTCCGATTTGGAAGCCAGGGATGACGGAAGAGCCTACGGCCGTCGGAGGTTGGCCGTAGCTGGTCGAGAGCCCGACGCTCATGCCGAACGAACTTCCGCCATACCAGACTACGGTGTTCCCGTTAGTGACCGTGGTCGGGCTCGGCTGCCAGGGGTACACGACTACCGTACTTGTAGGCTGTTGTGAGTTGGTATTTGGTGGAGGGGCTGCAAACGCGGTAGATGTTTGGCCAACGAGAGGGGCGGTAGTTGATGGGGGAGCCGCGAACGCGACAGACGTCTGGTCACTGGCAGGAACAGCCGGGCTAACGCCATTCGTCCCAACGAACAATTGGGCGATGGGGTAACCGTCAGACTCGCAATTCGTAGTTAGATCTATGACAGTATGAGGAGTTGGAGTTTGCTGTGCAAGAAGGGCACTGACCGTCTTGGCTCTGTTGTGCATCTGAGAGCAAGCCGGGATTCGATGCCAGATCTATACTGCAGACCATGCAGTCTCTATAGCTGGCCGCGACCTCGTTAGTGCAAAAACACTGCGAAGTGGTGCATGTCTACGCGAAAATAATAATTCACATTAATTGGTGTTCGATGATTCACAGCACTCACGAAGGCGTTCACGAGAATAGCGCATTGCGTAGGACACTAGCATTAAACTGTGGGCTGGTTTCCGTCAGAAGAGTTGCTTAGACACATACCTGCGCGATGTTCGGATTCCAGTCTAAATCTCTAAACTTAAGCTCTCTGGGCTGGGAATGAACGAATGATTTCATAGAACGACTGTGTGCAGAGGTGACAACTGTTACCGAACGTTAGAGATGTGGTTTGAAGGAAAGTAAAGAAGCGGACTCGCCTTGAAATAATCCAAACACAGCATAAATTATTGAAAGTACCATAATGCCAGTACTAGTCCCGCCGCGGCTTATTCTTATACCTCCGCTAGAACAGAATTACAGGAGGAGTTTCGAAGACGCGGCAACCGAACAGTGGTCTCAATAGGGAATATTACTCTCTTCATAGGCGCAATGGAGAGCTAACGGATATGGCTAGCTAGCTGGGTTGGTTAAAGTGTGCCGCTAGTAACACTGAGGTTGTCGGTTCGATTCTCGACCTCGTCATTGTATTTAATTTTTTTCTCGGTTTTTAGTTCTCTTCAAAAGAATTTAAAAATTGGCAAAACTAAGTTTAGTTTACGCTTGAACTTTTTTTATAAACACACAGTAAACGGTTATAAACGTATATAAACAGTAAACACACAGTTACTATGCACGCCAACACAAGTTCCCCCGCGAATGAATATAATTCCTTTGCCATGCTTGCCCATCTTGATCTCTGGAATTTTATCGATGGGCTTGCGCCCCAGCAACCCATATCCCGATGCTCACACGGTCGCGGCGGCGCGGCGGCCTCCAGCGCTTAGCGCAGCCGCACTACCCGGCCGTCGAGCGGTGGGGCGCACGCAGCAACTTGCCATAAACCAGTTGTCTCTGTTAGCAAATACAGACATATGAAGGAGACATATGATGCTTAGATACCATTATGTGTTGTATAAAGAAACTGCGTGTTTGCTGTGTATAAACGTTTACAGCAAGTTTACAAGGGTTCGTGTAAAACAAACGGAAACGGTAAACGGTAATAAACGTTTATACACAGTAAACAAACAAAATGGTTGGAGCCTTAGGAAACTCAAAAGTTAAAACTCAAAATTGACTATCAGAAGTAACCCAGTGGCTCCCAAGTCCCGACGCTCGCAATGCCGTCGTTTCAGGAGCAAGCACCTTTCACTAGTATCGCTTAGAATCTCCGCCTATGTTGCATGCAAGCATGAACCTCAGCTATAATTACGCTCATGCCCAGAATGTTAGGGTCATGTGCTGGAAGATTACAAGTCACAACATACGCTCAGAAGTTAACACCTGACCTGACGATGGAACCAGAATTTCCCCTTAACATGCCCTGGATAGCCTTCATATTCATGCCGCGCGCCATGGCTTTTGCCGTAAGCGCATCCACGGACCCAGACCCCTTCGCCTCTTCCGGCGTTTCGCCCTTTGTTATCTGCGCCGCTAGCTGATCGACTTGCTTTAAGAGCACAGACTCGACGGGCTCGGAGGATACATCCATGCCTGTCTGGCGGAGTGACTTGTCGTGCGCCAAGCGCAGGAGGAAGGAGACGAAGCTGGAGGAAACTGAGGACAGCCCGATAAAGACAGCGAATTCTGAACACTTACAGCTCCTTGAGGAATGCATATGACCACCCTTCAGTCTTGTCGGAAACGGCAGAGGCTACATCCTCCGGGTTCTCGAAAATGATACCTGTATTTGCTGCAAGGGCGTTGACTTTCCCGAGCCACTTGACAGCAAACGCCTTTCGGAGCCCGATGTCAGGCAGAGTGAATTCGTACTTGACGTCGAAACGCGAAGGTCTGTTTAGAATGGCATCGTCGATGCGCTCGGGGTGGTTCGTCGTCGCAATTGTCAAGATGCCCTCGTTGTCAGCCTGGAGTATAGCCATGAATAAAAACGACGAATAAAGGATACCGTTTGACACACCAGGCCATCGAGCTCATTAAGGAAGAGCGAGCGAACTTCAGGGACGAGCATCGCGTCAAGGTCTTCCAAGATAAGGATACATGGCTTGTGTGCGCGAGCATGTTCAAAGATCGCTTGGACGCCCTCTTCCGGACCCTGCAATGCATTCTGATCAGAGGTGTGTGCACACGAGAGCCTCCGGAAAACGCACTCTGCAAGTCGTGAAAGACTTAACATACAAGGGAGCAGCACCCTTGGTCTCGTGTAGCAGAGCCTTGATAGACTCAGTCTTCCCGTTTCCGGGGGGACCAAGAAGTAAAATACCTCGCTTCCAGGTGATGTTCAAGGATACGTACGCTTCCTTGCTCTCAAAGAACGTCTTCGTGTCCCGGCGCAACCCATCCTTAAACTTGTCATCGAGAACAACGTCATCCCAGTTCGCAGACTGCACGGCCTTGTAGAGCTGCTTATTCTTGCCCCACTCCCCGCCCTCGAAGACCCAGATCTCCTCCTTGAGCTCCTGGCCCCAGGCATAGACCGCGTCGATGAGCTTCTTGCCTGCTTTATCGTCCGACCCATCAAAGACAAAGTGATAGAAATCGAGCGCACGGCCAAATTCCTGCGTCCAGCTGGCCTTGTAGGCACGGAAGGACGTAGAGTCATGCATGAAGTCGGTGATGCCAACGACGGCTTTGGCATAAATGGCGCCGGAGTCTTGGTCATAGAAGAACGTGCTGTGGGTCTCTGCCTCGACGACGGTAGGCTTGACACCGACAGCGTCAAGGTATCCCGACAGGGGAAACGGCGGCTGAGGGACGGTGTACAGAACGGAGACATGCTGCGACTGTGAGTGTACAGCTTTCAGGTGCTGGATGATGTTGAGGTGAGGGGAGGCGACGGGTACATTGAACTGCGACTGGAGGAAGGCTGTGAATGTGGGGGACATAGCTGGCTAGGGACCTGGTACTTCTCGGTGGGTTGATGCAGCTTTTATACATCTGCAAGGATTTGACCTACAGCCCGCAGCACCTCAAGAAGCTGGAGCATTACCATGATGTTACGATATCCAATGAAAAGTTAAGTTTGCGAGATATCTCTAAGACGGAACCGTATGAGACAAGAATAAGATCGAGCTCGCATTGCGGAAATACGTTACCTAGATGTTCAGGACAGCGTGGCAAGACGGGCGAACCTGTATGTGGAAACCTAATAAGCAGTAGAACACAGAGTCTTATCGGCGTGATACATCTCTTGGTTGCATCACGAGATGGATATCGCAACTGTTCAAGATCCCAGGCAAAATGGGTGGAGACTGAACATCAATATCTTCGAGGCCATAACTCAACAGGAAGCACTTCAAAGCTATGTTAGTATCAGATACCTGATATCGAGAGCACGGGACTCAACTCGACAATATTTGTACCCAAAGGTTTCAACACGGCGCAAAGTCACTATCGTTCCGCAACAATCCTCGGGACAACCCTGACGTGACCACAGTCGCTGTGCAGTTAGCAGACCATGATTAAAATGAATAGCCTACGTAATATCGCACAGACATATGAAATTCGAGGCTTCAGTCATTTACTGGTGAATGTATAACCAATGGGAGTGTTTCCGAGTTAGGGTAAAGCTTTTCACTTTCATGGCACTTCATTCGGTGAAGCTGCGGTCAACTGTGAATTGCTTGACAGCAGATACAGAGGTATAAATCCTGAAAGGCTAACCTATCCTTCGTGTAATTTAATGAGACTTTCGCATCGGTAGACAAGACGAGTTGTGCCAGCGGACCGCGAGCAGGATTTGCCGCCCTCTTTGATGGCGCATCAGCTGATAAGCGCCATTCCCGCTTCCCTCGAGGACCTTTGAGGTGTTTTCTGCCATTTAACACCCAGTACCCCAAAGTCTGACACCTTGCTCATTATCAGGGATACCCTCGACGAACATTCAACAATGTCTTCTTCTTCATCCTCATCCACGACGCGCCCGATTGTCTTCATGGACATCAACATCGGAGAGACACCTGCAGGTCGTCTCAAGATGGAGCTTTTCAGTGATATTGTGCCCAAGTAAGTAAACTTCCAAGCAGACAATATGGGTCTCTGGCTGACGCTTTAGGTGACTGCAGGACGGCCGAGAACTTCCGCCAGCTTTGTACGGGGGAGTATAGGTGTGTACAGATGACTTGAGATATGATCCTGCCACTGAACGCGTACTTCGTAGAGTGAACGCTCGCCCACAAGGCTACAAGGGCGCAATCTTTCACAGGTATGTCTCGCTTGCAGTCTCCGGCGATCGCACTCTAATTGCTCACATGTCCCGAATAGAGTGTAAGTTCTATCGAGAACTGAATGGTAGTAGACGGCTCCAACTGACTCTGCAGGGTTCCAAACTTCATGTGCCAAGGTACGATTTTCCCTACCTCACAGAGAGATCACGTGGCAAACACGATAATAGGCGGCGATTTTATCAAGAGCGACGGTACCGGCTCTTTCTCAATATACGGAGACAAATTTCCCGTGAGTCTCTACTCCTGTTTGAGCGTGTCAGCGCGGAGTTGGACAGGACATGCAGGACGAGAATTTCCAAGAGAAGCATTTGGGGCCAGGTCTGCTGTCGATGGTGTGTACTTTAATTATCTTCGGCGTATATATCCTCATCCTTGTATCTTAGGCGAACTCGGGGCCGAACACGAACGGCTGCCAGGTATGTGGCGCCTCTTTCGCACCCACACCCCCGCTAACACGGGAGTCTCGCAGTTTTTCATCACAACAGCAAAGTGCGACTTTTTGGACGGGAAGCACGTCGTCTTCGGCAAGATCATAGACGGCATGCTCACCCTTCGCAAGATTGAGAACGTCCCGACAGGTCCGAACAACCGACCAAAGCTCGCCGTGAAGGTCATCGGTAAGTAGCACAGCGAGATTTATGCACCTTGTCCTGGCTCACTCGCGGCCGCACAGAATGCGGAGAAATGTGAGCTAGCGGGTCGAGGCCTTCATTACACCCTTGTTAGAATCTTGGCGATAAAGATCTCACTGTCTGTGTTTCCATGCGGGAATGAGGTCATAGATGTTCTATGAGTCGCGTGCTGCAATTTGAAGCTTGAAGCCTGAGAGCATGTTCCAACGTACCCTTGTTGCTTTATCAACTTTTAACTGTTTGGTCATCTGTCGTCCCTCTTGTTGGCTTGAGATTTCGTGGTGATACGCGCTTCAGATGCTATTCGCTGTCAAGCTCGAGGTCGTATCTAGTTCCGGAGAAACGTGACTGATGAGCAGCTCCCAATTTTGGATCCTACAGTCATTTCGTTACACCCCATATGACGCACTTGACACCGTATACACCGTGAACTTTCTATCTATCTACCTGCTGGGACTCTCGAGGCGACAGTATCGACACATGATACCAAGCTATGGACAAACCGCTGCCCGAGCTGCCCCAGAATAGGCCACACCAAGGCCTCAAGCACGTCCAGCCCGCAACCGGCTTGTCGACGCTCAACATAGATGCCCAAGCACATCTCCGCAAGTTCATTCTGTATGCGCTGGAAGAAGCCAGGGGCACTGTACCCGAGGAGGAATTGGAAGAGTGGGCGACAGCTATCGAGCATGCGCTCGGGGAGCTTGGGGAACGCATGTCGCTTGGAGGATGGCTAGTCGGGCTAAGGCGCACGAGGATGCGACGGATGCAGGAGAGAGCCGAGCAGGCGACAGCGGGGCGGCCGCAGAGCACGGATAACGTCGTTGCACGCAAGGAGGAGGGGAGCAGTCTTAAGAGCAGAGGTGCGCAGGCGCAGACGAGCCAGGACGACTCGCAAGGGTATTTCACGCACAGTCGTCACGGCGGCAAGGGTACCATTCAGTGTTCGTCGCCACCTGAGCCGTCCATTCGGGAGTCAATACAGGCCCTGCGAGCCCACCTCCGTGTCGCTGCCGCCCTCAGCCCGAAACCAACTGCGAAGCACCTACTCTTGACCGTTACGCCACCTGGCTCCATGCCAGTGCAGACACAGCAGGACGACGCTGAAGACTACGATTTCCCCCGCTCGCAGTTTGGCTGCATCTTCAGCTCTGGTATATTCACAATGCCAGAACGGGATGATGTTGAGGAGGATGAGCACGGTGCAATTCTGTACGGGCTGGACTCATGGGATCGTAAGTCATCCGTCCTCGTCAATGATCGCTCATTGCCAATGACGCCACGTCTCTCGCAGCGCGACCGTGGACGAGCGATACGCCTCTGGTAATAGTCGGCGGAACCTTTATCTTTAGAGGTATTGCCTCGAAAACCGAATACGCAGCGTTGACAAAGGTGCTACATCTGTCGATCTTCTCGTATCTATCAGCGCTCTTAGAGCAGTCTGCACTGGCAGACTCACACGTCCCCTTGCAGTTTCCCAAGCCGGCTTTGACCCCTCCTGCTCTGCCTGGCCACACTGGCGTTCCCATGACCCGCGCATTCAGCACAGGTCACGATTCCAGAAACAAGCAGCGAGACTCTACGTCTAGTCTCTGGGCTTTCTTTTCTCGCAAGAAAGACAATCTCTTCCATCGTGCTGTCCCTATCCGCCGGGGATCTCTGGAGCTCCCACTGCCACTTGCAGTGAAACCGAGTCGGGACCGCTCATATTCGCCCGCGCCTTGCAGCCCGGAAGAGAGCGGCCTACCTTCACGCTCTCGGCGTTTCTCGTTCATTGCGGACTACAGACCGTCCTTCCTGCAACCGTCGGCGAAAGAAGATGAATCTGTGCGGAAGCCCTACTCTACCGCTTTAGATCGCGTCAAGCAGTGCAGGGAAGTTCTTTCGACCAGCGCGGGTGTCACCTTCGAGCCTCCAGATCTTCTTGTCCGCCTTGCCTCCATGGAAAAGAAGAATCCAGACTTACGGCTTGGTGGTGACGAAAAAGCTGCTCTGACGAGTCTTCTTGGATGGGAAGGCAAACATAGCCTTGGTGCCGGCATGGCGAACCTGGCAGGCTTCGTTCGGCATCAGTCGTTCTCCGTCCTGTACTCGGAGTATGTACCACACCAAACGACTCCCGCATCATCGAGATCACCTACACCCGATTCTGCCCAGGTATCAACGTCATCCTTATCTATCACCACGTCTGCAAGAATTATCCTTTGTGGACGCCGGAGACGATGGGTCACGTATCGGTACTACTCGCGGGATGGCGGCGTCGACGAGTGTTTGGGAGAGACAATTACACGTATGTGCTCGAAGGTGGACGGGGCGTGCGACGAGCCCGGATGTTCGTTCAAGAAGGGCGAACATGAGCTTCGATATACGCATGGCGGCATACGGATACTGCTCAACATTAGCAAAGCATCGCGGTCCGATCCTCAATTAGAGGGCGATGAAGAGCTTCCGGAGATGTGGGAAAGTTGCGTCGTGTGCGGGAAGCAGTCGACGCGAGTACGCATGCAAGATGGCACATAGTGAGTATTAATTTGATTGCTCAGGGGATTTTCTTACCGGATCTTCTTGGCGAAGCGTAGTCTGCTTTCTTTCGCCAAGTTCCTCGAGCTTCTCATCTACTCGACTACTTTGTGTTTACTGGTACCTCCGCTGTGCGAGCACACGACGCCTCCGCCGAGGCCTTGGTCGTCAGCGGATAGTCCACTGCCTCGCTCTCGTCTGAGCATCGCCAGACATTTCTCTATCAAAGATCGCATGGTGTCTTTGTCTCTGACCACACTAGAGGACATATACGAGGTATGCGTTCCTAGACTGCAGCTGCGACGTACCAAGAACGAGGAGCTTGAGCATACGAAGGAGGCGCTGCATGCCGTGGATGCAGACAGGCGGAAGTTGCGGCGCGAGATCATGCAGTTTTGGCAGACGCTCTCAGAACAAATGGATACGCTCGAAGGCGAATTCGTTGGCGACGGCGCGCCGTCATACCACAAATCGCTGCCACGATTGCCGTCTGTGGATGAGGCGTACACCGAGTTCGATGAGGACGGCTTGATAACCCCAAAAGGCCATCCCGTGAAGCTGCCACGGCTCCCGCCGAACACGCCAGAGACACCGAATATCGCGTCGGTACATCGGTCCTATCCTTTTCCCAATGTAGAGACGGTCCCAGAGCAACCGCGCTTAACGGTGCCGGACTCACCAATGCCTGCATCGGCCCCCTCCACCACCACCACCACCACGCCTCCAGCGATATCGACCATCTCCTCTGAGAAAGATTCCTTCGCCTCGCTGACAAATCTGCGTTACAAGTTCCAGCGCGCGGAGCAAATTCTTTACGCCGAGTTGTCGCGCTGTCCGGATTCGAACTTGAACAACGTCCGTAGGTCGTTTGAGTCCGCCGCTCGCGGTGCTGCGAAGCGTCTATCCGCCTGGGAGGTGAAGCATACCGCTGGCCATAAAGTGCGCGATGTCGTTGCTCAGCATGAACCAGAATGGTGGCAGAGTGGGTGTCATGCTGTTCCAGGAGGAAATATCATTGTCCGCGAAGATGATTGGGGCAGCATCATCGCGTTTACGCTAAGGTACATCTCACTTGTAGCTGTCTAAGACGACAGAACTGATGTTGGTTGCGGCTTATAGCTCCCTGGACTACCACAGAGAGCTTGCGAATATGGCGATCAACCGACAGACCACATTGCCCACCGTCCCACCACCCACCCCAGACGTCTCCCGCCCATCGTTCTTTAGCAAAACAAACTCGACCACGAATATAAGCAAGTGGTTCGGTTCGTCGGACCCCATACCAGACCCCGACCAAGACGAAGAAGGATGGCACGAACCAGAGACTTATTCCTCTGTTATTAGTCGGAAAGAGCATCCGCGGGATCCTACGTCCATCCTGAAGCTCGGCCTCCCCGACGTCCTCCGCCAGAAGGCTCCGGATGGTAATGGCTCCTTCAGATCGGCAAGCCCAGGTGGACTTAATCTTACCTTAGGCTCGCGGGCGAAACCGGACGTGCAGATATCGAAACAGGCGGCTGATGGGCATGTCAGCGTAGGATCCACCGACCGCGTTGACAAGGTGCTGCAAGGGCTGGAAGCGGCCACTGAGAACTCGGGAACTGTTCGCAGTACGTCTTCGGAGCGCACGACGGCGTCCTCTGCCTTCGTCGAGACGCACATTCGGCGTGGCAAGGCGTCCTCCGTTATATCTTCCGACAGCGACACTACTATTGGGGAGCACAGCACGACTGGTTCTGTCAGTACCTTACCGCCTCTACCTCCAAAAGAGGAGCCGAACATCCCACCGACGACGCCTGCCGAGCCGTCCACGCCGCCGACAACACCACCAACACAGTCGACCATAACCTCGGTCTTCACGAACACGTTCTCGTCCGCGCTACATTATGTGTTGCACTCGAGCGAACCCACACCTCCGCTATCGAAGCACCACCATGCACTGCTATCCGCAAACGGGCTATCGCCCGCGATCGACGAGCGGCCGCACATCAAGTATGACTGGACGATCGGCAAGCGGCTGCGGTTCAGCTGCACGGTATACTACGCCAAGCAGTTCGACGCGCTCCGCAAGCGTTGTGGAATCGACGACATGTTCTTGCACAGCCTATCGCGGAGCCAGAACTGGCTGGCCGAGGGTGGTAAGAGCCGCTCGAACTTTTGGAAGACGACGGACAACCAGTTCATCATCAAGACGCTCGTCAATGCGTGGAACGTGGCAGACCTGTGAGTGTGCCTGTTTTCTCTTGGTGATTTGGGTGGAATGCTGAACGACTTCGTCAGCCACGTTCTCATCGAGCACGGCCCTGCATACTTCCGGCACATGGACGCCACGGCTAGCAAGCCGACTGTCCTCGCGAAGCTCCTTGGCTTTTATACGGTCGAGATCAAGAACTTGGAGACGGGCGCCACACAGGCAAAAGCGGACCTGCTGGTTATGGAGAACCTGTTTTACAAGCAGGAGATCGTGAAAATGTTCGACCTCAAAGGTATACAGGGGCGGAAGGTGAAGGCGACCAGTAGCAGCTCTGGCACCAAGACCCTGTTTGATGGCGACTGGATAGAAGGTGGCTTGCGTAAATGCTTCATTGAAAGTAGGGTTGCTGACCAGGTATGCAAACGTAGGACAGCAACGGGCCCTGACTTTGGTGCAGCCTTACTCCAAAGTTGTTCTCCAGGAGGCCATCAAAGCCGACTGCGAGTTCTTGGCGAAGAGTAATATCATGGATTACTCGTATGTCCTATCTCGGAGATGGGAGAATGGTGCCTGACGTGTCTGAGATAGGTTGCTAGTCGGGATCGACGAGTCGCATAAGCAAATGGCCTGTGGCCTGGTTGACACGATAGGTAGCTATACATTCGCCAAGACTTTGGAGTACAAGGCGAAGCAGGGTCTGCACTCTGGCAAGGAGGTCACCGTCATACCGCCAAACGAGTACCAGGAGCGATTTGTAAATGCGATCGACAACTACTTTGTGGCGTGCCCAGGTAAGCATGCTTACTGAACGTATCTAGAATGGCGATTCTGACCGCAGCGGCAGATAAATGGTCCCGTCCGCAGGACGACACGAAGATTCCCAGCGACTACAAGCAGCTGCCCAGCGTTTTGTAAACACGATTTGCCATCGGACGCTGACTCATCCGCTTGCGACATTACCTTCACGAACATAACGCCATCATCGTCTCTGTTGTATACCTCTCGAGCGCTCCTTGGACATGCATCTGTACCATAATGTAGTCAATCTTCCCAGCCACGGCTCTTCATGTCTGTAGTCTAGTGCTGTATAGCATAATGTTATAGACCATCATGAAATGTACAGATTGACCGTATTACATAAGTCGGTGAGCAGAGGACCAAGCAAAGGCTTGCCCGAGACCTTCACGGAGCGTTGCGCAGTTTAGGAGCAATTACGACTCTTTGAAATGGCGTGATGCTTCTCCTTCCGACGAAGCGGAAGGTTCGTTAGCAATTGAGAAGCTTTAGTTCACAGAGTGCCCGTGTTTACCACGGCGTCGATACAGTACTCACGAGCGCACGACTTAGTCATGGTCTCGCCACACTTGCGAGCAATGACAATGCATGCAGACTCAGCGGAGAACGCCCCATTCGGCCAGGACAGCGACGCCGATGCTGACGAAGCACGTCCCAGGTAGCTCTGTCTCATCGAGACTTCGGATGACGCGGCTGCCCGTGCGCGTTATAGCGTCGTATATATAGCCACTACACTCAGGCATTGTAGACCTTATCATCCCTTACACACATCCTCGCAACCAGCAACAGCAGCAACATGTCCGTACGCCCCGTCTTCGTCGTCGCTGGTATCGGCAATGGCACAGGTGAGTGTAAACGCGTCATATGACGACACCGAGCGCGCTAACGCGTGGGCTGCAGGAACCGGTGCTTCCACAGCGTGCGTTCCACCCTCCTTGCTTGCGAAAAAAAAATGCTGAAATGTTACGTGCAGTCGCCTCTTCGCCAAGTCAGGCTACCGCGTCGCGCTCATCGCGCGCAACCCCGAACACCTCAACAAGCTCGCGAAGGAGATCAACGACGCGGGCTTCGAGGCGGCCGCGTTCCCGGTCAAGGACTACGCCTACCAGACCGTGCTCGGCGTGTTCGACGCCGTGCGCGCGTACCAGTGGTCAGGTTCCGAGAAGGCCGAAGTACGCGTCGCGCTGTGGAACGCCGGCAGCGCGCCGTTCAAGAAGTTCCTGGACGTGACCGAGGAGGACCTCGCGCGCTCGCTCGATTCGCATGTCACGGCACCGTTCGCGTTCTCGCGCCAGGCGATCCTCACGTTCCAGAAGAACGAAATCGACAGCCTCGGCCGTCGTGGAACCCTGCTCTTCACGGGTGCGACGGCCAGCTTGCGAGGCAACGTCTGGACCAGTGCGTTCGCGGCGGGCAAGTTCGGTCTCAGGGCGCTCAGCCAGTCCCTTGCGAAGGAGTTCGGCAAGGAGAATATCCACGTGCGTGGCTATTCTGACACACACGTGAACTACGGATTCACTAACCGTTCCTCTGCTCCACCAGGTTGCTCATGTAAGTCACCTGAATCATGATTTTGTCCATGTATCCTCGGGCTGACCACTGTGCCTTGGCAGAACATCATTGATGGCGGTGCGTATATTAGCAACCGTGCATTGGCTGTGCACTGACCCCGATACAGGTATTCTGACTGACCTCTCCGCGGCTCGGAGAGAGGGGGAGGCCCGCGAGCAATATATTAACAATGAGGATTCTCGACTAAGCCCTGACAGCATTGCCCAGGTGAGCTTAGCCTCGCGTCTCATCGTGTTCGCTTCCGCTGAAGGTTTTCCAGTCATACCTGTACCTCGTCAACCAAGACAGGACTGCCTGGACCTGGGAGCTTGATCGTGCGTGTTCTTTCTGCCTTGCATTTTGAGCAGCAGCTGACTGCGACACAGTCCGTCCGGCGCACGAGAAGTGGTGAGGTGACTAAAAGTCTCGCGGGAAATTTCTGCATTTTTTGTAATATAGTCGAGCAGAACTTCCATCGCAACCCGAACACGTCGGATACGCGGCGCTTCTGCCCTTCTTTGTGCTCGCCGTTGCATTGAGCCTATGCCTTGTCTGAATACGCCCGGAACGACAGTGCCGCGTCCGTCCTCAGCGGGGCACGCTGTCAAAGAGAGTGCAATTGATGAATGATCATGGCAGCGGCGATGCAGCATAATAGCGCACCGCACCACCCTGGGACGTACGCTTGGCTGACGGCTGATGGTCGTACCTTGACCACGCTGTGTCCTCCGAGCACTGGCGAGGCTCATCTAGCGCGCATTTCACTAAATCTGTAGCAATGATACAGAGCAGGGGCATCTTGGATGGCCCGCGATAGTTGCCATGCTTCCCACCCGAACGACACTATGTGATATCTAACGGTGATTAATTGACTCGAGTTGAATCGAAAGACGCGGTGCGGGGAGCATCGCTTTGTGCAAGGCACCATCAGACGGGTGAGCGTAGGAATAAACTTGAGGATGGCGGAAGATGTGCGGTGATCCTCGCCAGCCCTGGCTTGGCAGCTTGGCGGGTGCGGTGGTCGTCGACATGGGCTAGGCGCATCCTGGGCGACATGCGTGTACATATAAGGGAGCATATTCCCTGTCATGAGAGCCCAGGGCCAGCTCACCTCGTCGTCTTCTGTCTAACCGTTCCAGATCCACCAGTCGTCCTTAGAGCCCACCATGGTTTCTGCAAAGCTCGCTCTTCTGTCACTCGTTCTCGTCGCCGGCGAAGGTCAGTGAACAGTATTCTGTTGTGGGGACATCAAATTCTGACGCGGGATTCTAGCCGCGGCGACCGCTGTGGTGTCCAGACACAACTTTTTCAGATCGTTTGCCCTAAAGGCCAGGCAGGGCACTACCATCGACCCCAGTGACATTCCACCTCAGTGTCAGTCTGTCTGTGCCACGCCGGTGACGGATCTTAATGTGAGCACGTAGTTGTTAGGTGCACGTTCTAGCTCTTACTCCAAGTCCCGCAGGGCTGCAGCACGGATCCGACACAGTGTACCGCGCTCTGCAGCAACACTGTCATGAAGGGCCTTGCAGACTGCCTAAGCTGTACGAATGCCGCGGCTGGCGGGGATGCTAGCGATACCGAGCAAGCGCAAACAGACCTCGACCGTGCGTCCCCTTCATTCGCTACCCCACCCACCCTACTGACCTCTCGTGCAGAACTCGAAGCTAGCTGTGCAGAAGCGGGCGACCCCGTGAACTCGTTTACCGTGTCCGGCCCCTCGGGCGAGCCAACGGGATCCGCGACAGCCGGCGACGGGAGCAGCGACGCGTTCCCGACCGGTGCCTCGAGCACCTCGCAGCAGGTCTTCTTCTCGTCGAGCGGCGCATCTGGCGCAGCGACGCCCGCGAACACAGCGACCAAGAACGTCGTCACCGCTGGGGCCTCGAGCAATGCAGCGGGCGCGGGGACCACCGCGGGCGCACAGTCCTCCGCTGGTGCGGGCAACACGCAGACTCAGACCGCAGCCGGCGCCGGGGCCACCACCCCCACTGGACTGAAAGGCGGCTCCGCTCACGCGTTCGGCAGTGTCTCCGTCGCCGCAGCGTTCGGAGCCGCGTTCATGCTCGCGCTTAACCTTTGAGCGATGGACTCGTCGGATACCCTTGGTCGGCCTCATGGATACCTCCCTTTTTTCTTTCTTTTTGGTGTACTCTGGCATGTGACAAATAGCGGACATTTTGATGAGTTACGGTTCTGTAGGTCGTTTTGCTCTCGTCTCATAATACGGACAACGTCTTCCTCAGAAGATTCCATTATGCAGAAGACAGTCATGAGTGTGGTGCGAGATGTGGCGTTGATTTTGTTTCGAGCTCGTTGATGTCCGTTTGTGCTTTCTCCAACTTCTCCGTCTCCGCAGGACTTGTGACGTCGATGCCCATGCGCTCCACTGCCAAGCACACAATTAGCCCGATTCCATTCCTCGTGCGACAGCCATTCACCTTCCATCTGCTTGATCGGCCCCGTGAACCACTTACGTGCGCTGAGAGCCCAGAAGCCGAGGCAGTACACGAGGATGATGCCGACCGCGACGATGGTGTAGTTGAGCGTCTGCGAGTCGACAGGGTTCGCAGTCGGGAGGATAAACGCGATCGAGATGAAACCAATCCAGAGCACGGCGACGACGGCGACGGGGTACGAGAACGCACCGAGATGGAACGGCCCGCGCACGAACCGGTCTCGGTACACGACGCGCAGCGCGATAGGGATCCCGTATGAGATGTACAGCCCAATCGTCGCGATCGACGTCGCGGCTGAGAAGGCCACCGTGCTCCCCAAGCTCGGAAGCCCGAGGCAGAAGCTGAGCGTGCACGCAAGCCAGACTATAGGATATGAGCGGCGGGTCTAAGAAGAAGGCGGCGGACGCACCCGTGCGCACTGGCGACTTGCGCTTCGCGTCGACCTTTTGGAAGAATCTGCGCCCGGGGATGCCGCCATCTCGCGCAAACGCGTACATCATTCTGCTGTTTGACGTCACTGAGAAGGTGCCACAGAAGAACATTGCGCCGATGACGATAACCTGCGGTGAAGACCCAATTGAGGCGACGAAGATACACAAAACATTGCAGAGTAGACACCAACCATGAGGACACAAGCACCCTTTTCCCCGACCGTATCGAGGAAAATTTGCGCGACAGGCTCGCCGGTCGGTGAGTTGATTGTGTTCTCCAAATCTTGGATGGAGAACAGCAGGCCGAGGATGAGATACCAGCCGAGCACCGCCGATACGCCAATGGCCATAACGATCCCCATTGGACCTGCCATCGCGGCATTATGAGTCTCTTCGGTCATCTAGAAGCCGGGTTTTAGCGGATAGACGTCAGGATGTGGCTGAAACGCCTCACATGAGCGCTAGCATCGAAGCCTGGATACAGCAGTCAGATGATGTATGCGAAAAGCAGGTTCAGAAATTCCACCTGTCAGAGTATATTGCGAGAATAGAATGCCGATCTGGCGAGCCACGTCTGCTAAGTTTTGTCAAGAATTAGTCCAAAGAAGGACCTACCACAACCAGATAGGCAGCACTCGCACGCTGACTCCAGCCAACACCGTCCACACCCGTGTTGTCGATAAACTGCGTGAAGACGAACTTCGCGCTCTGGTGGGTGGGGGCTTTTGCCAAGATAGCGATGACCAACGCAGTCGTACCCACCGCGTGCCAGCCGATTGAGACGTTGTTCAGGTACCGAAGCAGGTGCACGCCAAAAGTGTTAATCAATCCTATCCGAACATGAGTATGCCGAGGCCACAGGGATTATAAGTGCACGGGCGTACCTTGCAGTATCAGTACACCAGCATAAATGCCAATGGTGATTTTGGCGGATGGCACAAAGTCCGTGTTGAACGTGCAGGCAGTGGAGATGAAATTCGCCGCAGCGTAACTAACAGAGTTATGTGAAGCTATGCAATGAGGAGCTGCGAGGGTGCGCAGTACACACCTAATTCCAGTAGTAACCGCAACCTGTCCGAGGAGGTTAAACCATCCACACACCCACGACGCGAAAGGAGCATTCTCAGGCTTCGATATCATGGCCGCCCAGAAATATGGGCCTCCACTGGTAGGATGTGCGCTGCAGACCTCCGCCATGGCGAGGCCGACGAGCATCGTGAAGAACGCTAAGGCGGATCGTTCCTGAGCGTTAGAATGTCTAACAGCTCCGCGCACACTCACAGACAGCAACAAACCCCCACACCATTACGACTGGACCTCCGGTGTTCTACAGAACGTGAGATAACATGACAGAAGATGGAATATTCCAATACGCACCAAGCCATACGAGAACAGTGACGGTATACCCGTGATAACACTGATGATAGAGAACGAAACGCCGAAGTTCTATAGACGTTAGGCCAGTGAGTTACGTATCACGGGCGTCGCCAGCGGCGTACCTGTAGAAGACCTAAGTCACGTCTGCACACCGCCAGCTCTGATTACAACTCAAGTCGCACACCCAGGACAGCTGCGAAGACTTACTTCAGCTCCTGCTTGTATCCCATGCGCGCGAGCTCAGCCTCGTCCGCGTCCTCGCGCGTCGCGGACGAGAGCGTGCCGACCTCGATGTTGTGCAGCGCCGCGTCTCCACTCATGGTCACGGCAGGGTCAAGGAGAAGGCAGAGTACGAGAATGGTCGCCCTCCGCACGCAGCATCTTTATCAGACTCCAATATATGTGAATTTTTGCCGGAACATGGGAAATTCGACTTCCCTTTGCTGATAAGGGTACATTCGAAGACGCCCTTTGCTGATGGACGCCGCATCAGGCCTTCAGGCGTCGCTCTCTCCGCTCAGGCGATAACAAGTCTGGGCGACAGTCTACAGGCGATCGGCTCATAGCCTTGAACATATATCTCCACAGAAGTCAGCCTGTCAGGAATATCGGGCGTTAGCTTGCAGTCGTGCGAGGAATTTCGGACCTTGCCTTGGTATATGTTGCCCCATAGAAAAGTGCGCATTAAGTTACGTAGTGTACTTTTTTTGCCGTTCTTTGTGAAAGACATGCGCAAACGCTTTCCGCATATGAGCGAGTGGATAAGTGGTCGCATATGCTCGAAACTGACACTCTTCGGTTGCATGAGTATTGTGACTGTAGGCATAGTAAAAACAACGTGCAAAATGTGTGTTCGGCGCTTGCGCATGACGTGAGAGATTAGCAATTATGCTTATGTCATGCGTTGTAGTATGTCTATCTGGCACTCTGCTGAACATTGTGTGTGAGTATTCTTGCTATAGACCAGGTTGCCAGAAAGCTTTGACTATGCGTCGCAAGGTACACGTCGGAGTTGCATTATAATATTCTCGGGAGGGCCGCCTTCTGTTGTGTCTGTACACCATCCGCTGTATTTCATAAATATATTGTTTCGTGTCTTAGTGGACATGGGAGTCTACGACAGAGCATTGTAGCAGCTCTGTGGTGACTATAGCCTTCCTTGAGCCATAGTAGCCGCTGTCACAGACTGCCGGCAGGCCATCCAAAGGACGCACAACTCTTTATCCGCTCATTGTGGCGTATAATTTCCGTGCCTCAACGAACGCCCGTCCCACGAACTTAGACCATGCGAATTCCGTTTACATAAGGCCTTGCCCAGTCTTCTTCCGTATTCTCACGTGCTCTCACCCGCTACAGCCGGCCGTGCCTCCGCTTCCTCTCGGACTTTTCTGCCGGCCACGCTAGCTTTTCCCCCACTTGTATGCCTACTGATAGTGAAAGTCAAACATTTCCGGCTAGTATCTCTCGACTGACTTGTTCAAAAGCACATCAGTTGCCACTGCACGCTACTCCATTTTCGGGCGGAAACATCTTGCTACATTATAGGTCATTTCAGAGATAGCTCACAAGCATCCGGGGCGGCATCCCGCCGGAATCAACCATGGGCAAACTGCTCTCCAAAGCAACGACGTCTATCACGTTGCAGAGGCTACTTCTCTCAGCATCCAGTGAGCCAAGCTTCTGGGCGCTATATCAGACGCCTAAAATTTACGGCAGATCTTCCAAGTTAGGGAGGAATTTACCTTTAGATATCAGCGCCCGGACAAAAAAGGCTCAGGATTTTGTCCAAGAATGTTCTTCGGGTTCCGGTAAGGCCCAGCCGGGTTCCCGCAACGATGACTTGAGACGAGATTGGGCCTGCTCTTTTCTCTAACATATCTTTAGAGACTTGCTCTTCTGGACTAGACGACTTCGTGCATGTTTGTCACGCTGCTCAGCGGCAGAGCGATTTTGATATCTGGGGAGGCAGACGAAGCACGAGGACAAGCATTGATAGCGCTAGGGAAGCAAGGGTCGAGGTAAGCCGGGTCATGCGTATCTCTACAATGCTCTCCGTATAAATACAGGACGTCTCTTTGCCATCAAGGCACCAGAACCAGCTCTCACGCCCAGGCCGGCTCGGTTCACTGCAAACACCACCTACCTCGCCAGTCCAGTCATGTCCACCGCACCAGTCGCACAGACAGTCAAGGGAGTGCCTGGGACGGCCACAGCGCTGGGCAAGAATGCCGCCGCTCTGCCAGGCTACAAACACCCGCTCGACCCGTTGGCCCCGGAGGAGGCGAGTGCCTCCTGTCGTGTTTCTGCTCGCCATGGCTTTCTTGACATGTCAGGGCACGTAGATCGTCGCCATCTCGCTTGCACTGAGACGGCATACGGCAGAGAAGACGGATATCAAGGCGATTCGCTTCATCACGACGTGCCTGCTGCCCCCGCCGAAACGCGACGTGCTCGCACACCTCGGCATCCCGCTCGAGACGGGCAAGCAGCCTGAGCCTGCACCGAAGATCGTCAGGAAGTCAGAAGTCGATGTGAGCGATTGATGATCTACCCATCTCACCACGGAAGCGCTGATCAGCGCAAATGCTAGTTCGTCGATGTAGTCGCTGGGTAAGCAAATCGTTCTGAATGCTTCTGTGCTGGACTGACTTGCCGCAGCATATCATATAACGCCATACTTGCGCTAAACGGAGATGCATGGGAAGTGCAAGCTATCGAGAAGCTGCCAGAGGGCCAGCAGCCTCAGATCTCGGTTGAGGAGCTGCTGCTCTGCGAGGATATCATCCGTGCGGACGAGCGGGTGCAGAAGCTCGCGAGGGAAGTTGGTGAGTACAACCCTCTGGAATCTTAGCTTGGCGACGCAGGATACCAACGTCTAAGTGGACCAGGTGTCGAGCCGCATCAGCTCTGCGCCGACGGCTGGGCGATAGGATATGATGACCGCTTTCCCCACAAGCAGAGGATTCAGCAAGCAATTCTCTTCGCCCGGCTTGGCCGACACGAGAACCTCTATGCCCATCCTCTGGTGTGTGCAACACCGTGTTCATTCTGGATGGTTTCATTAACTCGTCTCTAGGACTTCATCCCCGTAGTTGACTCTGTCACGCAGAAAGTCATCCATATCGACTACCCGGGGGCGTTTACGAAAGCCTTTAACAACTCAGGCAATTACGGCGCCGCTGGTACTACACATGATCTCTCCTCTGCGAAGACGACACCACCTCATCTCAAGGACGACGCGTTCAAGGCGTCCGGCCGTGAGCGCATCCCGCCCCCGCTGGGGCTGCACGACTTCCTGCCAGACCTCATTGAGGAGAACTACAAGAAGGAGGGCAAGGAGTTCAAGCTCCGCGACGACCTCAAACCGCTACACGTCGTCCAGCCCGAGGGCGTCAGCTTCAAGATCAATGGGCATGAGCTCGAGTGGCAGAAGTGGAAGATGCACATCTGTACGTGGCGCGGTTTATGCGTGATGGCTTGCGCTGATGTGCCTCTGCTAGCGTTCCACCACCGCGAGGGTGTTGTCGTCTCGACCGTGACGTACAACGATGACGGTATCATCCGCCCGGTCTTCTACCGCCTCTCCTTGTCGGAGATGGTCGTCCCGTATGGCGCACCGGAGCACCCGCATCCGCGCAAGTTTGCGTTCGACTCGGGCGAGTACGGCATGGGCACCATGGCCAACGAGCTCACCCTGGGCTGCGACTGTCTCGGTCAGATTCACTACTTGGTCAGTACCTGATCGTAAGAGAAGAACATCGGCTGATGCTGTCTTGCAGCCCGGCGCGTTCGTGAAGCACGACGGTACAGCGTTCATTATCAAGAACGTCATTTGCATCCACGAGGAGGACGCCGGTCTCTTGTGGAAGCATACTGACTTCCGTGTTGGCGGCCGTGGACACGCTGTCCGTGCTCGTCGTTTGGTAGTGCAGATGATCTGTACGCTTGCAAACTACGGTACGCAGACTTCATTCTTACAGTCAGCGCCGAGTTACTCATTCGACGCGCAGAGTACATCTACAACTACATGTTCTACCAGGACGGCAACGTCGAGCTCGAAATTCGTCTGACCGGCATCCTGCAGGTGTACGCCGAGGACCCAAATAATCCGAGCTCGACCCCCTTCGCAACGACCGTCGCTCCGGGCGTCAGCGCGCAGTACCACCAGCACATGTTCTCCGTGCGCGTCGACCCGATGGTAGACGGCCTGTCGAACACCGTCGTCGAGACGGACATCGTGCCCGTGGACGCGCCAACCGGCTCCGCGCACAACCACGCCGGGAACGGCTTCACGACGCGGGCGCGGCCGATCGCGAAGGCGTCCGACGGCGGGCGCGACTTTGACCTCGCGACGGACCGGCGCTGGGCGATCACGAACCCCGGGAGGCGGCACCCCGTGACGGGCAGGCCGACGGGGTACACCATCATGGGCAAGGGCGGCGTGACGCCGCTGATGGCGCGCCCGGACTCGTGGGTCGCGAAACGGGCGCGCTGGGCGGAGCGCGCGCTGTGGGTCGTGCGCGACGTCGAGGACGCGCACGGCTCGCGCGTGTGGCCGAGCGGCAAGTACGTGCCGGGCTCGCGCGAGGAGAACCCGGACTCGGTCACGAAGTGGGCGCAGGGCGACGAGAGCCTCGAGGAGCAGGACGTGCTCCTGTTCCTCACGATGGGCGTCACGCACATTCCGCGTCCTGAGGACTGGCCTGTGTAAGTGTAGCTCCGATGTGGATAAAACCGTTTTGCTGACTGCTTTTGCAGTATGCCGATGGAGCACCTGAATCTGTTGTTTAGGCCTTTCAATTTCTTCACGCAGAGTCCAGCGATGGACGTACCCGGTGCGAACGACCAGCGCAGCGTGCCGGCGTTCCCTAACGGCGACAGCTGCTGCTCGAATTCGAACTGATCAAACAACCATATATTCTCAGCAATGTGTACATTAGATCTGTATCTTTGGGGATTTAGGGGCAAAGACCTGTTCAGTGAAGTCATGGCTCGGAGAGAGAACTGGTCGACTTCCAGCACTCACTTTCAGAGGATTCGTAGTAAATCATGGAGCGGCCCACGTTATTTAGAACCACTCGTTATGCATCACTCCTTTGGGCAAAGACTAGATGCGCGCGTAATATTTACGCGACGCGAGGCGCTACTGATGCATCACGTGCAGAGCGGCAGATATCACGTGCCAGGCGTGAGAACCCGGTTCCGCTGCCCTGTGCCTGCCTTCCGCTCCACAAACACTCTTGCCGCTCCACTGACGGTGCCACGACAGCGCGTCCTTGGAACCTTCGCTACACAGCATGCTCTTTCGAATGATATGACGGCCTCACTTTGCTGGTTGCGCAGGCTGACGTCATCGTCCCACAGAAATCAATGAGATACTGAGGGGCCTATATAACTGGAGGGACGACTCTTCCAGATCTCCAGAAACCAGTCACATAAGCTACTCAATCACATCGTATACCCTACCCAACCTCTAGATACCAAGCCACTACACACAATGGTGGGTCGTCTGCTTGTGGTTTCTCTAGTGTCGTACGGTGTGCTAACTACACCTTCGCGCTGCAGGGTTCTGTCGTCTCTGCCATTGGTGGGGCTATCAACGCCGTCATCTCCGCCATCGCGAATGTCATCATGACCATTATATCCGCAATCGTGACGGTACGCACTCTTCACGTCTCGCTTCCCACAAACCAGATTCTGACCCGTCTTTCAGGTAATCGTTACGATCATTGACGTGATCCTCGATATCCTCTGCTGCAGATGCTGTGGCAGAGGCACACGCCGGACGGGCACGCACAGATATAGGTGGGGGTCATCCGGGCGACGAGGAGGGGCCTACTAGAAAACGAGTCCCTGCGTCCTGACCATACTTCATGATCCTCACGACTTAACATATGCTACGACTTGCTGATTGTAATACCCTGTGCCCTACGCTATGTACATTCATAATCATTGACACAACTATGAGACACCTTAGTTGCGTGAGAAACAACGTGGGATCTGGCTGCATCACTAGTGTTGAGCGCTTGAGCGCTGAACGCACTGAGGGCTTGCATGTCTGTTAACAGTTGACATACTGTGAGTGGTGGTACAAGGGCCCGGCTTTCGTCCAGATTAGTCATCTATCTGGTGCTAAAGACCACGCAGCTCCACCGGCTGAAATTCGGATTGCGTCAGAATGTAAGTCATTCGGGTAGTTTTCACAGCCCTGGTTCGAGGTTGTATCGATGCCCAACCATACGGTATCCGCTACGTGCAGGTCTAGCGAGACGTATTCTTATGGTCATGCACAGAGCTAACAGTCAAAGTAGACTACCTCGAGACACGCCATGATTATGTCAGATAGTGGAAGTCCGCAGGATGAACGCGCGTCGGTTGGCTCATCCTCCTTGAGCTATGGCGAAGTGTTACCATCAAGGCTCATTAACCGGCCATTCACTGCGTCGCCTGAAGCACTCGCTTCCAACATCGCGCCATCGCAGAGCTCCGAGGGCCGGGAACGCACTCCGAGCAGGTCGTCGGTGCTCTCCAGCGCTTCATCGCAGAGTGGGCGGCAGTCGCTAGACGCGGTGCGGGACCAGGTCGCAGAGAGCATCGCTGTGCGCACCATCACACGCAGCGAGACTGTCGACGGCAACAAAATCGATGTCGTCATCACCGTCTCCGCCTCCTCCGACGCGTCCTTCCTCCGGCGGATCGCAGACAAGATCAGGAACCGGCTGCTACTCAAGTCGTACCTCTTCGCGCTCAGCATGTCGTACCCGCCGGGCGCGGCCGTGCCGCTGCTGCTCTGCACGTCGTCGCCCGAGCTGCTCACGCGCGCGTCGCTGCTCGTGAACAGCAAGTTCACGGCGCGCATCGTGCCCGGCGCACGCGCGTCGCCGGACGGCCAGCGCTGGCTCGTGCAGGTGCAGGACCTCGGCGGCAGTCTGCTCGACGAGGAGGCGCTCTGGGACGTCGTGCGCAAGGCGGCGCGGGCGCCGGCGGACCCGCTCGCGCCGCCGCCGGGCTCGGTCGGCATCGAGCAGCGGCTCGCGCTCGAGCGCGCGCGCCTCGAGCGCATCACGCCGCGCGCGGCGTACGAGGAGCTCACGGAGCCGTCGAGCCCGTGGCCCGTCGTGCTCGTCGACATCCGGCCCGAGGCGCAGCGCCGCGCGGAGGGCGCCGTCGGCGGCGCGATGGTCGTCGAGCGGAACGTCCTCGAGTGGCGCTTCGACCCGCGCTGCTCGTCGAGGCTGCCCATCGCGGACCGGTACGACCTCCGGGTCATCGTGTTTTGCTCCGAGGGCTACACGAGCTCGCTTGCGGCGGCGAGCCTGCGGGACTTGGGGCTGCTGTTCGCGACGGACATGATCGGCGGGTATCAGGCATGGAAGGCGGCAGGTCTGCCGGGAGAAGTGGAAATTCTAGCAACCGGGCTGCCCGCCGAAGAATATTCGTTCAACTAAGAAGACCTCGTTTAGTGGGCCGCAGACAGCTTCTGATAGATTAGTGAAGTTGCATTGAATTTATTCGGTCACAGAGGAGAAGATGAGGGGAAGATGAACTGAGGTCGGCCGAGGGCAGCTCCAAGAAATAAACACCGGGCGTCTTGTTTAAGCGCCTTTGTATGGTTATATTATTGGTCCGGAGTTTTCCGATAATCTCGGGAGGAATCTAAATAAGGAAATAGCCTTGGTGGCGTCGAAGTTTGTTTCCGGTTGTCACCATCTGACGGATGATGCTGCCGACAGTGCTCGAGGCCGACGAGGGTGTGTCGTCGCAGTATTTAATATGGCTCGTTTCCAGGCTTCATCCACACCCTAGCGTCGCTTCAACCGTGCTGCCCACGCTAAAGATGCTAGCCTCCGTCCGGCTGTCTGCTAGTGTGTGCAACAAAGGACTGGCTGCAATTTCGGTTCCCACGGAAACCCGCGATCTTCTGCATGTCAAGCTTGGAAGATTTCCCAAACTTTATCTCCCATACATTCCACGTCCGCTCGCCGCTTCGTCCTTAGGTCACTGCCTACGCTTCTACGTCCATTCGCAGCTGCTTCGCGGGTAAGGAACCGACGGTCGCATCCAGCTCTTTCCTACGGTCCCCGGTTGTAGCACATGCGCACTTTCACAGAGGGCGGAAAGCTTCAGCTCTCTTCCGCCGGCTCGAGACCGCCAGCCAGCACCTGTAACCCGTGTCCGCCCGAGTTCCCTGCGTGCATGGATTCCTTTCACCACAATTCAGACAGTGCCTATGCTTCTGGCCCTCTATAGAACAAGGAGCACACTAGGGAGCTGGCGTCCACCGCGTGTTGGGGATCTCTATGACTTTGGGGCGCTTCTCTCGTACTTCACTGCTGGCTGCAGTATGCCTCGAGCCCACATGACCGTGCTTCTTTGCATTATCTGCAGGATGCATCCACAGCTCCCATGAGATTGTTGTCGGTCGGAGCATCCACAGGAAGGACTGACTACTACACCTGCCTTTTGCGATCGCGAACAAGCTTCACGGCAGCTTGCCACTCACATTTCCCCAGGTCCCATTCAATGCTGGCGGCGGGGACCGTGTCCGAAGGGTGGCGTAAGTTCCCGGGAAGCACCGTCAGGAACGTCAATACATAAAGTTGATTGTTACGATAGTCCAACTGAGATGGCAGCACGCGCTACGGGTGCGAGCTGGCATTAGCGGAGTGTGTGAGATAGCGACTAAGACCTTGGTATATACGACAGTAGAAATATCACCAAACGAAGACAGCCGAGATAAGCTGAGCCGAGACGAACAGCGAAGCAGCCGAACAAGAAAAAGAAAGAAAAAAGAGAGAGAGAGATGCGAACAGAAAGGCCTGGCCTAGTAGTAGTTTGTGCGATGTGCGGGATCCGACATGCCACCACCTGGTCTCGACGAGAAGTGCACGTCGCGGTCGAGCCCGGCACCCTGCTGCGTGTACATATATTCTCCCACAGGCATCGCGGGTGGCGGCGGTGCCCCCTGCATCACGGCGTGCGGCGGCGGCGGCGGGGCGGACGCGAAGTAGCCCCCAGGGCCGTGCACAGGGGGGCTCGTCGCACCAGGCGAGAGCGCGCTCGGGGTCATGTTCGCGTGCATGGCGCCGGAGAGCACGGCGTCTGCGAAGCGTGCGTTCGCGAGCGCCTCGTACTCGGGCGTGACGATGAACGGCTGGTTCTCGGGGTCGTGCGCGCCGCCCGTCGTCACCACGGGCGAGGGCAGCGGCGGCGACGGGTTCGAGTGGTCGCTGTTGGGCGGCGAGATCGCGTACGGATACGCGCCGTAGTAGGCTCCGCTCGCGTACATGGACGCGTGCGAGACCTCGTGAGCGATCGAGGACTGATAAGTCGGAGAAGAGCCCTCCGTGGAGTGGTAGGATGCGGCGACAGCCGGATGATATGGCGGAGAAGAGGACGCGCCCTGGAGCTGCTGAGGTGGTGATGGTGAAGATCCGAGGCCGTATGACGCATACGTCTCTTGGCGTTGCTGCTGTGAGATTGAGGCGACCGGGCTTGGGGTGTCCCCAACGTGAGTGTCGCCGAACGTAGAAGTGTGGTGCACGGACACCTGATTACTCGGTCGCGTTCCATGGGCACCCGAAGGCACTCCCGGCGCAATCCGTGCCAGGCTGCGCAAGGCTGCGCTGGCAGTTGGGGAGACAGAGGGCACAGTTGAAGGCGAGGTCATAGGAATGGCAGGTTGTATCCATGGCCAAGAGCGGCCTGGGAGGCGACGTATGTCAGTAGGAGGCGTCATATTCAGGCCGACAGGCACACCCATGGTATTCGCTTGATTCTGCATCGCTGCTCCTGCTTGCTGAGGTGGCGGGCCCGCAGGCGCTGCAGCCGCCTGGGCAGGCTTTGTAGGAGACCTGTCGGTGCCGACAGGTGCTGACAAGCCTGCAACAGGGAGTTCCAAGCGTGGAAGGATGGGACGACTGCTACGGGAAGGCTCGCCGGCCGCGGCACGCTTGGCTGCCTTGCCTCCGACGCCCTTGCGCTTCGTGAGGCCGTGCACCTGCTTCAGGTAATTGACCAGGCCGGGTCCTTGCGTGTCCATCGTGGGCACGATCGCGTCCTTGCCCTTGTGCCGGGTGGTGCGACGGGTCGGAGACGACGAGGTCACCGGCTGACCCTGTGCGCTCATGCTCGGCGGCGAGTGCGACGCCACGGGAAGGACCGTGGACGTGGACGTGGGTGTGACCGGCCCACTCCTGGGAAGAATGCTCGATGCGCCATGCGTAGGAAGCGAACCTGCCCAGGCCGTTCTGATTAGACCTCGCCCTCCCCCATAGAGGTTCGACGCACCACTGGCTCCGCTTTCGGGGGCGGTGGGCCTCGCAGATAGGTGCACCGTGAACTGTCGTGAGTCCACTTGGAACCATGCCGGCACTTCCGCGTTAATCTGTGCACGCAGCTGCGCGAGCGATATTAGAGTTTGATCTCCGAAGAGAAGTCGGCCCCTGCTTACCAACTGGGTATGGAAATCACGAAGAGCTTGCAGACGGGGGTTGGCCGCGAGGACCATGTGCAGGCGAATTCTCTCCTGGGCCTGGCTCAGCGGAGGTGTGAGAAATTACGCAACGATCCGGGACGTACCTGGTACAACGTCGTCATCACGAACTCCCGCGTCCCAGCCGCATCGGGGCTGTGACTGCCATTCGGCAAGAATTGTGCGGGATTGTGCGGCGGGTTTGCGGCTATGATGAGCAGGTGGCGTGTCGCGCGTCCAACTAGCTCAACAGCGCGCACGGTCTAAACTAGAATCAGCAAACAATTAGCACCACAAATCGCATGGTTCCATTTACCTCGACTGCGCGCCGTAGCGCGCCGAGCGAGAGCGGGAGCGCAGAGTCGAAGGGCACGTCGGGGATGTGGGTGCAGGAGTTCGAGTATGTCGGCTGAAAGTTGTCGGGGTCTGCAGTCATCTGCCAGTACACGTGTATCTGAGAACAATCAGGGCTGGAACAAGACTAGTGTGTCAAGGCGAGACCTACCGGAGTGTCGGGGGTGCCGTTCTGGAGAGCCCCGAGTATCACGGGCAGGTAATAGCCCTGGAGCTCTGTCCAGTAGCCGAACATGTTTGGCGAGCTCTCCAAGAGCACGAGGACGACGCAGGCGTCGCCAGGGACGTCCGGAGACGCGAAGGAGGACGAGGAATGCGCGGCCATCGTGAGACTAGCAGAAAGACATGGGCGAGACAGGCCTTGCACGAGCCGAGACGTGGAGGAGCAAGGAACGTGACCAGGCCGCTGGCGGGGCGCAAAGTTGGGAAGAGAATGGATGAAGGAGGAGATAAGGGACGGCGGCGGGCAGCATTTGGCCCAAAGTCGGACTTTCGAGTGCTGGACGAAAACAGCATGCCATGACACAGGCGCGGGGGCGAACCCGAGACCAGTTGTGCGCAAAGCAGGAATGCAGCATCCCAAGAAACACGAACTACTAAACGGCTAAAGCTTGATGGCATGTGCCGTGCACAGCTGGCGGGCGATCGGACGGCGGGCCCTTCCCGGCACCCACACCCCCGCGCGGATGACTTCCGCGACGAGCTCGGACGCTCAGCGGATGTACCAAGTTTATGTGATCTGCTCTGTCTACGAGCGGCCTTTGGCTTTGCAGAAGGCCCGCCCATGCCAGGGAGCTGGGTGGAAGATCGATGCACGATCGCAGCCAGTCCAGCGTTCCGTGTAGGGTAGGTATATCAAGAACTCATCACTTCTCCATTCTCTTCAAGCGAGAAATCATTTCTGCCCGTCGCTGAAAGCTCGGGAATGGACGACGGCCAGCCTCAGCATGCAGTAATCAGCAGGAGAGGCGACGGGCCGAGCAGCAGTCATCTCCGGATGGCGAACACTACGGCTCGGCTGGTCCGAACTGAATACAGCGCGGAAGCGCGTCTGGATGAGTGCAGTGTTGCAGCCGTTCTCAAGTGCCTTCGTGTCCCAATGAGGACGAGAGGGCCCAGGCGATCATCAACCGAGACGCAGGGCGTAGAGAAGCGATTGCATCTCGCCAAAGGTCCGCATGACTTCCTAGGCTTGTGGCGGCTAGCCCGCCGAGCGGAGCGCCGGGCGATCCACTACCTGCCGTTCGTCGCGAAGACATTGACAGATATATCGACAGCATCCATCTACACATGTGCCTTGTTCCTGATAGAAAACAGCATGTTAGTACTTTACACAGAGGATGCCGACCGGCCTGGAGTCCGCGAAGGTACGCGCGGACGCCGAGGACAGGCGGCACATAAAGGGGTAATATTAAAGGGTATCCAGACCTACGACACGAGAATGATGGAAGAAAAGGAAGGGTATATGGATACAGAGCAGCGAGACAGAGTGTGTGACGGTGATAGGGGTAGATCAGACCTGAAGCTCTGCATTAGCGAGAAGTACTTCATTTGATTGCCAAGGGAATGCACGCACCAGGCTCAGTTCCAATGTCCAGACCCTGCGAGCCCAGAGCTTCACGACCTTCGCCGGCTCGCCTTCCTCGGCGAGATTCACTTCGACACCGTCCCACCAACACTTGCGCTGTAGCCGATGTCAGCGACCGTCAACAAAGGAACTAACCAAGCGCTTACAGCTGGCTTTCTCCAAAACAGCAGGAGCTTCTGCGCGGTGGACATCTGCGTGTAGTCGACGTTAACGCGCTTGTCGCCGTTGGCGTCGACAACGTGATTGATGCCCGTCTTCAGCAAGACTAGTGCGATCGAGGATATGCAGCACCGAGATGGCTCCAGCGCACGATATCCCCATTCGTCGTCGCGGTCGAAGCCGCTGGATGGCGCGCGCGATTCAGTCGGCATCACGGGACGACTGCAAGGTAAGGTCACGCACCTCATGCAGAGCATGTCAATGAGGTGTTGCTCGGCGATGTTGTTCTCCTTGTTCACGTTGCGCTGGAGCGCGGTGAAGATGTTGCGCTTGTGCAACAGGTAGTTACCGCATTTGCGCTTCAGCTCCAGCAAGGCCTCGTTCGCAATCCCGTTCGCGTTGGTCGCCGCCTTTCCGTCCGGGGTAGGGATGGAAAAGTACTCGAGCTCTTCGCGGAGGACGATTATCGCCTGTTTCGAGAGCAGCGGGTTCTGAGACTGCGAAGAACCGTAGTCGGACGTTGGGGACCCGCCTTCGGCTATGAGATGTGACTGATAATGCAGGAGGCCGGGCGAGCTCGGCGAGCCGTAGAAGTCCTCAGAGGCCTTGCGGAAGAAGTTCAAGACATACGAGAAACATTCTGGGTCGAACTGCGTGTGGAGGTCAGCGGAAGAGAGACGTAGGCAGCAGGCATGCGCACGTCAACCCCATACAGTTCCTCGTAGTCGTCGTTGTCGCCGCCATCAGACAGAGCCGCACTCTGGCGGCTGAGCACCAGGCCATTTGGAAAGAGACATAAAAGGACGGATTCGGGCAGGTTCATGATTGTTTCACGGTCCACAGAGAACCGCTTTCCCCGCAGGTCAAGAAGCAGCCTCGTGAGTAGCTGTGGTTGGAGATTTGTCTGCACCGGGGTCTGCGACACCTGTGTAATCGGCGAATTGCTCATCGTTGCGCTAGCCATGGTAGTTTTCAACTGGATAAGATGTCGAGTTAGAGGAGGACGACGGCAGGGTCAACGGCCAGAGTGCGCAGGAGGCTCGAGGCACTCTCGAACGTTGCACGCAGGCGCCCAACCGGCATTTCGCGCAGCCATCAATGACGCTCAAAAGTCGCCGAGCTTGTTCTCGTCCCTTACTGCCACCACTGTCCCCCCACTGGATTTTAAAATGGACTTTGATCTAGAGGAGCTCGTGCATGTAGAGCAAACGTGAGAAGATCGTACGAACATTTTTATCGCAAAACGTCTGATCTTGGCATGTAGATTTTACGACGAAGGATACCGGGACGGTTACGCGCACGGACGCATACATGGTCTCATAGAGGGCAGGGCCCTCGGTCGCGAGAAAGGATTCGAGATGTGGGAAGAACTCGGCTTCTACGAAGGCTTTGCACTCATGTGGGCCGCCATCCTCGAAAAGCAAGGAAGACGAGACGAGTACGATGCACGTCCTCCATTCCCCGGTAGCAGACTGATCCAATCTTGAGGCAGCCGGGCTGCCAGCAACATTAGGCATCTGCTCGACCTCATTGCGCAATTCCCTAAGTTCAATCCGTCAGCAGCCGAACCGTCAGAGCTAGACATACCGAAGCTCTTCCGCCAAATCCGCTCGCGTTACAAAGCACTGTGTGCTACGCTGGGTGTGAGACCCACGTTGCGTGCAGGCGGAGCCGCTGGCTCTCCGGATGGCGACGAGGATCCCGCACATTCTCCAATAGAGGACGCGTCAACTGACAGCACGACTGTCTGGAAGATCGATAACAAACCTAGGGCTCGGGGGAACAATGATCTCAGCTTTTGAGCTGGTGATTGTACAAACACTAATATCAATGTGGGAAGTTGCTTCCTCATCGCACCATTTGCACACGCGTTCAGGTGCACATCGGTAAGTCCGACATCGGTGCTCATGCTACATGCCATATGCTGAACATCATCACTGCTCATAGGACCACAGGTCGACCCTGGCTGCCTGTCCACCGGGTCATACTTGCACTCCCTGTGGCCACTTCGCGTGCAATGGTATGTCGCATCGATTGCTCTGCGCTCCCCATTCTTATCCTAGGCAGTCAAGTGCTCCCAGTCATGGCCAGCAAGCGTGTGCGGTCCGTCTACTTTCATGGCCATAGCGGTCGCAGTGCTGACACCACGTTCGCAGACAGGTTTAGCATATGACATCATCAGGACACGCTGGCGATCTCGATTGGTGGGCGGCCATACGAACAATGCAGTACTTACCCAATATACACCCGTTCTCTTTGTAGAGCGTGCCTTCTCGACCGACACGACTCATCTCGAGTCTATCATCGCTTCGGAAGGTCTCTCTTTCTGTATATGTGACTCCGCCCGCGATCCTCCGCTCGCGATTGCTTCCCGCTTCCCGTTGTCTCCGTTTCGTGATCAGCACTAGCGAGACCGGGCGAGGCATGGAGTACGACCAGCGGGACAATACCTTTCAACGCGCACGGAATTACGCAATGAGTTCTGCGACGCAAGCCTCAGGGCCAGGACACTGTTACGGCGACCCTCTGCGCGGGCGTATCTCCGCAGTATGCTTCTGGGCATTCTCTTTCATGGCCTCGGCTGTCCACAGGTGTGCACGAGACCAGTGGACTATCTCACACATCACCTGCCTCCCCGTCAGCATTTATCTGATAGTGATGCACGCCTCGCTCTGTCTCGGACGTTCGGAGCCTCCTATTCGCTTCTTCTCTGCAGGTCACTTGCGAGGATGACAGTAGAACCTACCGGAAGCCCGTCCGTCCGGCGATGCCCCGGCCGTCGGGGCGCACAGAAGGCACAGCCTCTAGGCCAAGCCCGAACACAGAGGCGAGGCGAGCCTTCCTCCTTCGGTACCGGGCCCCACGCCGGTCCCGCAAATGGCAGGGTGGTTACAATGCATGGATGCACCGCGAGGCAGACGTGCCTAGCCGCCCCTGAGCTGAGGCGCGCTTATCTTGTATTTTACACTAGGGTCTGCCCGGGGCCCTCCGTCCCCGCTGGGGCCGCATGGGGTCCCGGCATTCCGTAAGTGCATGTGCCTCAAGCGGGCACGTATAAGCTTTTGCTCGCCTGTTCTTCTAGGCCCTGCAGGGATGCACATGTGTTGAAAATGACCAGCCCTCCAGATTGGCTTCACGATGCTCTCTGGTCAGATGTGGCGTTGCAGAGGTGTGAGACACTGCAGGGTCCGTCCCGCATACGCATGGAAGCTCTGAGCAAGGACGAGTCAGACCCCAGCCAGTGAACAAAATCACGGGGCCTGCGCTTGTGATGATCTTCGCGCAGTCATGCACGATGGGTAGCATTACCGAAAGGATTGGAAGACAACAAAATTTTCATCCGACGCACGAAAAGCATAATTGACAGCGTGCCAGACCGCATTAAGCAGCAGCCAGACGACATGCTACGCACTCATACATGGACTCCACACCTCGCATCTCCTGCATCCTTACACATCCTAATCCTAGCCACATCTTTTGACATGTCACATGTCGGCACTAAGCATTCGGATTACCTCGTGCACCTCTGCCAGGAAATGTTGCAAAACGTCAGCGAGGGGAAGCCAGTGCGCAGCTGGTTCTGACCATTGCTGCAGCCATGCGCCACACGGCATGTGATGTCGCAGACACACTTCGTCGGGTGCAGGACGGCAGGAACACGACAGTTCCGATTTTTTTCGCGTAGGCGGCAACCGCCTTCGAACTTCCGATCGGCTTGTGCCGCTTGCGAGCTCTTTCTCGCATTACGCGGAGATGTGGAGCTTGTCGATGGCATCGTAAAAATCGTCCGAGTCTGACTCAGTCTCCTGAGACTCCTCAGAGTCGGCTTCTTCGTCTTCGGCGTCGGAATCATCCTCAAAGTCCAGCTGTCGTAGATTGCCGTCAATGCTTTGCACAGAGCCAGCTGGGGAGACAAGAGTGCGCACAGGATCGTATATGACTCGGATAATAAGACTGCAGCTAGGACAAGTAGCAGTGTCCTCGTAGTTCTTCAGCTGCTTGCGCGAGATCTCGAAACGGTCGCCGCAGGGGCACGGGTAGTGAAAAACCTTCTTATCGTCGTCCCATGCCATGTCCTCAATCTCAATCTCATCGTAGTAGGCACCCATCACAGACACTCGGAGGAGACTTAAAGCGATGGGGAGTAGCAGGAAAGGCGGACAGACAAGGCGATGATCAAAGCAGGAGTTAAGGCGCTAGTTATACGCGCGTCTAAGCATCAAATCTTTGTTTGGCGGCAGCCCCGGATCCTAACAAAGAATCTAAAAATGGAATGTGTGCAGGAACGATCGCAAGCAAATATTCTCGCGCCTCAGGCGACTGAAGAGACAATTTCAGGACCATATCTTTGGCTCGCCTGTAAATGTCCAAATTGCTTTCACAGCATGTCATTCAAGATATATCAGCTTACCTTACAGTGGGCTGCGAACTGGGATTGAGTACCAGTGCAATCGCGTTGGGTCTGATTTTCGGTGAACTGCGTTGCGTAGAGTGGACTTCCTAGTCTTATCTGCCTAGATAGCTATCTTACGCATTAAATATTAGTTTGGATGATCCTTATAACTGCTCATATGTTAAAGAATTAACTGCTTCGCAGCGACCGCCTCCGACTCGCTCACTTTCGAGCGCCGGTCGACGCCTAGGGCACTCCGCGGCTAGCACCAGATATTGCTCAGCCTGCGGAGCACGTCTATCAGCATGCATTTGTCCAAATCATGAGCGTGAATTCATATATTCAAGCTGGCGTTGTTTCAGGCAAAAAAAATTTATTTTGAGGAGCTGAAGCATGCGCAGAGTCGGGATGATACACGGAGAGGACTGGGGATAAGGTGGCGTACACATAGGGACGTTGTGTCATGAAAGTACAAAATGTAGGCAAACCAAAGTTATCATTCGAAGATTTCTTTAATTTGTGCCATGAGAGATACAAGCATATAGGCTACTGCAGGGCCACCTAGCCAGGCAAGTACATCAATCTTAATTGCATTATGAAAATCTACGTACATATCTGAGTGGCTATGGTATAATCATGTTTTCACCTGGGTTGGACTCGATCTGACACACTTCTATAATTTCGCAGTCCCCTCGACGGTAACCCATGGAGTCTAATTTCTACTTCCCTAACAGCCATATCTTCCCAAAATCTGCTAGGCTTTCCACCTGGTACAGTATAGTATGACAACAGCCCATAAGATGTATCCATCACTACGCAGCGCTTGCTATAGCTGGCTAACTAATGAAATCGACGTAGTGATTGTGTCGTGCACATGAAAGGCCAAAAATTGGCCTTACCATCTTTCCCGGGGAATGACCCCCTCACCTGATCGCCAGAGCGAGGACATACGGGAAATGGGCCAGAGCGGAGATCGACTAAAGTGGAAGGCTGAATACCCGGTCTAATATGTAGCCCCGCTCGCCAACAACGCGATCTTGCCAGGTAGAAATAGCACCAAATTTACACATCTATGAGAAAGTAGCGAAGAAACCACAACTGGAAACCGTACAGTAGTACAGTAGTCGTTCGCTGGGAACGAACTCCGAGACCGTATACACCTACGCATCACTCCTCGTCCTCTCCATCCCGCTCGCGCTCTTCTACGTCCCTCGCATCCTGCCTGAGCCCCTCATCCTCGAGCGCAGCTTCGTCCGCAAGTTGCTCGCCTTCGTCCTCATCCTCATCTTCGACATCCTCGTCCTCATCAATGTCCTCCTCGTCCTGTATGTCCGCGTCCATCATCTCCTCGTCATCGTCCTCGCCCCTGGGCTGCTGCGCATCTGGTTCTTCGTTCATCGCATCGTTCTCTGCGGGTGGTGGCGGCGGCGGCACACGCCCCGGAATCGTTATTGTTGGCGTAACAGGAGCTTTAGCCTTGCCTTTCGCCTTTGCGGATGCAGATTCGCCAGCATCTTTGGCCTTGCCCTTTGCGCCTCCGCGCCTCTTGTCGGGTTTCTGGTTGTTGCGGTACGCTGTATGTAGCCATATCGAATTAGAATGGGGGAATGCAGTAGATGGTATGTACACGCACCTGTCAGCTCTTGCTGCAGTTTTGGCATCATGTCGCCGAGGTCTAGTAGCTCGAGGGCTTTGAGCACGTCCGAGGCCGACACGCTCTTGTGTTGCTTTTGGGATGCGACGTCGTGCGCCCTGTACACATGTGAGTCAGCGCATGCACACATCTCAATTGATATACGTACGTCGCAGCTGTGTGTCTTGTCAGTGCTTTGTTAATAGACAGCGAGGGGGCACGCACCGAGATAGTTGATGAACACGGTCGAACCCTTCATGAGCGCGAGCACAGTCTCCTTCTGCAGCTTCGCATTCTCAGGTATCTATCCGGCGGGTGAGTGAAACCACACATGGACAATGCACACGCAGCGGACTGTGCGTACATACAGCAGACCTCGCAAGCTTCGTGACCAAGCTCTTCGGAAGCTCGTACGCGTCGATCCCGTCTGACGCGGCGTCCTGCTGTGCCTGCGCGCTTACCGACGGTCCTGAGCCCATGTCCTTGCGAGGCATGACGTGCCTGCAGAGCGGTTTGTGGCAAAGAGGAGTATTTGGAGGGCGGGGGCGGCAGGAGAGGGATCGTAGTCGTGGAAAGGGAATGAGCTGCCGCTGCGCCAGGGCCGTCTGGTCATGGCGCTTGTGCTTCTTGTTCCCGGACCACCATGTCTTCCGTGTTATCTTACCATCTTTCCCACAAATCGAGAGTATTCCCCGAAAACTGCGTCTGAAATGACCCACAGTTGTTGCTCAGTCCAAGCATGAGATGACTCCGCATAGGTCCCCGAGCCAAACGCCGTAACTTAGTACCGGATGAGCGTTGTGACTAGCAGATGAGGCTGTCCAACTTTGCTGGGTTCAACAATAGGTGAGCCATAATCGCATCGCGAGGGTGTAGTCCAGAGCCTATTGCTGCTGCGATCTTGTTCGCAGAGTGCGTTACTGCGCATGTGTGGTTCTGGAGATGCGCGAATGCCGGACGGAGTACTGCGCGTCGGACTCATCTTCCAGCGGCTCCGAGTTCTCTGCTGCTGCTGCTGCTGGAGGTAGCAGTCAGGGTCCCGGATATTGCGTGTCTGATATGAATCGATTGACCGGATAGGCTTATGCTCTGTTCAAAAGCCGGAACGGTCTGCTAGTCCAACACCCCATCGCCACCATGTCTTTCTCGTTCACGTCCCTTCTCGAGCTGCAGTTCAATGCACCTCTTCCCTGTCCCCAGCTCAACATAATCAAGGCGCTCAAAGCTGCGTACGCTAAATCTCAGCACCTCTCGGTACTTAGCTGCTGGGAAGGACAGTTCCCGCTGTCTGCGTACCTCGATACCCTTAACATCACCCCATCCGTTGTCGAGGCAGAGACGCATCGCACGGCAAATTACGACAATGACACGAGGAAACTCTACAGCCATGTCTTTGCCGGCGTCACCGACTTCACGTACGACTCAACCGATTTCCGCGTCTTCAAAGCTGTGTGGACGGATTCGCGGATGCACCATAACCTGTACCACCTCACTTTTCCGGGGGTAGACGACAGCATTGGCAAGAAGCTCGTGAAGGCTGTGTATGACTGGGCGAATGACCTCAAGGACGAGATTTGGGTCTTTGAGGGTGGCCAGTGGGAGAAGAGCAAGAAGCTCTACAAGGCCGTACAGTCCGCGAACTGGGACGACGTCATCCTTGACGACAAATTCAAAGATGGCCTCCGTCGCGACACGAAGACGTTCTTCGCGAGCAAGGAGGCGTATGCGTCGCTTGGTATCACCTGGAAACGCGGCCTCCTTCTGCTTGGCCCGCCAGGAAACGGCAAGACCGAGTCAATCAAGGCGCTGCTCCATGAAACAAAAGGCGTCTCGCCCTTGTATGTCAAGTCCTTTAGCACGCGCCTTGTCAGTATCTTCTCTTTCTTTGGACGTCTCCTCTACTGACAAATTGTAGGGTCCTGAACAAGGCATCCGCATTATCTTCGACCACGCGCGATCGCATGCGCCCTGTATCCTCATTCTCGAGGATCTTGACTCTATGCTGGTCGCAGAAGCTCGCTCGTTCTTCTTGAACGAGATAGACGGTCTAGTCAGTCCCAACTATCTTACTCTACTGCACACACAATACTAACACAGTACACCGCTAGGCTGACAACGAGGGCATCCTCACAATCGCCACCACAAATCACCCCGAGCGCATCGACGACGCCATCTTGAACCGGCCGTCACGCTTCGATGTCAAGTACAACTTCTCCCTCCCGGAGCCGCATCTCCGCAAGGCGTTCGCCATCAAGTGGCTTGCAAAGGTCAACGCGATGTCAGAGCACACCGGCGTGACCTTCGAGAAGCCAGACGAGACTGCGGACGCCATCGCCGCGAAGACCGAAGGGTGGTCGTACGCATTCCTGAAGGAGCTGTAAGCATCTTTCCGTAATCTTTCCAGCGCGCCCCTACTGACTAGAGATGCAATGCAGGTTCGTGTCATTCCTCCTTCGCATGGCGCATGACAGCTCGCTCCGCCAGACAGGCGCCGAAGTTCCCGAGGAAGAGTCCATCGAGGCCCTGCTCATGAAGCAAGTCGACCAGCTCGCGAAACAGATCATCAAGACGAAGGAGGATGCTGCTGCCTCGCCACCGAATGCTGCTGCTGCCTCAGTTGGTCCGAGATTCATAAGGTCCGTCCAGATGGGGCAGTTGGGAGGTGCGCCAGTGGTGCCTGCCGGCGGCGGGGTTGCTTTTTGATTGTTGAGGAGTGTCTTCTTCGGGTTCGATGTATTGTAATACACATATCACAGCTCCTCGAAGGGGTTTTTTTTGGCCTTAGCGAGCCTTAGTCTGGTGGTAGTTGTAGCGGCATTCTGGATTTCTGCGGTCCGTGGTGCTTGTGGGCGCTTATTTACAGGTGTTCGACTACGTCTGTGCTTCGTTGATTCTCTCATATCTATCTGAAACCACCATACCATACTCGCTTCGTGCAAAATCGAATCAAGGAAGGCATACCCTCTCCAGGATGTCGAGCTTCTCGTGTGTTCCGACGGTTCCATGCGCCATGTGCAACGCCGTTGAGGCTTGTGGGAATCCGGCCCCTACGAGTCAAGCGGCGGCTCCGCGGCGGACGCGGCTGCGTTCCTGGCGAAATGTGACATAAAAGTGGACTGAAGGCAGATCTGCAGACTGAAACATATTTTTCTCCCCGGAGACGTAGTACTGACCAAGAGTAGCGACTGACGGTGTTCGCTATTAGGCGTACCTTCACAATTCAACATGGTATACACATTGGATCAAGCTGTCTTACAATTCGTAGACGTGGGCACTACATCCTCTATAGCTGAGAGTATAAGGTATGTCCTGCGTCTTGTGTTGTATAACGGGTCTCTAAACTCGCTTTGCGATCAGCTCGACTTCCGTGGTTCTTCAGGACGCGAACCCTTGGTTGGACGAATGGCTCCTGCTAGCATACGTCTCTGCGCTCTCTCTTCTCATTCTCATTCCGAGTAACATGATTACTCGAAGGCTGTCTATCAACGACGAGTCAACATCGAGAGTCGACCGACGGAGAAGCCCAGTGATCTTCGGTTTCAAATCCCTTCGGCTTGTATCCGTTCTCGGTCTACTCGTGCTCTGTGTTACCAGTCTTTTCTCCAGCTCGCAACTTTCTTGGCCCACCTACGGGTGTGTTGGCTCACTGGTACGAGACGTGATTCCTCAGAGGAAGCTCCCGGTACTCTAACTCCTTGGCGTGATCAGGTCTATATGTCTCTTCTTGCGGTCCTCAACGTCCTTTCCTCCTCCGATGTCCCGGTTTATTCTCGACATCTTTCTCTTACGACGTTCTCGATCTTTGCTGTCTACGCCTACCGCGACATTTGGCCTTTCATGACTTTCACTCTCCGGCCAGCAGACGAGGCTGAAGGTCTTGTACTATGGATCAAAGTCGCGCTTGCGGCATTTGCGGGCGTGGTCGAGCCGCTGCTTGAACCCTACCCATATTTCCCACTGAATCCTAAGGTAGGTTCGAGAGCTCCTCAAGAAGCGTCGTACGTGTGCTGATTGGCTCCACAGAACCGGATGTCGTCGCCCAACTCAGAACAAACGGCCTCAATATTTTCTTTCCTCCTTTATATCTTTTTAGACCCTGTGGTATGGCAGGCCTATCGTGTCCCGCATCTTTCGCACGACCAGCTTCCGCCGCTGCCCGACTACGACGAGGTCAAGTACCTGATACAAGAAAACTACAATGTAAGATGGCGTGAAATCTGCTCATAACGTCCCTCTGAGTCTTTCTTCAGAGATTGGACCCCTTCTCCGGCGCGAGGCAGGCACCGCTATTTCTTGGTTTCGCCAAGGTGTTCAAGACCGAGTTTATATATCAGATCTTCATTCTTATCGTCGAGGTTAGTCTGACGACGCATCACACGTTGCATTTAAGTAGTCACGGTGAATTTTCAGGCCTTCTTTAAACTCGCTGCTCCTGTGGGTGTCAACCGTCTGTTGAGGTACGTTCTGCGTCTTCAGGTCGAAGAAACAAGCAACTTACTGGTTTGGGCTCAGATTTCTCGAGAACAAGGAAAGTGTATACACCGCGGACCGCATAGTAGTGAAACCGTGGGTGTGGATCCTATGGATCGCCCTTGGACCCATGGCCGATACAGTGCTGACACAGTTGTACACATACATTTCTGCAAGTACTCTTCGATTCGCTCTCAACCTGCAACTGACAACATCTCCTCATACATTGTGACAGAGTGAAGTTGTTGTGCGCACTGAAGCTCTTGTCACTGCCCTGGTTTTCGACCACTCGCTGCGAATCCGATTCAACGTGAGCGCCGTACCAGATAAAGACGGCGCCGAAAACGGTCGGGCCGCGGAGAGCAACCTCGTCGGCAGGATCAACAACCTTGTTACAGGCGACCTAGAGGCGATTGGCCAAGGACGCGATTTTTTGTCCCTCGGTACGCCTTCCATCTCGAAGTTAAAGAACGTTATGATGCTGACAAAGTCCCCAGTGGTCTCCGTCCCCGTCCAGGTGGCTCTTGGTATGTGGTTCTTGTATACTGTGCTCGGATGGAGGTAAGTCACTTGCTTTCGGGCACAACCTGCTCTTACGAAGTCGTCCTTTGTTTGTAGTGTATTCGTTGGAATGGCTGTCATGATATCTCTGGCACCTGTCCCTGCGAAGTTTGCGTCGCTCATTGGCGGTATCATGAAGAGAAAGATGGAGGCGGTACGATTTGTTCTGCGATAATTATCCTATCTGCATTGACAATATACCTTCAGACCGACGCTCGAGTGCAAACGGTGACTGAAGGTTAGCATTTGATCCATCTCACTGCAATATTTGGCAATAACCCTGAATAGTGATGGGCGTGTTGAGGATGATCAAGCTCTTCGGTTGGCGAATATTTGCAGAGAATGATATTGCGGAGAAAAGAGAAGTAGAGCTGACTCTCCTGTGGAGGAGGCGGATGTTGGACTTTCTTAACTTCTTCATCAAGTGCGCGTACCCTCTACCAGCTCACGCGATGCTAATCAGTTTCTTCTCAGCCATACCATTCCGCTCGTCCACATGGTCGTCACCTACATAATATTTGTGAGCTACTCACCAAAGCATATAAGCGTGGTCGCTGAAAATCGTACCTTCGACTAGACGTTGGTCATGAAGCGCGACCTCACAGGTATGTTCGATCCAGAAGCCGCGAAGCACGTAGCTTATGCACCTCGTAGCATCCATCGTCTTCTCCTCGATGACTGGTAAGTAAACTCACCATAATATATGCAGAGGCGTAAACAATAAGTGCTTTAGCTTTCAACATGCTCCGAAATCAGCTTTTTAAAGTGCTGAATACAATGCCGACGCTTATAACTGGTACGCTTGAAGTTCTCATGTGACTTGGTTAGCTGACATTCTACAGCAAACGTCTCTCTCGGACGGCTCGCGGACTTCCTCTGGAATGTAGGTGGCTACGACATCACGTCCGCAATGCATTACTAACATTACCTCGAGACCGAACTTCTGGACGCGTTTGAAGAGGATCCGACCGCGGAGCTGGAGCTGTCAAATTCTCACAAGGAACATATTGGCTTCGGCAAAGCCGAGTTTTCTTGGATCAAGTCGCTGCATGGGACCGCTGAGCGCGCTTCTGATTTCCGGCTTCGTGTCGAGGACGACATGGTCTTTCACCGTGGCGCAATCAATTTGATCGTCGGTCCGACAGGCTCAGGGAAGACCTGTGCGTTTATGGCGCTCTTGGGCGAGATGCATTACATGCCCGCTGGGCACGATGCATGGGTAAGTCTTCCTCGAGCTGGCGGCATAGCATATGCGGCACAGGAGTCTTGGGTGCAAAGCGCGACCATCAAAGTATGCACTGCGATTATTCTACTTGGACTTGCCCTCACACAGCCTAGGAAAACATCCTGCTGAATCATCCGTATGACGAGGCGAGGTACAAGAAAGGTCAGATTTCGATTGGATGCTCCTTGTAAGGATCTCTTTCTGATCGAAAGTCAAGTCCTACACCAGTGTGCGCTCAACCAAGACCTGCGCCTTCTCAAGGCTGGTGACGAGACAGAGGTGGGGGAGCGGGGCTTGACTCTGAGGTACGTCTGCACATATGCAGTAAATGCGACCTTATGAGCGAACTCCATTTTTGTAGTGGAGGGCAGAAGGCAAGTCTGGTATCTTGACCCCGAGTCTCTGATCCTCGGCTTAAAGTCTCGAAGGCGCGCGTCACCCTTGCACGAGCCGTCTATTCCCAGGCTGAGATCCTTCTGTTGGATGATGTGAGTACCAGTAAACCGCTCAGGCGTATCGTAACAATGACCTGTGTGCACTATAGATTTTTGCGGCCCTGGTCTGTCTCGTTTGGTTCGTGCAGAGGCAATATAGACTCACGCTTTGCAGGATGTACACACCGCACGTTGGATCGTCGACAAATGCCTCGCTGGCGACTTAGTCGAAGGCCGTACTATATTACTCGCTGTATGTTTTTGTCGTTCCTCAGAAATCACAGACGTCAACTGACGCTTATTGTAGACCCACAATATCGCTCTAACGAGATCTGTTGCGAAATTTGTCGTTTGCCTGAGCAAGGACGGTACCATCATCAACCAAGGTCCGCCGGCTCAAGTCTTCGAAGGTGATGCAGCTTTAGCAGAAGAAGTGCGCCACCAGATCCAAGCTCTAGAGTTGGATGAGCACGAAGGCGAGATAATTGAGGTAGCGGAACATATCAAGGCGGATCAACTTATTGTCGCGGAAGAAATCGCCGTTGGTCGTGTGAGCTGGCAGGCTGGTATGTTAGCTTCTTTCACGGCGTGAACGAAATGCACTGAATGTTCTGCACAGTGAAGATGTTTCTCGCTGCCCTCGGCGGGAACTGGCCTATGCTCTTCTGGTCGCAAATATTTTTGGGCCTTGGCCTGTCGGAGTTCTTCGACGTTGTCGAGATGTGGTGGCTCGGCCGCTGGGCGCACCAGTACGCCATCCAGCCGCACGACAAAGTCCAAGTAACATTGTATGTGAACCCAATCTGCATCTATGCGCAGAATAACGTAGACTGACAAGGATGCCAGCTATCTGATGATTTATTGCGCCATCATCATGTCTGTCGTGCTAGGCAGCGCATGGGGTACCCTATTCTATCTCCTTGGATCGAAGCGAGCGTCTCGCATAATCAACGGAAGGCTTGTATCCTCTCTGCTAGGGAGTACATTCCGGTAGGCTTAGTTGGTCATTTCCGAGATATTCCTTCTCATTTGAGATAGGTGGCTGGATGTAACACCGACGTCGCGTGTCATCACTCGCTGTACTCAAGACATTCAAGCGGGTAAATTAATCAACCAAATTAACCAGCATTTTATCGCGCTCATAGCATTGACAGTGGACGGTTCCATTCAGGGTTATCTACATGTCTTCTGTCAGTATCCTTACTCTCGTGCAGGCTATTCCACTGATACCACAAATTTCAGTCGTCGTTACACTGAACATGCTCATCAAGCTAACCGCTGTGATTGTCTACACTCCTGTCTTCCTCGTCCCAGCCATCCTCACTGCAGCGCTCGGGGTCTGGTTCGGCCATATGTATGTCAGAGCACAAATGTCTGTCAAACGTGAGCTGTCGAGCGCGAAGTCTCCTGTCCTGAGTGTTTTCGGTGGTGCAATGGACGGACTCGGTGAGCAACCACCAACAAAGTTGGTGACTTGCACTGACCACTGGTGATTAGTGTCGATCAGAGCGTACCACGCCCAACAATATTTCAGAACAGAGCTGCTAGGACGCATTGACCACTGTACGAGGGCCGCTAAGGCTTTCAACAATTTGCAGCGGTATGCGCTGATCCACCACACGTTCTGAGATGTCATTGGGCTAATTTCCACGTAGCTGGATCTCCGTCCGTATCGACATGCTTTCAGCTATATTCTCATCTGCAGTAGCTTTCTATCTGGTCTACAGTGGATACTCGACCGATCCAGCCAGCATCGGTTTCATCCTGACAGTAGCAGGTCTGCTCTCGAACCATTATAGCTGCTCTTCATGCACTCACGGTTTTATCAGTAACGTTCACGGAAATGGTGCTGTGGTGTGTGAACATGTACAACGGATTCGAAGGTACGAGTATCATGATTGCTACATTCAACACAGTTCTCAAGCTACTCCGTAGTAAATGCCAACAGGTTGGTCACCGTCTTGTAATGGGTTTTAGATGCTAACGCTCATCGACTCTTAGCTTGGAGCGCATACTTCAGTATCTTCATATCGAGCAGGAGCCCGCGGGTGGCGAAGTCCCTCCAGCGTACTGGCCGTCTAGTGGTGCACTGGAAGTCAAGAAGCTGTCCGCGCGATACTCGCCTGTAGGTTCCTGTCGTGACTGTCATATTCGAAATGCTCATCATTCAACCATTCGTACTATTCTAGGAAGGGCCCGAGATACTACATGACTTGTCATTCTCAATAGGGATGGGAGAACGGGTGGGAATAGGCACGTTTTCACCAAGAGCTATCTGAGCCATCATTGACCCGCGCTTGCAGTCGGACGCACTGGGTCTGGGAAGTCGACTCTAACTCTGGCCTTGTTGCGCTGTATATGCACAGACGGCCTCGTTATCTTCGACGGCATCCCGACTCAGGCTCTTACATTGGACGCTTTGCGCTCCAGCATCACGATCATACCACAAATGGTGTGTCTTCGTCATTTTTTTTTTCACATTCGCTAACCAAACTTACAGCCCGAATTGGTCAGCGGCACCCTGCGCCGCAACCTTGACCCTTTCAGCCAACACGACGATGCCATTTTGAACGACGCTCTGCGGTCTGCAGGGCTCTATGTGGCGCAGCACACGGCCGACGAACGCCGCTTCACATTGGACACGACGATCGCTGATGGGGGCGGTAACTTGTCTGTCGGACAGAGGCAGATCATTGCGCTTGCCAGAGCAATTGTACGACGGAGCAAGCTGCTAATTCTGGACGAAGCTACATCGGCAATTGGTAAGTGGAACGCACCTGAACAGGGGCTGCTGCCTGAAACCGCATCGGATAGACTACGAGACCGACGCCGTTATTCAGCAGTCGTTAAGGAACGAGCTCAAGGATGTGACGGTCATCACTGTGGCCCACCGTCTCCAGACAATCATGGACTACGACAAGATAGTAGGTGCCAATATTTCGAACCTTCGTGAGTATGCTCAACGGTGCTTAACGTAGATGGTGCTCGATGCTGGTCGGCTCATCGAGTTTGACACGCCGAAGGCCTTGTTAGAAGAGCAGAACGGCGTTCTCCGTGCCTTAGTGGAGGAGAGTGCGGACAAAGAAGTGCTGTACGCAATGGCGCGCGCTGAGGGAGCGAGAACGTTGCATCTAGGACTACGCTGAGATACTCGGTTTCCTTTAGGGGCGCGTCGTTGTATTCTCTAGCTGCCAGATCTCATGTGACGATCGAGAACTTGTATGTAGAGCTCCAGATGTAGTCTCTGTCGGGTCCATCTACGACAAAAGCAACTTTAGTAAGGCTAGATGACATGTGTGCATCGAGATATGTCAACGCACAAATCTGATCTACTCCCCACTCTGGAGTGTTAATAGCGTCGATGTATCCTTCTTGCTCGATGGCCACGCCAGCCCAGTAAGTGTAGTTGACCGAAGGCCCACCATGTACTTTCTTTCGCGGGATGCCTTCAAGGCCGAGCCAGTACGCCGTGAACACCTGTGTTGCGGGATTGCTTGTCGCGATGTCAAGCCTTCCCCGGGAAGTTCATGAGTGATTTGAGGATTCGGATGTGCATATCGTTTACCTGATGCCGGATACATCGCTCCAGAGTGACAGACCGGGCTGCGTGGTCTCATCATGGTCGTATATCCAACAATGGTCGTACCCAATGCAACCTCCGATAGTTCACTCAGTAAGTATGCGTAGGGTGCTATTGGTCTACTGACCTGGACCACACAGCCCAACCGCCTCGCCAAAGCGATAGTCTATTGGCTGTGCCTCTCGAAAGTCCCAGGGAGTGTCCGAGACGTTGACGAACTTCCCGGTTGGGATGAAGTCGCCGTCCACTTCCACGACGCGAGAAGCATCAACACGTAGATGGTGATTCAATATATTTTCACTACCCTGGAAGGCGTCGAGGTTCCTTCATACCCGCCACGATGAGTAAGCAGTAGGAACACCCTGGAGAGGAGTAAACATACCAGTAAACGTGCTGAGTGAGCATTATTGGTGTCAAATGGGTCGCCGTGGCATGAACAGTCGTCTTCAGAATACCACCATTCTCTACCGTATGCGTGGCCTAAGGTAATTGCGTCAGTATGGTCCTGCAAAAAGTGTTTGGCCCTTACGAATGCGGAGACGTTCCCTGGAAAACCTTCGTCAGCAGCATCGGGGTGGTGGTATGTGACACTGCTTGTCGATCTTGAGGCAATAGTCCAATTTCGGCGGTCCCATCCAATCGTGCCTCCGTGTAGCGTGGCCTGACCTAGCATCTACCTTGAGGGTCAATACGATTGTAGAAGCTCTCTTACGCGTACCGTCTGCATCATTCAGAGGCGTATGATACACATCTGGGCCTGGAGGCTGTGGGTCCTTAGTAATTGGAATAGAGAAGGTACCTAAGACTAGAGTCAGCGTTAAGCACTCGTCGAAGACGATTCTTTGCAGACCGTTCTTAATACGATTGGCGTAGCTTGACTCAAAAAAACTCAGTACGATCCTAAACTTTGAAACCAAGCCGCACACACGTACCGGCCAACAATGGGGTTGAAAAACGGATGAGCGGGGTCGGTCAACAGCTTTGTCTTGGGAAATGTTCAGCTACCGGGCCTGTACGACGCGTGGAGGCTGCTAAGACTTACATTGTCGTCGTATCCCAAAATCACGTCGCGAGCCTCGCCAAATTTGTCTTTGACCCACAGCTCGGTCAGAGTCGCTCCAATAGAAACAAACCTGGCGGTTATAGAACCGTCAGGAGCAGAGATTGTCGTCACATCGAACGGCTATGGGTAGGTCGCATCAGAGCATTTCAGCCTAGAGAATAGATCACTTACCCAGGGCTCTCCTGCAACATTGTTCAAGAGACATAGCACGCCTGCAAATATAGTGAACAACATCGTACAATGAGGAGCACGGGGCGAGAGGCCGGCCTGCAAACCCGGACTCTTTATATGATGTTCAGCCCAGGGCCGTCGCCGCAATGACTAGATGGCCACTCGTTCGTCCTTCATCGGCGACCTGTCGCCGCGACCATGCTGTACACGATTGTAATCAGCATGTGACGGCCGCTCGTGGCCAATATAAGGAGAGCCGAAAGTCTATCGAGGCGCAGCGCCAAGCTTGGAAGCATGACATCCAACCATTCGAGCATCTGAATCAGCCGCCTCGCCCCGCCAGTGCCCACTCGTTATATGCACAAAATGAAGACTATTAGCTACCTTGAATTATATGTACAGCATCTAGAATATACAAGAATATTAGTCAGTTGCGGGGGCATCCAGGACCACACGATCTGTACTTCTAAAGTTCGATCTCCTCGCCCATCATTCCCGCAAGCGCATCTCCGCCTTCGTCGGCGGGTGCCTCGTACACTGCGAATGCGGTTTTGGTCTCCTGGTCGAGTTTCTCGACGTTATCTGATGTCCAGCCCTTTCCACGGTCCGCGAATACCGCCGGACTCCTGTCAAGGAGCGCGTCAAGATCTTTCCGGGAGATGACGCTCTGGCCCTCGAGCGCGACTCGGATATGCTCGCCCTCGAGCCGGAGGAGCGCTGCAGCGAGTTCGGCCATGCTCTCGCCCTTGGCACGTGCGCTGTCGCCCTTGAGCGCGTCCGCTGCCTGCATCGGCGCGCGAAACTTGCCCTTTGCGATCACGAGCGCCTCAAGTCTGCGCTTCTCCGTCGCGCGCTGCATGATGCGTGTCTCGATGGTGTGCGCTGTTACGAGTCGGAAGATGAGCACGGGTTTCGTTTGGCCGATGCGATGCGCACGGTCCTGTGCCTGTAGGTCCATCTGCGGGTTCTGTGCCACACATCAGTCAGGCTGCCTAGAGAATGAGGAAGGCGGCGTACCCAGTCCTGGTCGTAGAAGATGACGGTATCCGCAGCGACGAGATTCAGACCTAGTCCACCCGCGCGCGTACTCAAAAGGAACAATATTGGCGCATCTGAGTCGTCCCCGCCTGTTTGGAACCTCTCGACTTCCTCGTGCCGCGTCATCATAGGCGTCGACCCATCTATCCTGCAAATATTCCAGCCCTTCAGCTCCCTCGCCCAGTCCTCAATGATGTCCAACATTGTGGTGAACTGGCTGAACAGGAGTACTTTATGCTTCCGCGGAAACAGCTCGGTGAGCAACTGGTCGAGGAGCATCATCTTCCCGCTCGCGCTCACGAGCTCTTGGTTCAGTATCGGCTCCATCGTGCGCGGGTCGATAGGCCAGTCAAAGAGGAAAGGATGCGAGCAGACTTTGCGGAGCTGCATAATTGTGTTTTGAAGCTTCATATTGTTCACCTTCTTCCCTGCAGCAAACAGTTCAACAAAACAGCACGAATGTGAAAGATGTGACTGACTCTGTGCCTTAAGCTGCCATTCCCGTCCGAGCTCCTCAGCCGTCTTCGCGTTGTTTCGCCGCTCCAAATCAGCGTCTAGCTCGCCGTTCTCGAGCCTACGGAAGTACTCTCTGTCGTTGCCATCGTCCTTGTACGTCCTGCGCTTGCCTTCTCTCCTTTTGCTCCTCCTCGGCCCGTTCTCTTCCTCTTCCTCTTCCTCTTCCTCTTCCTCTTCTTTCGCCCCTAAAAACTCATCTAAAGTCTTGCCTTCCTTCATCAAAAGCGCACGCAGATGTCCGTTCAGTACCGCATCGTACACCTCACGTTGCTTGACACTGAGTGGTGCGTAGAGCACGTATTCCTTCTTCGGCGGCAAGTTGGTTATCACATCCGCCTTGAGGCGACGCAGCAAGAACGGCCGGAGGATAGCATGCAACGAGTTGATCACTCGCGTTATTCGAGGAGATGATGACGTGTAGTTCGACGTTGTGGGCGTACTGAACCATTCCTGGAAGGTATCGAGGTCGGTGAAGACGTCGGGCAGCACGAAGTTGAGGAGTGACCAGAGCTCGGCGAGGTTGTTCTAACCAGCGGTGATTATCGTAGAGACATACAGAAAGAACGCGGCATACCTGCAAGGGTGTTCCTGTTAACACCATGCGTCCTGTAGCGGGAAGCGCCTTGAGCTCGCGCATGAGCCTGCACTCAAAGTTCTTGAGCCGGTGTCCCTCGTCCACGACAACGAAACCCCATCGATACTGCTCGAGGTATGCACGGTCGCGCATCACAATCTCGTACGTTGTCAGCACGACCGGAAAGGTTGTGTACATCTTTGGTTTGCCGTCATCCTTAACCTCATCCTTCGCCTCGCCACTCGCCACTGGCTCCTCTGGTTCTTCTGACTCATTATCGCTCACTACCACCTTTTTCGATCTCGTCGCTCGACCAGCAGGCTTCCGACCTTTGACTGGTGTGGCCTTGTGCTTTGTAGCGGCCTTCTTAGGTTTCCTCGAGACTTTGCTCGCAGAGTCGCGGGAAATGTTAGGTGCCGAAGCCCAGGGATCGCCGGCGCCCAGCCAGTACTTGTCGCGATAGTGCTCTGGGATGATCATCTCTGTCTTCCTCAGCTCCGCGCGGTGTTCTGGAGTGCCATGGTAGACGCATACGGGAATCTAAGCAGAGCATTAGTCTCTGGTCAAGCTTTGACGGGACAAACGCTGCGTACATCAGGGGCGAATCTATTGAATTCTTGCTTCCAATTGTGTAGGACGCTCATTGGACAGACGACCATGAACGGCGCTGGGGAACGTTCCCGAATGTAGGCATGGAAAGCAATCGTTTGCAGTGTCTGTGGTACCCGTACATCAGCATGAATGCAGGCCACACACGCATAGGTACTGACCTTTCCGAGACCCATCTCATCCGCTGGGAAAGATTCAGCTTGGACAGCCTCATAAGATCGCGTGTGTACGCACCAAGTATTCCAGAAATGCCAGTCTGGTATAGACCCACCATCCATGCGACGCCCTCAAGTTGGAAGTCCTTCAGCTTTGCTCCAGTCACAAATGCGGATTGCTTGAATGCTGGAGCAATTGTAGGCTTTTCGGGCGTTGTGGCTTCGTCTATTTCCGCGTTGCTAGTTTTCAAACGTTTAGCTGGCGGCGCAGACGCATGCTCCTGCAACGTCCGTTTTGCATCTCCTTTCCGGGAAGATTTCGCTAAGGCTGCGCGGGACGGAGGCTTTGGAGCTGCCTGGACTGGCGTGTAGTTCGTCTTCGCAGTATCCATTTGCTGCTTCAACGCTTTTGTGAAGGATTGGACCTTCTCAAGGAATGGTCCGAGCTTCTCCCACTTCTCTTTGTCATCTACCTACTCAATATTTAGAATGATAATCTCGCGAATGCACGTAAGGGACACGTACCGACAGCTCTTCCTCGTCCTTGCCAGCGTTACCTCAGCTGATGATATCAAGCAGAATACGGGAGACTCACCTCTTCTTCAATTTCCAACTTGAGCTTAGGCATGGGAGAAGACATAGAACTGGCTGCTGTGCTTGTCTCTGGAGGTGGACTGGAAGGTGCCGGCGAAGAAGGCAGCGTGGAGCCTGGCGGAGAGGATGCCCGCGTAGACAGGGCAGGGGAGAATGCCGACGACTTGCTGAACATATCGAGCAGTGTCCTTTGCTTCGCCTCCATCGTGCTGTGAGTAGCTGTCGTCGTAGTTCTGTCCGCCGTTGTCTTCCGCCGCCAGCGTTTTGTTCGTTGGTGCCGCGGCTCGATCTTCAGTCAGGCGCCCATAAGCAACCGCGCTCGCGAATCGACCTGCCCTTAATAAGCACGTGATTTGCGTGCACTACGCGTGGCGTGACTAATTTTCAATCTGCTTCTCTCAATCTCTTGGTTCTCTTGTAAGATTGGCAGTCTTGCCCCAAAAGGGTCTAAATCACAGCAAAACTGGCAGAAAACTGAGTTTTGCCTTCGGTTTTTTTCAGGTGAAAACCGGAGAAAGTTGAACGTTGAACGTTGGGGCCTTGTTCAATCAGCTTTTGGCCAATTTTGCGCCGAAAAAAGTGCGCTTACCACCCAGTGCTGGTGCATATAATTTCGTGCAAACTGTTCTAGCGCTATATACACTGGCAGTACTACACCATAACTCAGTGAAGAAATGCAGCAAGAGAGGTGTCCCGGGGTAGCTACACCGGCACTTCCTATTCTTTGCTTTGGGCCCTCCGATGGTCACTAGCCCGTTAGCACGCATACATCCTCCTATTTCCCGGTCTGTTCTGCACTCACACTTCCGATTTGCCGCTAACGCACCCGCGAAAGATGCCGAAGCGGGCCGATTTGCCTTTTTTAGACCTGCGTTCGAACAGAGTCTCGACGCGTTCAGTCAGTGCATATAACCACAACGCATATGTAAGTATTGGATCGATCTCGAGCCTTAGTATGCGAGCGTATCGAAATCGACAAGAAATACAAGATATACTGAGCATGGTGCGGATATCAAGGACAGAGTCACAGACGAGAACTGTGGAGAAGACGAGCTGAAGGCGTAGCTGAGTGCAAGCACGTCCATAAGGTGCCAGGAAGTCTGCTATTTCATGAAAGCACATACATGGCTAAGCCGCACTGTCGAAGGGCCAACGCTCAGGATATTCCAAGAATACGGCCTGTACGAAGATCTACTCACCGCGGTGTCGTCCGGCCCTCCACCACTGTGGTTAAGTCTTGTAAGGTCGCATGCGTCACTACCTTAGACTTGAGATGTACTGTGCGCTCAATAGCACCAACCTCAAGGTCTCCCTCTCTCTTCTTCTCGTAGCTCTCCAATCCCAGCCCGGTCAGGAAGAGGACACGGTCACGGCCGCCAGGTTGCTCTTGCTGGGTGTCATTCGGTGGGTCGGAATCTTCCATCGTCTCCACGTCGAAAGCCTCATCGCACGTAGGCCGGATGAGGCGATAGTCCCTGGAAAGAACCTGTTCTCCTATGGTCTCCCGAAGCTTGATGCAGTGGCAGACGATGGCGTGTAGCTTCTCTACAAAGCCGCTACTCTCCGGGACATGTTGAGGGACGACTGTAAGTCCTGCAAGTTCGAGAATATCTTCGACAATGTGGATAATTCTGCTCGTGATGGACTGTGAGAGGTCGAGTGTGGTATGACAGTCCTTAACGTAGCGCTTGGTGAGCGCCCTCCATTTTGCGGAAACGGCCTGCGGTTCTGTGATGTATGAAATAGTTAGTTCACGCCGTCCTCCAGCTTTAAAATTTGTAGTGCTAACCTGATACGTAGATGCGCTCATACAACTGCCGGACGAACTGATTCTCTGTAGCGTTCATGCTTGGAGCCCACGCCATAATTATCTCCCCTGCGGCTTGCAGTAGAGAAGCCTGCAGGACCATCTGTGCACCGTGCTCATCGCAATGGTGAGCCCGAATCGCGCCGAGGACATCCACCGCCGTGGGGCCTAGGCAGTTCTGCAAGTCATCTACAGCTCCAGAAAGGTCTACGCTGTCACCTTGTGCGATCTTCCATATGTCTTCGATTTGGGCGCAAACCTGGAAGATCTCCGAGTTCAAGTAATCAAGCATGCCGATGATGCCCGTACAAGATACTGAGTCGTCCTTGGCTAGGTACGCGATGGCGTCTCGCAACTCCGCCCCGCGAATCTGCAACAGTTCAGACTGTTGCTCGATTTGCTGCTGCAGAGCTCCCGCATCGCGTCGGTGCTCTTCTTCCCGCCGTCTGAACTCTTCGATGTGACTCTTGAGTGAAGCCGCTTCAGCCGTTGCATCTTCCCTCTCCTTCCGATACCTTTCTGCCATCTCGTTCTCCTCCTTCTCCCTGAGCCAAGCAGCCGACAACTCTTCTTCTGCTTTCATGTTGCGTCCGCGAATCGCTTCCTCCAGTTCAGCAATTCTTTTCCGGCCGTCCCTCACCGCCTCTATTGCCCGCTCTTTTTCGGCTCGCAGCCTACTGATCACGCCTTGTGCATCCGAGAGTCGACTCTCTTCATCCTCGTCAAGGCCTGTATCGGGCGTGAAGAACATTTGGAAGAGCTTTTGGAGAAGCCGCAATATGTAGAGCATAATTAGACTTGATAGCGAAGAGTACGACGAGAGCTCGGCGGTCAAGGCGGGTAGCAGAGGATTCTCGATGTTCATCGACCCGCCTCTTCGTATCTCCATTCCGAACTCAACGTCCCGTTGGAGAAAATTCGAGTGAGGATCGCTCGTCTTTCGCTTCAATTATGATGCGTTACTCACGTCTGCGCCACGCGCTTGTCTGTTTAGCAAATGGTCGCCCATACCGTCGCTCTCTTCCTCATTGAGTGACATTCTCCACGCTCCACGCTGCTGCGCATTTCCCGGTACGAAATAATGCTCCTCTCATTTTCCTGTTGCAAAGAAGACTACGACGTATGGCAAGCCTCGGACATAACGTGTACGAGGTCTCTCTTCCTTCGCAGTTCCTCGTTGTTGACCTGAAGCCCAGACAAGGCCGCACGCATCTATGGTACCTGCTGCGATGTCATCTTCCCTACGATAATCACAATGCGTTTTGTTCCAAATGTTGACTACTTAGCCATTTCTCGTCTGGAACGGTCCCACGCCGGATCTCCGACGCATGCGAAGTGTCTTCGATCATTTTCCCGATCGCCGCAATGGCGATGTAAGTCTGGTCGAGAATTTCGCTCATAACCCTAGAGCTCTGCCTCCAACTATCGTCCCAAGACCCGCCTCAGTCCTCACTCATAGCTCAGTATGCCCCCGCAGAAGCCTTACGAAGGTCCTTCCCGCAAGCTCGTGCTTGCGTTTGATGTGGGCACCACTTATAGTGGAGTTGCCTATGCGACTCTTGACCCCGGGGAGACCCCCAAAATCCAAGCTGTAACGCGGTATTTATTATACTAGCCCATATTCCTCTACCCTCCGTTCATGCCTGCATGCGCAGATTTCCCGGACAGTCAAATAGCGATTTTAAAATCCCGTCTGTTCTCCTTTATACTCAGGACGGACAAGTGCGAGCGGTAGGCGCGGAGGCCAAAGATCCTCGCATGGAAATGGCCATCGAGGACGAAGACTTGATCCTTGTAGAATGGTAAAATTATAGTGATGTCTCAAGTTCCCGCTCTGATATGATGCCACTCAGGTTCAAGCTGCATCTGGTCCCCAGCTCTATGGAATCGTCCATCGGGCTGAAGGACCTCGATGTCCAACACAAACTCCCTCCCGGGAAGACCATAGTTGAGGTCTTCGCGGACTTCCTATCGTACATGTACAAGTGCGCACGCGATTACATTATGGAGGCTAGTCCGAACGGCACTAGCCTTTGGAACTCCGTGCAGGACCGAATCGAGATTGTCCTCGGCCACCCCAACGGGTGGGAGGGTTTACAGCAAGAAAAAATGCGTGAAGCAGCCATCCTCGCAGGGCTTGTGCCGGACAATCATATCGGCCAGTCTCGTGTTCATTTCGTTTCCGAGGGCGAAGCTAGTTTGCACTATTGTGTAGACATGGGCATGACGAAGGATTTTGAGGTTAGTACTCTCTGTCTTGTCACTCCGCCCGATGCTTACAACAAGCCGAAGGATGGGACTAGCGCCATAGTTATCGACGCCGGCGGCGGTACCGTCGATCTCAGTACCTACTGCTTCCGGAATATGTCTCCCATTTCTGTAGAAGAAACTGCACCTGCAGAGTGTAAGGGTAATTTCCTCAAGCACCCGTAGTATTTCGCTCATCGTGGCCGCTGGCAGGTGTCCTTCAAGGTTCAACTCGTGTCAATGTCCGAGCGGCTGAGCTTCTGCGCTGTACGCATGATATGATTGACACGTATATATGTAGCATATGCTAACGATGTCTACCAGCCAAACTCGCAAACACGAAATTCAGTAACGAGCTCGACATCAAGGCCATGCTCGACACCTTTGAGAAAACTGCAAAGCCCAACTTCAAGGACTCTGCGGAAGAATCTTTTGTTAAGTTTGGATCGATACGAGACCGAGATCCCGGTGTTGGTATCAAGAACGGCCAACTATCGCTCGAAGGGTGCGTCTCATTCCAAGGGCAGCTTTCTCCGTGTTCACACGGCATGTAGCGCTGAGGTCTCCAAGCTGTTTGAGCCGTCCATTGAAGCTATAGTCGACGCTGTCCAGAAGCAGAAGGAGGAGACTCTTGAGCCCATCTCTGTAAGTTTACCCGCTTACAAATCCCATGATTATCGTAATGTCTCGTTTAGTTCGCGTTCCTCGTCGGCGGCTTCGCCGCGAGTGCCTGGCTCTTCACAAAACTCAAGGAGCACTTGAGCGTGTTTGATATCAGTCTTTCCAGACCAGATCATCATGCGTACGTCCTTCTCTCCTCCGTACTGTGCCCAGGAGGATGCCTGGGTGACGTTGTCCTGCAGGAACAAAGCCGTCGCCGTAGGCGCCGCATCATTCTTTTTAGAGCATTTCGTTTCTGTACGTGTCGCGCGCTGGACGTATGGCTCGTCGTGCTCCGTGGAATATGACGACAGCAATCCTGAGCATCGACTGCGCCAACACAAGACATACATGATGCCCTCGGCTGTTCGTGTCATTCCGGAGGGGTTCAAGAATATTGTCGCCAAGGTAAGTGTTTTTCCGCTTCATGGATCTTCGTAGTCACTGAAAGCGCGGTGTATTAGGGGACCCGCCTGAGAGAAGGCGAGGAACGCATCGAGTCGTTCGAGCGCGAAGTAGAGGACCCGTGGGGCCTTAACCACATCGCAATGGAGATTACCTGCTACCGCGGCAAGAACAAGGAGCCGCACTGGGTAGATTTGGAACCTGGTGCGTAGCAAAACTGAATCTTCTCAACCACAGACGATCTCACGTTTCGTCAGAGTACTTCTCAGATCTCTGTATTGTCACAGCTGACACCTCTGGCGTGACCAAAGTCAGGCAATTTGGCCCACTTGGCCCGTACTATGCGCAAACCTTTAAGCTTGTCCTGTCATGCGGAAAGACCGAAACGACGGCTCATATCCGCTGGGAAGAGAACGTATGTTGTCCGTACATAATGTAGATTTTCCCGCTCACCAGATCTTCCGGCTAGGGCATCGAGAGGCGGTAAATTGCTGTTGTATACTTCCTGCATAATCTCTGACTCGTTTGTAGCGGTCCCGCAAAAATTGTTTACGACGATGACGCCCGCATTGCGCAGTAACTACTGGTAACGATCTGCTTACACTTTGACCTTTTCTTGCAGCTGCTTCGCTGTCCCGAAGTTTCTCTTGTGTGTATTTTGTAATCCTGAATAGCATGTTATCCTGTACAACTTGCGGAGATGTGCGGTGTACGTCGCATCCTCGAGCTCCGGGGCACACACGGAAGATGCCGGTGAACGCATCAAGTCCAAATTCGGTAAGTGCACGAATTACATCCCTGGAGAGCTATGGACCGTCGCCAGCACCTCTACATATTACAAATTCACAGAACGTTCCCTAAATGCAGCATATGCGGCATGTTATCATAGTTCATAGGGTCGACGCGAGTTGAGGGCCGTGGAACAGCGAGCATTTAGGCCACACGCCTCAAGCATATGGAAGGAACGGGACGGCCTATGTTCGTCGGAACGCAGCCAGCGGCATACGGGCATAAGAAATGTAACGTCTGTGGTAAGCACTAGCTATCATGTCAACATATAGCCGAGTCAAGCATGACAGACACGTACTTGCGCGTATGGGCTGCATTGTGCACAGCGAGCTATAGCGCGACCTTGGCCTTCATAACTGTTGTGTGCTTGATTCCTGACCGTCCTCCCTGGTCCCCCACCTTCTCGCGCCTTCTTAACCCGAGCTCCGTCGTGCATAAGACGGGCATACCTTCAGCAACGCTCTTCCGCCTTCTGCATCCGCAATCGTCGGCATCCTCCATGGTATCCGCGTTAAACTGGGTGTTAGACTCTGGGCAAATAACCTCGAAATCGCTAAATGCGATGTCTTCTCCGATGGCCTTCTGCACGACCATGCTTTCGACGATGATGTCCTTCATCTTCTCCTGAACACTCGTCCATTGTAAAGAGGGAGCCATCATCCGCACACCAGCAATGAGGACGACGTTCTTGAAGGCTTCTAGAAGCTGATCGGAGAGTCGCGGTAGGATATCGCTTGTATCCGAATTTCTTGCATATCGCCTAGTCAGAACTCTCCATCGAGAAGAGATTGCTTGGGGCTCTACATACTTTGAGGTGAGTCCTGCGTGATCTGCAGTGCATGTTGACTCACCGTGTTCGAACATTCTCGTGTGAATGTCGGTCAGCAAGCAGTTCTGCGCCAGGTCGAAGCGGATGCTCCAAGACCTTATGGCGCAGCTCGCGAATATCGTGCCGACTGCTTGCAAAGCCGTCTGGACCCAGATGGGATCCTCCGCATGTGAAGATGACCGGAGAATATCCGCAATAGCCGATCCGACCCACTTCACGCTGTCCTTGTAGGCTCGCGCAGAGTCTCGAATGCTTGCTCTGTTCTCCCAGAACACGGACTTGTCTGTCACGAGAGCGGCGAGCTGGGAAATTTGCGAGTTCAAATTTTGGACGAGGCGCTTGACGTCGGCGTGCGTGACTGTGTCCGTCTTCGTCAAGTAGGTCTTGCCGTCGCGGAGCTCTGCAGAGCGAGTGTCGGAGATGGACTTTATGACTCGATGTGGCGCACGGAGATGGGCGAGATCTCGAGCAGTCTCCTCCGCCTGGGCCTGGAGAGCGGCGAGCGCGTTCTTGGTCTCCTGGTATCCCTCCAATTCCTTCTGCAACGACGCCCTCTCGCTCTCCTCACGCTCCCTGCATGCAGCGGAGCTCTCCTTCAACTCTTCATAATCCCGGACGGCAGAAGAGTACTTCTCACCGAGCTCATTGTGGGCCGCCTGCAAGCTAGCGAGCTTCGCCTCCGCCTGGCTCTCGCGAAGAACGAACGCTGCAGACGAGCGCTTGATGTCTTGCAGTTCCTTTTCGCAAGCCAGGAACCTGTTCTTCCAGTACTCGATCTGGCCGTTCGCCTCTTCGGTATATGCAATATGCAGAGTGTCCGCGTCGACTGGCAACGTTGAGGCAGTGGAGGCGTAGGACTTGCGCTGTCTGCTGCTTCTCTTGCCAATGGTAGGAACCGCAGAAGCTACGGCTGAGCGCAGCGTATTCAGACCGAGGACCATGGGCGAGCGTCGCAGAAGGGATCAAGGGAATGAGGGTGGGGTGGGAGCGAGGGACGAGGGGCTCGAGGGTTTGCGTCCATCGTCGGAGGGTATATGTCAAAGGTTTGTCGTCTTGCACTGAAGATGCTGCGCGCTCTGATGCCACAGCATATGTCATCGTGGTATGCATGATCCATGCCTCACATTCGCGGAGTTTAAGCCCTACATCTTCAAAAGGCTTTATTGCCGTTTCTGGGTGCGTGTGCTACGCACCTAAACCGCGTGGCATCAAGTACTGCTGGTCGCTTTGATCGCTCATGATTCGCGCAGTGTACATCATGCAGACGCGGTAGCTTCAAAAGTAGGAGCGGTGAGCCTGGGATGTCTCGCTGGAATGGTAACTCACGTGCATAGTGCAGAATTGCCCAAGCAGGTTGTATATATCTGTCACCGCTAGCCAGTGCCTGCGCGAAAAACGATGGTCGAAGTGCGCATACTACTAACTACCAGCGTTATTCGGTTGGCTTCACGCCCCGGGGAACGTCGTCGTAATCCCCCGTTCTTGTTGAAATACGATGGCGTATAGTCCCCCCTTTCATTGGTAAACCTTCTTGGTGCGGCCCGTGTCGTTTTGAGAAGACAAATCCAGACTACATCATGCCCAGGCCCCCTCTCCTCTGCAAATAGCTCAGTTGCATCATGTCTTACCCGAAGCTGTGCATTTTGTGGTATGCTCACCGGGATGGCAGTAACCGGTGCGCACCAGGTGCCGGGGTACGCGAGGACGAGAAACCAAGACATTCCCCATCGCTTGAACTGCTCTCATTTTGCTGGTCCTTGCGTCAAGGAACGGCGAGCATCATATGCGATGACGTCCACAGGCTCACGGAGTCTGGCTGCCGGCCCGGGTAGTTCTAGGCAAAGTATGTGCAGAATATCTGACGTCTTGACTAGCTCGACCATCTTTTTCCAAAGGGTATGCAAAGCGATAAGATGTCTACATCGGCTTGCCAAAACGGCTACATATACACTACATTCCTACTCGATTGCCTTTCCCGTACATGCTCCCACGTTTGAACTGGGTGCAACTTGTCTGACTCTAAGTACGTAGCTTGCCGCCCGCAACACGACCGTTTCCGAAACCCTGCCTCTCCTGTAAGGCCTTTCACCCAGCTGTACGAAGAGACATGTTTGAGCAAGTTGTCTCTGCAGCTCTCCTGGTATCTCAGAAGCCGCCAGAGCTTATCACCGCCGGTGATGCTGAGCTCTTTCGCTTCGCAAGAGAGGACGCTCGAGGTGAGCCGGCGGCAGAGAGTAAGATGCATGCCTCCTCGAGGCAAAGGCGGCATGCGATGGCATGCACTTGGACGGAATGCCAGTGCGCCTCGGACTATTCGTTTGATGCATGACGAGAGGCCCGCAACACTATCTCAGTCAACGTTTGAGCGGCCCCTAGCACCTAGGAGACTGTGCGGAGGTCGCTTAGCGGCGGCAACGTGCGCGCCAGGAGGTCGCTGGTCTCCGTAAGAGGACACAAACGAAATGGGTATAAGGCCGATTTCAATCATGCGGAAGTCGTAGGCGCAAAACGACGTCTGCACAGCAACTGTGGATACGGTGAATACAGGCTTTCCATCCGGTCTGATGACGAATGCAAGTAATATACCTCCATATGTTTCTCTCCTGCGACACCGATCGGATTGAGCTCAGGAGTTCTGAGGATAAGATAGGCTGAGGGGACTGTCCAGTTTTTCGAGAATGTTAATGACAAGTAAAATGTAAGCATCGTGTCCTTTATCGACTACTGTAGTTGAAGTATATCATGCGCCTAAGCGAGTATTCATTAGCCGTCGTACTTAGTAGCCGTGAAGACATCTCGCATAGGGAGAAAGGGCAGGGGCGACTAAGACACAAACTCAAGCTCGACCTAGCATACAGTCTGTGAGCAATCATGTTGCAATATACATATTTACACGCATTCTCACCTTGGAGATCTCGCCTGAGACTTCTGAAGCCATCTTCCGGATAAATGTAGTTATATGCGTAGCAGCAATGACCTGGCATGTTGCGCATCGCGCATCACGGAGAAACAACGAGAATGCGTCCTCGCTCGACACCTCTGCGCTATCCAGCTTAGCCCTCAGCTTCTCGATTGTCTTTCGCATATACTGCTCCCACCACGTCTGGACCTGTCTTGGCTGACAGGTGCCGTCCACATACGATGCTCTTTGTCCGCAGCATGACCGTTCCCAAAAGCGAGCAGGTGAGGGCAGGCTCAGCACCCAGCTGTACGCAGACACGCGCTTGAGAACGTTGTCCCTGCAGCTCTCCTGATACTTGAGAAGCCGCCGGAACTCGTGTCCATCAATGCCGTTGAGCTCTTCTGCCTCACAAGACAGAGTGCTCCATACCGGCTGGTGGAGTGTAAGGCGCGCCGCGAGACGCGCCTCCCGCTCGAGGCGCAGGCGGCACGCGATGGCATACACCCTGACGGGATCCTCTTGAGCGCACTTGTTCAATGCTTCCCGCGAAGCGTGGGTTGCGGTCTCGATGTCGTATTTCTTCGCAGCCTCCGTGACCTGACAGATCAGGCGGAGGTCGTCGAGCTGTGGCGATGTGCCTGGCATGCAGAAGCGCAAGAGCACGTCTAGGACATCAGCGGTCTCTGCGAGGGGTACGACTGGGAGCCCGTCCTTGAAGTCTTCCGAAGAACGGGATTTCGCAGGCTGCGGGAGAGAGAACATGCTCTCAAACATGGGCGAAGAGCGTATGAGGTCGACCTTAAGCATGCGGAAGTCGGTGCCTTCCGATGAGCGTAAAATGACGTCGGCAAAGGGGCTGCTAAACGGCAAGATCGAAGGGGCTTTGCTGTTCATGTAGTCGATGAGCAAGTGTCTGAGTCTGGTAACCAGTGAGAATGTTATCTGTATCTGTCCAGAGATGTTGATTGAGTTCAGATGCTTCGAAGCTGAAAAGCGCTGCGCTGCTCTTCAACATTCCTGTACTTACCAGCAGGACTTTAAGCTTTAAGCTTTACGGGTAGAGAGAATACGGTGCAATCACAAGTTCACGAGACCATCGAGATACCGGCCAAGCTCTAGAGTTAGGGGTGATCTAGGAGCGTGTGCACGTCTGGTTGAGTGGAGAGAGCGAGACCACCCCTGACTGGAGACATATGTCGTAGGTACTAGACTCTAGAGCCATTCACGGCAAGCATGAGAAACAAGTTTGTCTGCTTTCATAACCGAAAGGTCTTGGACACACTCGTATTCCGCGGGGTGTCCGGGGCACCGATGGGCACACGGGAAATGCCGATGAATGGTTGATGTAAACCGCCACGAACTTCGAGAGGCCGGCGACACAAAGGCAGGACTTCTTAGCAGCATTCCTTGGGTGCAGTACTATAACCGCGTATTCTTTACACGTCGCTTACACCTACGGAAATACAAAGCACGAGCAAAAAATTGAAGACAACACGTTTGACGCGTTTGTGGCGAGCGTAAGCTAGATCTGTTTTCGCAAGAATATCGAGCTGGCCGACCGTTTCCGGCCCATATATGAAGAACAGCAGCCTATATATATATGTCAGTACAGCGAGCTGATTCTCGAATTTTGAACTTTACATACGAGAGTTAGGCCCAGACGGCGCCCCCCGGGGGGAGCAGTAACACAACCTTCGCTTTCAAGAGAGTCGCAGACTTCGTGACAAGTCTCCCTCCCTCCTCCGTCTTCTCGAATCTCCTCAATCCCAGCTCCGTCGTACACACAACGGTCTCGTCCTCCATGACTCTCGGCTTCTTGCGCCTTCCACAGTCCTCTACGTCTGCCATGCAGCCCGTGTCGAACGAATCGCCCGCGAGCGGACGAACGACCTGAAAATTTGTCGAGGCGATGTCCTCACCGATCGCCTTCTGCACCTTGACACTCTCGGTAATGATGTTTTTGGCCTTGTTGCAGATCTTAAGCCAGTCGATAGAGGTCATGGGCTCTCGTGCACCGGAAATGAGCAAAATGTCTTTGAGCACGTTCACAAGCTTCTCCGTCGCGTCTGACTCTGCGTCGTAGTCGCCGTGGAGCTGTTTGATATATCGCCTGGACAGAACGCGCCATCGCGCGGAGATCGCCTGCGTCTCTGTGATCGGTTAATCTGGTGAGTAAGTCGAATATACCGCAGAACTGAGCATGCTCACCACCGTTGAACAGATGCTTGTGAATTTCCGTTAGCAGGCGATTTTGTGCAGCGTTAAACCTTAGGTCCCATGCACCAATCGACCGGCTCGCGAAGGCAGCGGAGGCCGTCTGCAAGGCCAACTGGACCCAGATGTTATCGTCGGAGTGCGGATAGGAGTATATGAAGTCTGTTATCGGCGTCCCCAACCAGCGCCCCACGTTCTGCCGTGGCTTAGCGACGAGGGGGCGACGCGGAGAGTACGTGAAGCTGTCCGCCACAAGTGCACTGAGCTGAAAGATTTGGGCATTAAGACCTTCGATCATCCTCTGCACATCGGCATTGGAAACAGCGTCAGTCTTTGTGAGGTAGGCTTGGGCATCGCGGAGCTCCGCTGTACGTGTGGCGAGTAGCGTCTTCGTGTTGTTGTGGGCGGTGCGTACGTGCTCCAGCTCTCGCGAAGTCTCCTCTACCGCTTTGCGCATTTCCTGCAGCGGTAACAGTGCCCTCTCCCCCACACGCCTGTTCAGTGCAGCGATCTTTTCGTTGGCTTCGGTCGTTAATGCCATCAGGTTCGCGTCATACTCCTTCTGCTCGCCGCACTGCTTCGCCTGATCCTCCTTCAGTCCGGCATTGATATCTTTCAATCTCGCGGTCTCTGTCCGCAGCCTCTCCATCTCCTTCGCACTCTCTTTCGCATCCCTCTCCAGGGCACGCAGCTGCTTGTAACAGGTTCCATGCTTGCCTCGCCACGCTGCTATCTCCTGCGTTGCTTCCTCCAGCTCCCGAGCACCATTTTGGTTTCCGAGTAACCCCCCTTCTTCCTGCGCCCTGACCCGGCTGCGCTTTTTTAGAAACAATGAGGCCATGGCTTTCAAGATGTACGAGAGGACGGCGTAGAGACCCAGCCTGAGGTTCATGAGGGAGAGGGATAAGGAGAAAATAACGCTAAAAAGATCCATTTACTCGTTCGGCCTTCGCCATTCCCCGTGTCCTGTGCTATTCAGGTATTGCTCGCATGTGGCTCTCGCTGTGGCGCATCGCAATTCTCTTAAAGATCCCCCGAAGCTGATTGCTCACGCTATCTCTCGCTTCGCTTTGGATAGGCAGTCCCCCGGTATGTCGTCGTGAATCACTATATCACAAGATATTCTTCCCGTACTGATGGGAAGCCGTCGGCTTCAGCTGGCACTATCGAGCCCTAGAACTAAAACTGCGACATATGGGGTTCAGTGATCCGGGGGAGGGAGGAGGTAGAAGCAAATCCCAAACGTGGCTTTGCAAAGTAACGATTCCGAGGTGGTGAAATCATCTGCATAGTGCGTATTCGCAACCTAGCTGTCTCGTCCTTTCACTTGCATATGCTGACGTTGTTCGGTTACCAGCATGTTCTTTGATCAACGAGCAGCTGTAAAGCTACTCCACGTTGTAATTTCTTCCCGAAGATCGTTTCTGGCCATCCGCAGCATAGGATCTTCGTCCTCGGAAACCTCAACCACATCGCAGGTCTTCACATAAGAACGCAACGGCGAGTCCAATTCCTCTCCACCCACGCCCTCCACATTCCCGCTATGCTGTCTCTCAAGCCATACTCTGGTCCCTTGCGCAAGCTCGTTATTGCATTCGATATCGGTACGACATTCAGTGGTATTGGCTATGCGGTCCTCGACCCTGGTGAAGTCCCGCGAATCCAGGGAGTCACTAGGTACCTTGTCCCTGTGACCTTTGTTATAGACGGCGGACACTGATTGATGTCTCAGATTTCCTGGACAAGAAAATGGTGATTTCAAGATACCTTCAGTGCTCTGGTACACTACAGATGGCAAGGTCCACACTGCAGGCGCTGAGGCCCGCGATCCTGGTATGACTCTGGTAGCGGAAGACGAAGATTTGATTTTCATCGAGTGGTACGCTTCATTGTAATGGGCTATACGGGCTCTGCCTCACTTTTTTTTGGCAGGTTTAAACTTCATCTCCGCCCCAGTGAGATGAACTCAGACGGTCTCCGCAAGTCCGACCTTCGTCCTCTGCCACCTAATAAGACAGTGATGCAGGTATTCGGCGACTTCTTGGCATACCTTTTTGAGTGTACCAAGCGCTATATTGTCGAGACCCATCCTAATGGCTCCAGTCTCTGGTCTTCCGTTGAGCCACGCATCGAATTTGTCCTGAGCCACCCGAATGGTTGGGAGGGTGTGCAACAGGGAAAGATGCGCCATGCTGCCGTACATGCTAAGCTGATCCCCGATACTCCGGCTGGGCATGCCAGAGTACATTTCGTCAGCGAGGGAGAAGCAAGTTTATTGTATTGCGTGGACAATGGTCTCGCGGCGGATGCGATTCAAGTAATTTTCCCATGCTTTCATTTTCTGCATTGTCCTTACATATCATGGATCTAGGATGATGCAAGCGTAATGATCATCGATGCAGGCGGAGGAACAATAGACCTCAGCACCTACAAGTTCACTACTGCCAGTCCGGTCTCGGTCGAAGAGATTGCAGCTCCCGGATGTGCGTAAATTGATATAGACTCAGATGTATTAACTTCTCCCCAATCGCTGCAATGCAGGTATTCTTCAAGGCTCCACCCGCGTCAACATGCGGGCTATGGAGTTCTTGAAAGGTAAACACGACTTCTTTGATTCTTACTGGTGGCTAAAATCATGGATAGAGAAACTCAAAGATTCCCAATACGGGAATGACGAAGACTTGACAACCATGTTGGATAGCTTTGAAAAATCGACCAAGCCAACTTTCAAGGACCCCGCGGATAGGTCCTTCATAAAATTTGGATCTATCCGGGACCGAGACCCTGCCGTCGGCATCCGCAACGGACAGCTCCCCCTCGAAGGGTATGTACATGTCTGCCCGACCCACTTGATTCTACTCATTTTTAACGTTTCAGGGCTGACATAGCGCAATTTTTCGAGCCGTCGATCCAAGGTATTGCGTATGAAGTGCGTGCGCAACGCCTGGCCGCGTCTGAGCCTGTGGATGTGAGTGTATACCTTATTGTAGGCTGATATGCATCACTCATGGAGATCCAGACGGCTTTTCTTGTTGGCGGCTTTGCTGCCAGCCCTTGGCTATACTCTCGCCTGAAGACGATCCTCCAGAACGTGGGGGTGAAACTTTCTAGACCGGACAATCACACGTACGCTGTGTACACCTCTAGCTGATGTATGCAATTATTTACACGGTATCGCAGTAATAAGGCCGTTGCTGAGGGCGCAGTGTCTTTCTTCCTTGGCCACTCCGTGGCTGCTCGCGTCGCAAGACTCACGTACGGGACCAGCTGCGTGGCTGACTATAAACCCAACGATCCGGATCACGCGATTCGTGCCGCTCAGGTTTATAGCCGTCCATCGGGCAGGTTGGTCGTTCCCGAAGCCTTCGACGTGATTCTCGCGAAGGTGAGTGCTTTCTTGGCGGAGCGCCTGGTGGATGGCCCTCATGCGAACCAATGATAGGGCACAAAGCTGCGTGAAGATGAAGAACTCCGCCGTCCGTTCTTCCAGGAATCAGCAAAGGCATCAAGTTTGAATAACATCTCCTCGGACGTCATGTGCTATCGTGGGAAGGCCAAGAGACCTGACTGGACTGACCTCGAGCCTGGTACATCGCGATAATTTGTGCTATTGATATTGATATCTGATCCGCGCCTTCTTGCAGAAATGTTCTCTACGCTCTGCACGATCTATGCCGACACGTCTAAGGTTGTCAAGCAGAAGCACCAGGGTCCAAAGGGTGTTTACTATACCCAGAAATTTGATGTCGTCCTCTCGTGCGGCACGACTGAAATGAAAGCTCAGATCTGTTGGATGGAGAACGTGAGTCTCTTGGGTCGAAATATACACAACCTGTCTGACTACCATAATCTAGGGTATGGAGAAACGGTGAGTGAAGCATGTCGCTCGTGTAATTTCATTACCGACAAGGCCCGTGTCCTAGGGGTAACGCGAAGATCGTGTACGATGACGACGTCGAATCCGCCTCTTGAACGTATAAGCGACCCACGTATTCCTCCAAGTGTCATGCTCATCTTTTGCGGTATCTGAATGTATAACTACGCCACAAAATATATGATTGCGCTGCTTGATGATATGAAACGGGCTATGAGCGAGTTCTGCGACGTTATACAACGCGCCAGTCACCGCATTGTCCTGCAGTCCGCTCAATCCGGTACTTGGTCGTCACCATCCAGAGACTCAAGCTTGGTAAGTAGATAAAAAAATTCTCTCTGTCTGCGCAGTGGCAATTGGATATAACCAAACATTGACGAACAAGAACAGCCTTGAGGTAGGCTTCTATGCGCCAAATTGCGGGAATGCGGACGTCTGTCAGCAGGAGCCGGCACGTTGACAACCTCGAGCAAGAAAGACCTCAAGTACCGCAACTTGTTTGCAAACCCTGAGCAAAATGCCACAAGACCGTGTCAGTATATTTACTGAAACTTACATAATATTCCAAAGCTAGCGTCGCTAACAGCCAGAAAATAACCCTTCTTCCGAGCAGCCAGCTCGCAGCCGTGATACTAGCTGTATAATGTCACTTTACATGCCCACGTTTCGGACCGCTTGAGCGTCGACTGTTCGTGAGTGCAGAATGATGTGGGGCCAGAAATCTGTGAGCCATGGCCAGTTCCGCTGTGGAGGAGGATTCGACGTACGGGTCGGCGCTCGATATATGCGGGGCTTTACGTGTGGGGAGGGAACGGCCGATGACAAAACTCGATGTCTAAACGCGTAACTAAGCTCGATGAACAATCTAATAAAACTCTTGCTTAAATGCTCGTGCCCGCGCTCGTCGCGGGCGAAACTCGTCTCGCGCTCTCGCGAGTGTATTCTCGATGACTCTTAGGATGTGCCCGAAGCTCGGAGGGGCAGACTTTAGAGGTGAAGGTGAGGGAAAGGGGAGCTTGCTCCATTCGACGGCGGGAGGTCGCCTTTAATATACATGCGAGCGCTGCTCCGCTGCCGTGCTCTCGGCCGGAGGTCTATGTGTACGGAAAGTGAAGGTAAACGTTAACGAAAGGGTCTCTATTGGGGAAGAACCTGCGAATGCGATGGAAAACGAAGTAGTGGCGTCAGGCTTCGGGAATGGCGCGCCGCTCCGACAGGCGATGACTCGGCACGCTCGCGCACAGCGGGCCCCTATTTACATGCGCGTTCCTGCCGCCCTCAGGTCGCGGGGTACTCCGTCACTTGCGGCGTCACCTACGTCCTGTCTTCCTGGTCAAGCCACCGTCCACCATCTGTGTACATGCGGAAAGAAGGTAAATGTAAGTTCTTGGTGTTGGCGCTGAAAACCCTTCTACACCGCTCAAGTGAGTCCGAAATGATCGGTGTCTGGTGACCAGCGATCCAGTACGACTGTTAGAGAGGTAACCAATGATATAAAATGACAGACAGATGTAACGATAGCAGAACACAAAAAAACGTGGGGAACAGGTCCATCGGAGCTATTGGAGAAAATAAGTGCAGGAATAAACTTGCCACTGAGGACAAGGCCGAGTCCAATGTACACTACTTATTATGTGCAGCCATATACAGCAGATCCTTATCGGCGCTCTGCTCGATAAGGGCGTGAAACAGGCCATCTTCCTTCTCCAGCAGCACTCGAGGTGTGTCGAACTCTACTAAGCGACCAGCGTCTAAGACCATCTGCGGGACATGAGCCAACAGCTCACGTAACTCTCAAGAGCGTACTCACAATTTTGTCATAGTCCATGATTGTCTGCAGCCTATGCGCCACCGTGATAACAGTTACATCACTCCTCAGTTCCTTCCGCAAGGACTGCTGGATGACGGCGTCGGTCTCGTAGTCTGACAAGCCTTGTGAGCAACGTACTCCAGGATAGCGAACTCGAAGACGTACCAATCGCCGAAGTTGCCTCGTCCAAGATCAACAGCTTGCTCTGCCGTACAATGGCCCTCGCTAAAGCGATGATCTGCTTCTGACCGACCGAAAGGTTTGCACCACCACCAGCAATCTTAGTGTCCAGAGTAATGCGATTCTCGTCTGAGGTCTCTTGCAAAGAGAATAGTCCCGCAGATCGCAGAGCGTCGTTAAGTGTCGCGTCGTCGTTCTGACAGAATGGGTCCAGGTTGTGGCGTAGAGTACCACTCATGAGCTCGGGCTGTAGGTGAACAGTCCGTCAGCTGGAACTCGACGGTTGGCAACTGTGGCACTCACCGACTGGGGAATGATAGTAATGCTCGACCGAAGTGCGTCCAAAGTAATGGAATTTGTGGGAACACCGTCAAACACGACAAGACCCTCAGTATGGATACAACGAAGCAGAGCCAACGTTAGCGTCGACTTCCCTGCCCCAGTGCGCCCCACTAGACAAGCACCAGTTAAGCTATGTGGCAATCAACTGTCCGAAGGAGATACTTACCGACACCAACACGCTCCCCGCTTTTCAGCTCGAAGGTAAGGTCCTGCAAGACCTTAGGCCCGTCGGGCGTGTAAGACGCAGACAAACGCTCGACATGCAAGCTGCCGTTTGTCGGCCAGTACGCCGGAGGCTGAACACCATTCTTGGGTTCTTGCTCAATATGAATGTACTGATGCAAGCGCTCCAAACTACCAAGACATTAGCGCCTGTGACGCGAATGCGGAACATTGCGACCAACCTATTGGCATTGACTGAAGATGTAAATAATAAATACGGTCAGCGACGATTTGTTGAACAGCTGCTATATCCCTCACCTTCAAGTTGGTTGAGCCAGTGAACAAGACCTAGGATGAAGTCCGTGAACGATACTAAAGGTAACGGTCAGTCTCCTGCCGTATAGCGATACGGAGGGTAGAATCTCACGGGCCATCGCGAGCACAAAACCAACGCCTGACGGGCCAATGGATGAAGCATACACAAGGTAGGAAGCGATGGAAGCGGCGAAAATTGCAGACAGCGCATCGAGCCGGACGGCAATCCATCTGAAAGCGTTATTGGTTCGCCAACCTGCACAGGATCAGGTAAATGCATACCGATTCAACAGCCAGAATGTCCGCCCTGCCCGAGTGTACTCGTTCACACGGTTCAGCAGCTGTTCCCTAAACGGACCCTGAGCTGCGTACGCTCTGATAGAGACTAGTATTCTAGTGAGCATAAGGCATTCGCGTCAAACGAGTCGGAGATGCGTACTCAGCCCATGAACAGCGCTTCCGAACATGGCCAGCACCGGTGCTTTGCAATTCGACATCTCGCGTTTGACAGAGAGCTGGGCTTTGATGTAGACGCTGCCAAGCCAAATACCCAGTCCGACGACGACGATGCTAGGCAGAAGGAAGATGGGCGTGTAGATGACCACGGCGATCAGCTTTGTGCTTATAAGGACAGACATGCCGACTGCAAATCCACTTGTCAGACGAGACCTCAGCATCACGTCAGCGCTGCCACTTACCGACGATGTTGAGAGCTTGGGGAATTGCACCATCGACTGATATGATGTGCACGTTAGACGAACCTCAGAATCATGTGGGACCGCTTACCAGCCTGGATATCAAGAGTGCATCGCGTAATAATTCGAGACGTCGGGGTTACATCTAACCAGCTGTACAATGACAAAATTTGTCAGCTTACTATGAAAGAGCAACGACTTATATTCACCGGAATTTACTGCCAAAGATCGACACGACAAGCTTCTCATGAATACTCCGCGACGCTTTGATTCTTCCTATGGCATCCACAAGAGATTGTGTCAGATAGAACGCCACGTCCACTATCATTATGAGCGAGTAGACACCCAGATAGCTACGAATTCAAAGTAAGCGAGTGTGACTTGCATTGCACAAGTCACCCACTATAGCGCGGAAACGCCCTCAGGATCTTTGGAGGCGTATTGAGCGGCCCACCAGCCAAGCCACCAAGTTGCCAAGATGCCTAGAGCATGCCCTATGCCCTCTGCGCCAAGATACAGCAGCCAGTAGAACATACCACCCATCGCGCCAAGGTACAGCTTGTCTATTGCGCAGTCAGCTTCCCGCATAAAACAGAGTACCGAGCACATACAGGCGCTGCTTCCGACGCGACCAAGGGCAATCTCTTCAGCGATGATGAGCTTGCCTTTCTCCGGATCAGTGGGCGTTGTTGCTCCAACATTGTCTTCGTCCTCGTCCAATTCAAGAGCTTCAGCCTCATACTCGACTTCTTTTTTCAGTTCCGGATCGGTACCGAGGACGTCAGTCGGGGTGCCGCTGCTTTGTATTGAACCGTTGGGACCCATGAACAGGATAAACTTGGCCAGAGGAGCGGTGAGGGTGATGTTGTGCGTCTACCAACTGCGATTTAGAACACTGAAAGGCGACGAGATGCAATGATACGTACCACTAGGATAGTGGTTCTATTCTTCATGAGGTCGCCTTTGAAACACTTGTTGACTACCCAGCGAGACGTATGCACATCCTAGGCCAATGTCAGTAGTATCTTCGCACTTATTAATAATACACACCAGCGCGGCCAGAACCTGTTAGTGCATTAGCAAATGCACAAACATGAAGCACGAAAACTTACGTCATCAAGCAAAAGAACCCCTGCAGAGGAGTACACTGCGCGAGCCAGGGTAACGCGTGCCTAGTAGAAGTGTTGAGCAAAAAGCCTTGTAAGCCGAAATATAACTACCTTCTGGCCCCCGCTGTATTAAAAAAAATCGTCGTAAGAAAGCTCTAGATCGACGGCAATGGCTATGCACCTGAGGGTAATTCCCCTTTCCCCGACTTGTGTCTCGTCCCCCGAGTTGAACATTGCTAGGTCCTTCGTCAGAGCACATTGGTAGATTACTGTGTACAAGACATTGAACGACAGGGTTTTTTTGGGTCAGTTCTGGGGACGAACCTTTATTATACCTCTCTTCGTTGTATGGGGAACCGAACAAGATATTTTCCTGTGCAATGGTCCGTTAGACACGTTAAAAATAGCCGGATCACACTTACCTTGATTGTATCGCTTAGTACCCAGGATTCCTGAGCCGCATAAGCAACACCGTCCTCCCGCGGTAGGTTGACCCATGACTCTGAACTGAGCGGAATCCGGTGCATCTCCCCGAGCAGGGCCATTAGCACTGAAGTCTTTCCTGACCCTGTCGGACCGATGATGAGGTTGAAGCTGCCACGTTTGAAAGCGACATCGCCTTCGACGCGCAGACGAAAAGACGGCTGTGACAGCCCTGCTGAAGTGGCATCGATTGACCAAGAGAATTCAGAGCTTCCGAGGCCAATATCTTGCTCATGGATAGCGGAAGCAACGCCAGCACCATCGGTGGGCTTCTCGTTGAAAGTATCCAACAGCTCGGTCTGGTCAGTTGCCTGGGTCAGTTCCACTTAACGTATGCGTAGCTGAGATACATACATCCCACAAGAAATCGCGGAGACGGCCTATAGAAACGTACGCTGCGTGGCCACGTTAGTGCTTCAACCTCACAGACACGGGATGTGAGTGACACACATGTTATCATGGGGGGTAGGAACTGGGAGACCCTATATAGCTGGAACCGCAGATTCTCAAAGACTAGGAGACATTATCAGAGTTTTGTCCAGCGCTAAGAGGCAGTTGACTTACCTGTGATTGACGAGAACACAATAGATGCTGAAGGGATCTTTATAGCTAGTCACGTATAAACGTCTAATGACTTACCATTCAGACTTCTTTTCATGAGCACAGTCTGCGTAGAGCGTTGAATTGAAATTGGAAGTAGCTGAACAAGCGACGACTCACGTAAGTCCCGTAAGTAGCAATCATGTGCAATAGAGGGATGATATGGCTAAAATTTATGTTAGTGGTGCGCAGAAGTCATCCGGGCCTGTATGGGTTCACCTACTTGACGTTGAAGGTCACGAACGAGTACAGAGTACTCTTCCACACCCATTTAAGCTCTTCTTCTCTCTTGACCGCAACCTCTTCCTCGACTCGCTTTTCCCAGCCGAAGAGCTTGACCATTCGAAGGACGCTCAGCACTATAGCCAAGAGGATGCTGGTTAGTACGCTTCAGGCAGCTTGCAAGATCATAGCTTACTTTCTGTCACAAGCTGAACGCGAGCGTCGGTCTGCGGAGGTTGAAATGAGCTGTACTGCTGCCAGTATGTCTTTCAGATATGCGAACCGACCGCTCTCATTTTCTCCTTCTGTGCGCCGCTCATCAAAGCTGCAATGCGCCCTGGCACGGGGAGTAATACGACCATGACAGCACAGCCAACGAATACACTGTATGAGCGAAGTATCAGCTTACAGAGCTTCACGAACGCAAACTGGAGCCGTTGCGCACCTCCAGCCCAGCAGAGCATATAAGAAACAGATGGAGAGAATAACCTCAGCAGGCACCGCGAGAACTAGACAGGTAAGTATACATCCACACTCGACAGTTGTGGAGTACGTACCTAGCGTCAAGAAATTCCGACCGTCCGTGATATTATTCAAGTCGCTCGTTGCCATGGTCATGATTTTTCCGACGATGTTACCAGATGTTCCACCTTGCTTTGCTTTGCCCGCTTGCCCCTGACTGTCGCTTCTGGTGGTTGCGGGTGGTTGCTCCTGCTCAGGCTTAGCTTCGGCGTCTGCTTTGACACGAAGCCGTAGAGCGTGGTCGAAGATGAGTGCAGTAAAAATACCTTCCATGCGCATCAACGAGCGAGTCTTCGATAGTATCACTCAGATAACCTGGAAGTCGCTGACGCGTCGAGACGGATGTACTTACGGAGAAAAACAGATGCAGCTCTTTGAGGAGAGCCTGCACGATTGGGCTAAGAGCTATCCACAGGATCCAGACCCAAGGTCGTACAAATGCACCGTGTCCATCGTGTTCGAGATAGCTAGAAACAAAAGTGATGAGTGCCGAGAGCTAGGTGGATGAAAGCGAAAGCTACCTCAAAAGCCTGTTGACGCCAACAGGTCCAGCCAAGCGGGCCAATGACTATTTGCAATACAAGAAAATGTTGGCGATCGTAATTATCTTTCATGGCGCATGTTACGTACTGTGAAGACGATGCAAATGGCCTGGTAAATTAACGAGGCGCGAAGGACCTTCAGAATGGGCCAAAGTAAGCTTCCTTTCTTGGCACCTGAGAACGGATCTAGGTGCTACGGAACCTGTCAATGGATGCCCAGCGTTCGACTGAGGCGGGGGGAAACATACATGAAAGTTCTGCTCAATCAAATACTTCGCCTCATCGTAGTCGGCCAGCGGCGGTAATTTGTCGTGTGAGAGATGTGGAACATGATATGCTTGCCAAATAATAGGATCGAGGAAAGTGTAGAAAACCCAGGAAGCGATAGAAGCCGTCTGCTCGGGGTTGGCAACGTTGATTGGGTTCTGTAGATTGTGAGTCATACAGAAGGATGCCTGATCTTCAGCGTGACATACCTTGGGATGCAGAGGAATGTACGGATATGGCTCGAGCAGAGGTCCGAGGCAACCAACCCACGTCGTTAAAGCGATCTTTACCCAGAGAGCCTTTCCTTCGGCAGCGTCGAGTGGGCGAAGCGTGAAGGTCATGAAAGGCCAGAGGTCTCGGTAGGCATAGGTTACAAAGACTGCGAACGAAATGAACGTCAAGTGAGGCGACAGCAGCTGTGATGCGCGTGCCGATACCAGCGTATTTGCGGCTGCTAGGACAGCCGCGAATGTCTGTTAAAATATTTTAGTTTCTGCAGACCGCGGCCAGAAAATGTTTCTGTCAGCACTCACTAGTGCTTCGCTGAGGACCACGCTGAGGTTTGTCCACCCATGTTGAAGGGACGGAATAATCACCAGGACAAGCAGAACCGTCAACGCTGTAAAGCGTGCCAACTTATAGACGAATATGACAGGCCCGCCAACATGAGTTGCATGCCGGCCTATTCTGCCCGCGAACCGCTTGGTGTCCGATTCATCACCAGTCCCCGCCCCGACCGCAGCGGATCCTAGTACCTTTCGCGACAGGAATAGGCGCAGTGCAAGAAGCAAAAGTCCCAACGCGATTGCAGCGTTCGCGACGATTATCGGCCAGAGTGGAGAACTGAAGGGTGTACAAGTCAGTGAGATGAACAGCACAACTAAATCGTGTAGGATATAGTACTTTTTTGACTTGCTATGAAGAAGTTTCAATAGAACGGTTTGTGCACCTCTATCGTTCTCCATGTCGTGGACAACGACGAAGGACAAAGTTTAACGCTGCGTGTGGGCCTGTGCCTCTTATAACCAGGGCTTGGATGCCATGACTCACTGCCATCAAAACTGAGCAACTCAACATGTGCGCTTTGTCACACGACGTTTGGTTGCCCGCGGTCTTAAGTTGCAAAGTCTAGAACTTGGTGCCTGCGCACGCGGATAACAATCACAGTGTTTTCTGCGGAAGATGCCGAACGCGGACCTTCCAACTACGTCGCGCGTGTACTCGCCGAATCTCGTTCAGGTCCTTTTGCCTTGCTATTACTCAATGTTTTCCAACTTCAGTCGTATGCAGTCTCGTCTTGAGAATCAAGCCCATTGTGTGGACTCCCAATATAACGGGCCTCAAACTCGCGACGCAGACTGACATAGAATTATTTGTCGAACGGTTGCACTGGCTACGGTTTTTCGCGCATCCCTTTTACAAACCAACTGCGTTGCACCAAATGGCGTCGAATCAAGCAGTAGCGTCCGAAATTGTCTGGTCTACAAGCGAGAGGAAGGCTACAAGAATATATCATTCCCCAGAGCCCACGTTCGAGAAATGAAGACACGCCCAACAAGTCTCCTCGGCGCAAACAGGCTCCTCCTAATGGTGAAACTCATAGTCAGCAAAACAAGGCTGTATGCGTATATTCACTCACCAACAACGTGGAAGGTCACCGGTCCCGGTCATTACTGATGCGAGCTGATTCAGTTCGGCGGCCTAGACACGGGAACTTATTAAGTTACACCGGACTAGCCACTCAGAAGCGCCCATGATAAGGCTCCAACCGTTTTGTTTGTTTACTGTGTATAAACGTTTATTACTGTTTACCGTTTCCGTGTGTGTAAATGAAGTCATGTAAACTTGGTGTAAACGTTTATACACAGTAAACATACAGTTTCCTCTTGTTGTTTGTAAAAGGTCTTGGTGTTGTACATTCATAGTCTTGCTAACAGACTTGACCTTTATTGGGCTGAAGAGTGCATCGCACCGCCTGTGCATTGTTCTCGGGCGGCCTCTTTGAACCCCCAAGCCCGGCGCACTGTATCAAGCGCCTATGCCCTGAGACTTACTGGGAGTGATGGTAGTCATGATCCTAACTTGTATTGAGCACAGTCTGAAGGCAAGCATTATAAATATAATGTAATGTGTATTTATTGACTGCTCCTCTACATATAGTCTACTGTGGGCACTGGCAGCCTGCCTGCGAGAGTGCGGTATGCGGGAATGTCATGAGCCCATACTTCATTCAAGAGGAACAATATTAATATTAGTTCAACCTCATTGAGCAATGACAGTACCACATGCGATACTAAGGCAGATTGACTCTAAAAAAGGGCTACCAAAGGTCCTCACCCATGCGGCAGTCTTCTCTAGGCCAGCTCTCGAAGTCCTAGCGCGAGAGTATGTCGTGTCACCTCCGAAGTGCCAGGCTAACACTTGCATAGGTTATCGGCCCACTTCTCAACGACGAGATCAATGATAGGACATGCCAACCTTCTAAAGGCGGAACCGCAAGCTTCTTACAAGCCCCACGGACACCTTCGTAGGTCTTACCCTCGCAGTACAGTGCTGCCTGGCAATACCGCTCCCGCAGCTTGTGAT